TATATATATATATATATCAATTAATCAACTTTGAGCAGCGATGACTCAGGGGATAGAGCGTTCGCCTTCCAATGAGGTTCAAAATTACAAGGCTACGAAGTTGAACATTAGTAGTCATAAACCCGAAATTGGGTAGGCTGTTCAACGAGGGATAAAATAGAATAAAATAAAGACTCTTCAATAGCTTAGTGGAATAACAAAGGCGAAATATGCATCTGTTATTCATGATGAAGATGGTGCATAAAAATTCTGAAAAAGTTCACGAATGATATGCTAGTCCATATACAACTTTTGGGAGGTGGTGCTTTTCAGTTATCGAAAACTTTTTATTTCGCTCCACCCTACATTCTCTTCCCTCAAAAAGATTTTGTCGACTCATGAAAAAATATATGTCTTTTCTCTTGTTCCATTAACTCTTATTCTAATTTAGAATTTTAAGTAATTATGTATTTAAATTTAAACTTTTACGTTAAAAGTTTAATATTGTGCATTTTTTTAGTAGAATGTAATGATACTCACCCAAAAAGAATGCTCGTTATTCCTAATACAAAGAATCCAGTATTTAAAATAAATTTTGGAGTAAGGGGTCCAACCTAAAGCAATATCAAAAAATGAACAGTGCGCAAAAAAAAAAATAATAAACACCCTGAGTAACTTTTGATCTAATGATCGGATTTTCACATTCACGTTTTTCACATTCACTGAAAAACGTTTTTAAACGAAATGGCATGTTTGAGGTCACCCACCTGAACCCTTAGGAATGAGGCAAATCCTATTATTAGATCTAAAGTCATTCATGATGTTTCATTTACTTATTTATTTATTTTATTTTATTATTTACTTTAGGTTTTTTGTATATTTTGTATAGACGATACCCAATGTAGTGTTTGTTTTTGACATATTTACAATAGATGTGGAACAATTACTAAAGTATACCTAAAATTTTCAACTTTTTACATTACTGTGGCCAAAAAGTTTAAAACAATTTATTATTTATACACTCATACTCAAAAGTTAAGGAACACATTCTAACCCATGAAATTATGTAACAAATCAAGTGAAACTTTTTATGGAAATATATGAAAGTATGGCAAAAATAATGATAACAAAAAGGAAAAGTGTAGGTACCTCCCTGAAAGACCAGTGGGGACAGCCCACTTTCAAGAGGGTTCTCTTCATTTATGAACGCGTAAAGAATCAAAGTTCAGAGTCAGAAAAGAGAGTCCACTGAGAAGGTTCACGTCAGTCTCTGGAGAGCTGGGATAAGTTTTTAGAGAGAATAATTTCATTTTTGTAGATGAAAAACAAGTTATCGAAGCTGAATATATTTAGAGGATACAGAGGCCAGATCTTGTCTGAGAAGCTCTTAAAAGAGTTAGCCACCATTCACTCAGACACCTCCAAGGGATAAAAACGGGTATTAATTAAAGAATCGAATTTATTCACCCTTATATTTCATGTATTAAAATAAACAGCTTGAGAAGTCATTAGAAGAGCTGCATGCAAAATAAACACTCCACAAGTGCGATTTCACAACATTAGATCTGGACCAAATTGTTTTAATGCTTGTGCTTTAGTTATTATAATTTTAGGCACGTTCGGGTGTAGCTGCATACAAAATTTCATTAGATTTTGTTCATTAATTCTTGAGTTAACCTCAAAATTGTGTTGATTTCTGACCTTCTGACATGAGGGTTAACAATTTTCCAACAGATGGTGATGTAAGTCACTTCAATCGCTTTTTATTTCCGTCTCGTTTTTGATGTGCAAAATAATTCGTCCTTCGTTTAAGACATGTAATTGTGGCTACGTCAAAGATATCTTAATGTAGTTTTCATCCGTTCAAAGATTTCTAAAAAATAGGACGGAATTTCTAATTGTTTTTCCTTGATTAATAGGTTTACTACTTGTTGAGCCATCTAACGAAAAGAAATAATTAAAAAAGGGAACTCTTGGAAGCCGCATTTATGCCTATCACATAAGAATTATATTTTTAACGTTTACCGAATAATTAGTGACACCCTGTATGTCGTTACTATACAACGTCAATGAGTTTTTAAGTCAAGACACTGCATGAAATGCGTGTTTACGTAAACGGACAGCAAAAAAAAACGAGCCTTTTCAGTTTTCGAAACAAATTTAACAACTAAAGAGAAATTACGTGCTTACTTTTCCTAACTCATTTAAACACTGAGCATAATCATTACGCGGAAAAAGTCTCGAACTTCCGAGTTGGGATGAATGAATGTATTACAGATGTAACTTTTCATGCAATGTCTTCGTATTCAGAACTGTAAATGATAAAGTGAGTTTTTAAACTCTAAATTCCTACAACTTACATTTACTACTTCAATTATAAATGACAAGATCGAAAAGGATCAAAACAGTGTCTTTGATTTATAAGCCCCTCTTAAATATGTGTTTATTTCAGAATTATTGTAATTTTTAAGAAATCTAAGCTGAAATGCTTTTATTGAAATTGCACAAACATTATTGAAAATGGAGATCTAAACAATAAAAAAGCTATTAGAGTATCAAGATTTAGACAATTATTCATAATTTTCTATTACCAATTTTCCTATCAAAGGAGCAGTAAGAACAATTGTAATATGATAAACTCCGAATATCAAACCATATTCAGCTGCTGTTGCTCCCTTTTTCTCTGCCTAAAATAAAAATAAATATTAGTTAGCAAAGACTAATGCAATCTGTCGCGAAATTTCCATCTCTCTCTCTCTCTACCATTTTTCAAGCTAAACACACTGAAATTTTTCATGTGGATACCACATTTCAATGAAAAAAAATAGGTTTTGCCATTTTGTCACTGAAACTGTGACACTGAGATCTGGATAATAGTTATAAACATCAATCTATATCTTATAATGCCTCTTTCAAAACATTTTCTCTAAAATTATGCCATGTAGGAATAAATACCTTACACCATGGGGTATAGTTAAAAGAGCATCAAAAAATATTCAGCAAAATTATTTTATAATCACCTTATGTAACACTTTACCCAAATTTTATTCTACTTCAGTTCAACATTATTTACAATTTTATTAGTACAGAAGTAGTCTTAAATAATTAATTCAGTTACAAAAGACTGTTTTGGTATATCTATTTAATGTGGGCAACTTTGGTGACACTGTTCACATCCTAATGGTAAACCAGTTCCATTATCAAGTTAAATACCATGTTTCTACAATTTTCCATCTGGGTATTTTTTTCTGATCTATTACAATTTGATTTGAGTTTGGGACCACTCCTTTCGATGTGGAAGTGGTGAACTACTTCTCGACAAGAATTATCAAGAATGGATTACATAGAGAATGTCGTTATATTTGTCGACTCCATCTCGGCAATCCAGGCTGTTGATTTTTTAGACTCTCTCGGAATTAAAAGTTGCAAAGAGAATTTTGGGCTACTTTTGTCCTTAAAAAAGAATATTGTGTTACAGTGGGTTCCTTCTCACTGTAATATCTACGGAAACGAGATGGCAGATCTTCTTGTTTAAAAGGAACTGCTATTTTACAGAGCTCCCAGAAGAGAAATTCCTTACGCTTCTATAAATAGAATAATTAAAAACACGAGATAATTAAGAGTCATGAAAATAATTTAAATGAAAAAATTGGTGGTCTGGAGGGATATTCTGAATGAAATCACCCGAGACGGTTGTTGCCTTCAGGTTGGAAACCGGACACGACTACCTTGCCGCTCACCTCCATAGATTTAAGATCTTTCCCGATACAAACTGTGTCTTGAGTGGGAGGACTCCCCAATGAATGCTGAACATCTGGGTGTTTGTCCTGCAGTTACTGGCAACATCTATGGAATGCTAGGGAACAGTTGCAAGCACTACTGATTTTCTGTTTATGTTTAGATTTCTATTGTTGATATTCTATTTAATATATTTCTTTCTTCTAATTGTTTTGGTATTTCGAATATTTTGTCGTTTTTCCTTATGGGTCTGTGTGGAGTGTTTTTACACTCAAGCGAATGATATATATCAAGTGCTGCTGTTAGAAATAAAATAAAAAAATAAATATTTAAAAAAAATTTCCATTTCAGCAGCAGTGATGTATACCTGAAGTGTTGGTATTGGTGGCATATAAACGCTAGAAGAACAAATTTTAAATACCTTCAATGCCAACTTGGGAAGAATGAAGTTTATGTAGCACCAATGCCAACAACACCGTAAGTACACATCACTGCTTTTTTTAAAAGTCATTGGTACTACATAACAAAACTGGTTTACCGTTAAGATGGGAATTTATGGGTGCACGCATCATACATTTGTAGCATATACCAGAAAATTGAGGAATGCAAATCTTTCCGTACATCACCGATCTTCGCATTTTCAGTAATTAACAGTAACTTAACAGTCCTTTAAAATTGGATTAGGTCAGCCATGTAGTTATTTTAAATATAATAAATTATCTGAATTAAAACTTATCGAATACTTGTAAATAAACAATCCTTTGACACTGGTTAAATCATTCATACTCCCCCTGTAATTATTTTCAATATAACAATTTACAATTAATTATTTGAATTAAAATTATAAATAGAACTATTTCTAATTTTCTAAACGAAGTGAACTCAGACCCTTTTTCCTCATATTAATTTAAGAAAAAGTATGTGAATACCCTAGGGCTGTTTATAAAATTAAATTATTCTTTTAGAATATCTGAGTTTGGTTTTATTTTTTGAAATGTATTTTTGTTACCTGATTTTACCTCCTAAAATTTTTAGTATTTTTGAAACTTTTTAAAATCTACTGAAAAAAATGTAAATATACTAAGAGTCTTAAAAATAAAAAGTGGTAATTAATTACTACAAAATAAATTTCAGTAAAATATAAGGCAAAAAGAAATTTTTTTTGGTTACTTAATAGATACAGAACTCTTCTCCATAGGAAGACACCAAAAGGATCTCGCCATAAGAAGTTGAAAATAAATAGACATTGATGAATAATATTGATTTGGGACATAAAGAATCCACAATCTCTTTCCTTTTTTATGAACTGCGAAAACCGAAATTAATGAATTTGTTCCCCTAATGAATTTCCGGACAATGTAATATATTTATGTACTTGTCAATGATAATTAACTATAAAAATCATTAGTCTTTGAATAATAACGAACAATGGCCTTATCAGTCTAGGGAACATCAAGTACACTGTAAAAAATGGATACTTAGATTTTACTTTTGACGAAACCTTTTCCTGGTATATGTTCTGAGCGAATATTTTGTCAAAGTGACGAAATAACTATCTTCATTTCTTCAAGAAACGAAATTCGAGAAAAGTAAAGAAATATATCGTCATTCTACTTTTGTCAAATTAAGAATTTCTCTCGCAGATTTTTATTCTATTCATTAGGAAATATAACCATGAAAAAACATATAATATAGATCTCAATTAATACTAGAACACAAGTAGAGATAAAATTTTTTTCCAGTGCCCACCCCTATTATTGACATTCGGGAATCAGAAGGGTAGATGTGCTGACCTTTCAGGGGCACCCTATTAGTTGACCCAAATTTTTAGAGTACAAGGAGAGAAGGATCCGTGACTCTGACCGGGATTCGAACACAGAACCAGGAGATCAGCTCACTGATCACTATACATCCAATCGGAGCCTAATGTTGAAAAACAAGCAAAAAATAATAAAATCTCCCCTAATGCACTGCAATGAGGTTCCCAATTCACGAAACAGAGTTCGCGTTTTGTCACAAATCACTTGATTTCGTAACGAAATAATTCTTAAAATTAGCATAATATTGCTTAAAGATTGGTGAATCGTCAAAAGTTTTATTTCTTAGTGTGTAAAGGAATACGGAGCAATGACATTTAACCATAAAAATCTTGAGATAAATAAACATGAGTGAAGGAAACACCTGGGAAATATATACCGGGCAATGAAAATTTGCCATAATAAACATTATTGTTGGGATAATATGAGGCAATGACTCTTTAAAAACACCTGTGTAGGGAATACCGGGGAGTATATAAAAAATTCAATAGTGCACACATTTACCAGAAGACATAGTCGTTATTGGTAAAACCGGTTATTATTACTTATGACTGGATAATAACCAAGAAGAAATATGTTGACCATTGCCCGGTATTTCCCACACTGAAATTTTTTTAAAGGTTAAGAGCTATTAACTGGTGCACACTTTCTCGATATTCACAACTTTTTTCTTAATATATCCTAATTGGAAATTATAATATTAAATAAATATTAAAATATTAAATGAATTAACATTAAATCGGATATTTCAAATATTCAAAGCGATAATGTGAATATCGATAAAAAGTCAGAGAATAAAATAATTTAATATGATTTTAACACTCCACCACGTTTCTTTTTTTCTAGTCACACAAATCGTATTCTAATTTATACAAACAAAATTTGATTCAACTTGAAAGAAAAAAATACTTCTGCAAGTGATGAATATAAACCACAACCAGCAGAAATGAAGAAAAAAACAGAATTGACAAAATATAAGAATACAATTTAAGGAGGTTATTACTTAAACATAAATGTTTTTGAGAGGGGAATTTACAAAAAACTATAGATTGACAATTTATATTTAATTTTATAAATGTCGTTGAACAGCCGACCCTATTTTTAGAGTTTACGACTACAAATGTTCAACTCCTCAGCCTTGTAATTTTGAACCCAATCCAGAAGACAAGGGTAACAACATGACAAGGGCAAAGTAACATGTTGAAGGTTATGAACTTTTCAATAATGCTAATAATAAAGCTCTGCATTACTCCATCAACACTAATTCGAACTCAATATTTCCTGATTGATAATAATAAATTCTTCTTTGTTAATAATACATATGACTCATACTGTTAAAAAAATAAAAAGGTTAATGTGAATGCATCGTTTGACAGGTTGATCATTTATAAACGTCGTTGAACAGCCGATCCAATTTTTTGGTTTACGACAACTAATGTTCAACTCCGTAGCCTTGTCATTTTGAACACAATCCAGAAGACAAAGGAACTCCTGGATCAACGATTGGGAGAAATTTACTGGAACAAACCCTCATTTGCGTTACACGGAGAGGACAGCCACGAAAATCTCTCAAGGTTAGCCTTACGGCAAGGAGACTCTAACCCGTGATCCGTCTACCCCTGAGAATGTTTTTCGTCAGCACTGTGGTCGGTGCTAGCCGGAATTCGTCTCTACTAGTCATCGCAGGGAACCCGCTTCACCTCATTGGAAGACGAACCTCCCCTGAGCCATCGCAGCTCTGACAACTTATATTGGCGTTATTAAAATGGCACTTACCTCTGCTGGAAAGAATGGAGCTTGCAATGAAGCAAGAGATCCAGCACAGAACTCTCCAATAGCCAGAGCAAGAAGAGATACTTTTTGAGTTGAGTTATATTTTCTCTTTTTATCACTTTTAGAATCAGAAACAGCACCATAATTAGGCATTTCTTCTGACTTTTTGGAATCTTTAGGATCGTTCATCTTCTAAATGAAAAAAAAAAATATCCTTGCATGTGTAAAAGAGCCATCTTCGAGTATCAAATCTTCTCATATACCAAGTTATCAGACGCACTATAAAATTCTATGTAAAATCTTAATTTTCAGGTGATACTATACAGCTTTATTGTTTTGACGCGACTGAAACCGGTTTGCACTTGTTTACGATCGTGTATCAATTGGTTCAATTAAACGATAGATAATATAAATTCAACGATTGGATAAACTAGACGATATATTATACAAATATAGAATATTTATTATATCAGATATTATATTGGTATATTATAATAATTTGACCAAATTATTAGACGCACTGTCGTCTTTTAATAATTCCATGTTTTGCACGAGTTTATATGCAATACTTTTATATTTAAACAAACATGTAATGGGTTTTAATTCAAGAGATTTTTAATATGCTTTCTATTTGTATTTATTTTTAACGTATTGTATTACAATGTTAACCAATGCAATGTACAATACAATTTGTATTACAATGTTATACAAACGTAATCAAGTGTAAACCAGTTTCAGCCGCGTAAAAACAATAAAGCTGTATAGTATCACCTGTTAATTAAGATTTTACATAAAATCTTATAGTGCGTCTAATAATTTGGCCAGGGATTGTATTTATAAAGTTCTGCATTCAGATACACGAACTTAACCGTAATCAAAAACTTTAGAATCCTCGTAAAAAAATGAAGAGAAAAAAGCAAAGGGGTGTCACAAAACAGTAAACTGTAGAATAAAAAAGGGTGTGATGAAAAAACTTACTTGGTGAAGTTTAGAGGTGTGTTTAATAATCAGTTTTTATGTGCACACAAGAAAAAATTTATTTTAAGGGTGGTCATTACGGATCACCTGGCATATTATGTTTCTAAAGTTATTTATTATTATTATTATTAGTTTGTAATTCTTTTGAAAAAACAATTTTTGAAACCTTTGGTGTCTTCAGAGTGTCCAAAAAATATGGAAATTATTCAATATCTCCAGAAATATGCAAAAAATTTAAATTTGGTGTTTAAAATATTTACATATACAGATGGCGCTGTAATAAGCAAAAATGAAAACTGGGTTATTTGTTTTTAAAAACTTTTACTTAAAACTGTTCTCATCAGTATCAAACCAAAAATGCCAAATACACTGTTAAAAATTCCGAGAAACGTAGCACCAAAAATTAGTATTCATTTGCTGGCTACCTGAAGTGGAGTTCAATTTCATTCTACTTTGGGTTTTTTACTGGCTTCAAATATCAGTTAAAGATAGCACCAAAAGTACACTATCTGGCCATTAATGACCGGACACCCCTCATTTCGGATACATGAGGTGCTAGTATCAAGTCAGTAGGGCGTAGGGCTGCCACGCACCCGAATCACAGCTTTAACCCTTCTAGGAAGGCTATCCACTAGGGGCTGGTACACGGCGGCAGGTATTGCCCGCCATTCCTCCTGTAGCATGGCGAAGAGTTGAGTGGTGGTTTTGGGGCGTTGTGGTCTGGCCCTCAACAGGCGCTCCAACTCATCCCAGAGATGCTCAATTGGATTGATGTCGGGACTTTGGGATGACTAGTCAAGCTCTTGCACCCCCATTTCATCAAACCAGTCAGTGATGGCATGTGCTTTATGAATGGCAGCGTTATCGTGTTGAAACACAAACGGGCCATTACCGAACTGTTGCCACAAAGTGGGAAGCGCCGAATTGTCCAAGATGTCTCCATTACCTTCTGCGTTCAGGGTTGCACGCACTAACACCAAGGGTCCAAGGCCAAACCATGAGAAACAGGACCACACCATAATTCCTCCAATGCCGAACTTCACAGTGGGGACAATGCACTCCGGTAGGTACCGTTCTCCGGGCATTCGCCAGGGGCACACCCGTCCATCAGAGTGCCACAACATGTAGCGTGACTCATCACTCCACATAACGCTTTTCCATTGCTCTACTGTCCACTGGCAACGTGCTCTGCACCACTGAAATCGGTGGCGGGCGTTTGATGGAGAGATGTTTGGCTTATGTGATGCTGCTCATCCATGGAATCCTTGTGCAATCAGCTCCCGACGAATGGTACGTGTACTGGCAACACTACAAGATGCAGCCCGGAAGTTGGTAGCGACAGTGTCCAACGACATTTGTCGGTTTGCTTTCACTACACGTCGAAGAGATCGTCGATCCCTGTTGGACATTATTTTGGGCTTGCCGGGTCGGGACTGCGGTTTTATCACTCCCTCTCGTTCCCATTTCAACACGACGTCACCAACTGTTGACCGTGGTATCTGAAACTTGTCGGAGATGGCACGTATGGAATGACCAAATCGGTGGGCGCCTATGATCATGCCCCTTTCCGCCTCATTCAGCTCTCGCCGTCCACTCAGTTTCACTGTTAACGCACGTATGGCCATCGCCTGCTTGCGAATGGTCTCTCCCTCACCACAGGTTCCGTATTTATTCCGCCAGGACGAGTCCACCTGCCGTTCAAGGGGTGTCCGGTCATTAATGGCTAGATAGTGTAGGTGTTTTGAAGAAACAAAACGCCAATTTTCATTCTTTCTTTTTTTTTCTTTTATAAAGGTATGTCTTTTATAAAAAAATTAAAAAAAGGTTGCACCAGCAATAAGTTATTTTATGACATACCTCTAGCCATTTTATACAGCCAACCAAATTTTAAAAGGATGCATAAAAGAAATTAACTTTAATTCAGGCAAATAAGCCATTTACCAAACTAAATAAGTAGAAACTTGAAACAATCTGCATTAGTTGTCCTGATACACTGACACCGAGTTGTAAAGAAAACATGGCGTCGTAAACAAATATCGTTTAGTTTACAATCACCGTCAAAGTTTAGTGTATTTTACCAAATTTTGGTCCAGTCAATTACACCATGAAAATAATTCTCAATCATACTTCACAATTTATGGAGTAACTGAAATAAAATGATATTTTATTTAACTAAACTTTGGGATAATGAGAAACTTTGCACCAAATACTGGTTTACAGTGTAAGATCATCAAGACTGTTTATTTTTGTAAAAAAAAGCTTTTAAATACTATAAAAGAGTTCTGTTTTGGATATCATATGAATTGAAATAATTTTTAACAGAAACATAATGCCAAAGAAAGGTATAACAGAGAACGTGAGTGACAGCTTTACTAATCTTTCTGTTAAATAACAGAATTTGTCTTTTATAGGAATATTATATTTTAAATTTGCAAAGAAATATGAAAATTTAAAAAAAAAAATTTATTTTGATTATTCCTAAACAAAAGAAAAGCATTTCCAATTCTGCTAAATTTTATTTTATTAGTTCAATATATAGTTAACTCTAATACTTGAGAAACTGCCTAAAAAAGATGGCGATCGAAAATTGTAAATCCACCTTACGTCCGAAAAAATAAATATATAGTATTTTAAACAATGCCGTTTAATTATTTTAGTATAATATTTTGAAAAATATGATGCAAGATTTTTTAAGCGTACAATTTTATGATCATAATGCAATAAATGCTGATAATAGTTATAAAAATATCATAAATAAATATGATTTTTACCTTCCTATGGAAGAAATAGTTGTCCTCATAGTCGTAACCTTAAATGAAATGATCATCTGACTTGACTGACGTAAATTTTACAACCTTTGTTTTATGTTCTAAGTCATGAAATAAGTTACAAACAAATCCGGAAATGAGAAGAAATTAAAAGAAATTGAAGAAGAAATAAATTTCTGCGGAAAGTTATATATACAGTCGGATCTCTATTTGTCGAAGTAGCCGATAAAAAGTTCCTTATACGGAAAATTTGTTAAATAGAAAATCATCATTTCAAATACTTAAACAACACAAAACAGGCTTTAAATTCACAAACACTAGACATAATTAAAAAAGCAATTGATACATCGTTATCTTGTAAAATATTATGTACTATTGTGTAATTTTATGTACTACTATATTGTTTCAAATGATTTTATCATATGAAGGTTTGGTGATTTCATCATCATTTCCGTCTTCATCTTTGTTTCCGCACAATTTATTGCTATATTGTTTTTATTTTTCGCACTGTCCAAAATATTTGATTCGGTTAATGTTTCTGTGGCTTCACAATCAATAAAAATAAAAAAATCATTAATCAGTACATCATCGTTCGTAGTTCTGAGGTAGGATTTGTAGGACTGTGATACATCAATAGTAAATAACCCAAAATATATTGAGTATTTAAAATTTAGCATCTTTTTTTTTTTCTTTAAAAATGAAAAAAAAAAATTTGTCGTGAACTTGATATTAATATAAAAAGTAAACTCAAAATATTAGTTATGAAAGTTTCAGAATCGATATTCTGCATTAAATGAAGTATATAAAAGAAATTTAAGTACTATTTATTATCTTTTTTACACATTTATTACTGAGTATACTGGAATAAATGTCCCTAATTTTTGCACAGCTTCATACTGATCAGTTTCATTTTTGTTTTGTTTTTAATGAATTTTTTTTAAATTCACTTTAAGATATGAATTTCTTTGTGACTCAACATGCAGTCTAAATTTATAAAGTCGAAATGAATATCATTCGAAAGCTTATTCAAAATATTAATATGAAAAAGTTGTGACCTTAGAAAATTTTCAAGAGAGTAAAAAAGTTTAAAACGAGTTAGAAATTGGTTTTTCGTACTCTAAAAAGAACCAGAAGCACTGGAAAACAATTTATAGAGGGGCAGTAAAAAAAACGGTTTGGACAGAGAACGTGATCAAAGCCTAGAGGAAGAATTAGGCGCAATCCATGTCTATCAGTTTGTGGTATTTCAAAAAAAGATGCATATGTCATTATCAACGAAGATTTACAGCTGAAACCATACAAAAAAAAACAACGGTCTTAGCAGCACACAAAAGCAAATTAGAGTTAAAATGAGCACGTCGACACAGGATATTTTCTTCTCGGGTGAAAAACTTTTTATCCAACTGCAGAGTCACAACCAACAAAACGATCATGTTTATGCAGCAAAACTTAAACCCAAAGATAAGTTGACAATAGAACAATACCAAAATGCATCAAAAGTGATGGCATTGGGTAGGATTTTCCGAAAAGGAAAGCTTTTTTTTGTTGATCAAGGAATTAAAATCAACGCCGATTACTATTTGTAACAAGTCAAGAATATATATAGGGGAAGAAGGTTAGCTTCCGTAGGCATAATGTAAACCAGTCCTACAAGGTTTTGGTGTGTTCCTTGTGTATAAAGGAAAAAAAAAACAATTTCTAGAGGCACAGCAGCTGAAGTTCTTGAAAGGGGTTTCCAACTCAATAGGGGTTGGAGAGAAAAAGAAAAGTTTTCTATTTTTATGTAATATTGGTCTGCTCTACATTTTGACACTATTGATAAGCGGTGCTGTACTGTTAATAAAGATATTCCTTTGCGAAATCATTTATATCATAAATGTTGATAAAATATGCTAACATATTTTGACAAAGAAAGAATAAAATGGCGTTGCAAAAGGTAGCGTACCCAAAGATACATGTAGAATTGCCCAACAACCGGTTCACACGTGACGCCTCCTGACAGTCACTTCACTTCTTATGCGCTGGATCTTAGTATTACATATGATGCTCTGTTAAATCTGAGTATGTTGCTCACCTTGTAAGTTGTTTTTCTGGTATAGCATACAGAGCTGACCAGTTCTCAGGGTTAGTTACTCATCCTAAAAGCTGGACTTCTTCTTTCCTCTATGTCCCTATTGTCTTGAAGAAGCACTTGATTGATTCTGATTTATTCGAAGAGCAAACAAGACTCAGAGTCTGCCCGCAAATCCCCGATCATCAGTACAGAACAGTAGTCTGCCTCTTTTGCCAGATTTAAATCCACTTGATAATTTTATGAAGGGGTATATGCTCTCTAAGATTAGAGTATAAAAGGATTGCGAGTCGAGAAATTCCAAGAACGGTTGATGCAGGTTCTAGAAGAAGCAGTGCGTGTCAACTGTAATAAGTTTCTCATCATAAATGAAAATGGGGAAAGTTTGAACTTTCATGTAATAACTTAATCGATTGTCATGCAGATAATTGATAAAAAAAATAATTTGGAATATTTTTTATTACTTAGACTGCTTTAGGGACATTTTATTTTAGTACACCCTGTAAATTAAATTAAATAAAAGTAACCAAACCAAATTTTCAGTATTTCATAAAAAATTTCTATTTTTTATGTCACGTGCAGGGTAAAAATTTATGCTTATTTTTTTCCTTATATAAAATCTCGCCTTATATAAAATAGGATTAGATATTTTTTAAAAACTTACCATGATTAAATACTATTAATATATAGACATATTTTGTAAATTGACATATATAATAGATATATTTTGTAAATTGAAAATATGTCTCCTAAAAGTAGATATGTAGTGACTACATTTCTGAAGCAGTTAGTAATCACTACATTTTTAAAAAATATAATTATGGTTATAGCCATTGAAATTAAGTATAATTGTAGTTAATTACAAAACACATGTAGTTTTTCTAACCATTTGCCTGAAGCTCAGTGAAATTCATGGGAAATAGCTACACTTAACAATATCACTGTCGACCAGTGCTATTATTAATTTTAAAAACAAAAAGATTTGTTGGAATAGATTAGTTACCTTCAATAAATAAAATACTTTTATTCATCTCGCATTATATACTTCGCTATGACACACTCACAAAGACTAATTTTTTTTTCTTTTTGCGTCAAAATATATTTTAAAATTATAAATATACTGAAAATAATTGCATAGATACTTTTGACACCACTATAAAAACTTAAGGATAAAATAAACGCACAAAAATCGATAACGATTACAGTTCAAAATTTTACCTTACCTGAAAAATTTAAGACAGAGGAACGTAAAAGAAAACTCGATAGACGATCACATTCTTCTTATTCTCTCAGCTGTACCAACAAGTTTGTAAAATAAAAATATTTATAGTCAATTATTTTATGTAAACAACTATCACCTTTCTTAGAGCATTCGTTTATCAACACTAAAATTAAAGCTAATTGTATAATACAAAAACAGAATTATCCTTTTTAATGCTTCTAAACGCGTGATGCTTGTTTGAAATATTGCAGCCAAAAATATTACCATGTAATATATTGCATAAATTTAAACAAAAACTACATTTAATAAAATAAGATTTTTACTTATCTGTCTATGTCGAAATGTTGTGGGGAAATGGTAGCATTTACAGATACAAAATGTAACTTTGTTGACCTATTAAAAACGATTTTTAAAATTTTCAAGCGATTTTTGAATTTTCAATAGGATAAACATTTGAGTTCTTTCTTATTCATTTCTGAACTTCTAATTATCAGGACGGGGGATTTTTTTTCTCTGATATCATTTAATGATTTTAGCTAAGGTGCAAACCAAATGACAAGACGCATTTGATTTCCGTCAACCACCTCCCAAGCCGCGGTGAGTTTGTGGGCGAGAACCAAGGCTCCTGGTTAGTTAAGGTAAATACGTACTTAATTTACATCACACTAGAGCTACACAATGGGCTATTGGCGACGGTCTGGGAGTTTATGGTTTCGAGATTTATTATTGCTAACTAGATAAATCTTAACTTGAACGGGTTGTTAATTTTGTCCTCTTAAAATGAAAGAAAACTTATTCATTGTTAAGTAAATATTTGCAGAGATGCCAACTTGCTTCGCTATGTAAAAAAATATTTTCTAGTTGCAACGAAGCTATTTTTAATTTAGTATTTTTCATTTTTAGTAATTTTTCCACCACCACACATCAAAAATTCAAAGTATCATAAGAAGGCATTTTTATTGCCTTCATATGATATATTCACTGTAAGTTTTACTTATTTAACTCACTACTAATATGTTAAAACTTTTGCAGAAAGTGGAGTAGTTGGCATCCCTGTATTTGTTTCATAAATTGTGTTCTTTGATATTCGCCAAAATATTTATTTTTTTAATGAATTAATATTCTTGATATTACTAGTACTAGACCGGATAACGAAACGCGGAAGTTTTGATGGAGGAAAGGGTACTAGCACCCGCTGCTGAAGAAATTCCATCCCAACCATTATTTCAAATAAAATTTATTGCAAAGTAATCCCATGGTTTCAAAAATAATAAAAAGGTGTAAACTTTTCGGCAGATGATATCGAATACTGAGACAACATAGTTAGGAATATTAGGTAAATATGGCAGGGAAACGCTAAATGAGGATTGGTTATAGCATGCCTCATACGCGTACACTGTTATAATAGATCTCAAAATTCCACATTTGAAGAAAAAAAATATCAATCAAACAGTATCTACAAAATGTGTGTCTGTGTATTGTTATATATATATACATATACATACATATATTTAAATGTATTAGCTATTTTTAATTAGCTAAATTTAAACTGATGCTTTCCCACAGGGATGCCCATCCCCCCAAGACTGATAGAGAAATCCTCCCCGAAATTAGGAAAATCATCCTCATTTCCTCAAGCAACAAAAATATATGCAAAATGTTTTTTTAACAATTTTTTAGCAATATTTGTTTTATCCCAATTAGATTCACTGATAGAAATACTTAATAAAATATCTTCAGAAAATAAAAATAATAATATGTAGAGAAAAAATACTAAAAAAAAAAAGTCTCCTAGGATCGTAATGTAACAACGAGACAAAGCGTTGATTTGTATTTCGCTTTAAAAATTATATCAGTTTAATGAGCAATCTGATTCAAGCTGTTGAGGTAAAGTATTAATGCAATTAAATGTTTATTCAAATTTAACTAGATATTTTTCAAAAAATTAATTCATATGCAAGGATTAATTTTAAGTACACGGAAAGGAATTTTTTTAATTATACACTGATGAAAAAAAAATCCCAAAATCAAGAAGGAGTTGTACTAGAAAAACTAAATTTGGTAGGCTTGTTTATACAACTAAGATGGCTAAAAGAGGCTGCTCTGAGATGGCAACTACCGACTATGACCTCACTTTTCAAGAGATTTTCTCAGTGACGAAAAATAGAGACCGGCAGGTCTGGCTCTCCCCTCCTGCCCATCCCTGGTTCTGTAGGAAAAGACCAGGATGTGCATTGGATCTTGAGGCTGACAGACAGGCTCAAACGGCCGCCTCAAGATTTATCAGTGGGCACCTCAAAAGCATGACCTTTGAATGCGGCCGCAAAGTCTTTCCAACGTGCACCAAGTGCCATCTGATGCCGGCCTCCCCCGATCATATCCTCGACTGCTTGGGGCTCGCTCTTGCGGACATCCGTGATAGCCCACTTCTGGTGCTTGATTTTGCTAGAGTCCACGGTCTCTTGGATTTGATCTAGCTGTCGCTAGATCCTGAAGGATTGGACACAACAACAACAATACAACTAAGAGATGTCTATTCAAATTTCGAGCTTGGCTCTAATAGAGCCACCGTGAACATGCAAATCAGAGTTGTTTTAAATAAGTGTTCTACAGTTCGAAAGCGTTATTTTTCGTTAAATTTTGACATAGTGAGTTGCTGTTGGTCAAGATTGCCTTTAAGAAGACGAAGAAGCCATTATCAACAGTTCCCTGACTTTGAACGTGGTTGCGTAATAGAGCTGCGAGAAGGTGGATTTTCTTTCCGCGATACTGCAGAAAGATTGAGGAGAAATGTATCAACTGAGCATGATTTGATTTTATAACCATCGTTGAACAGCCGACCCAAATTTGAGTTTTCGGCTAGCAATTTTCAACTCCATAGCCTTGCAATTTTGAACCCACTACTGAAGACAAGGGATCTCCTGGATCAGTATCCCCAGAGGTATTGATACTGTGCATAATTATTGGCAGCAATGGTTAAGGGAAAGTACTGCTTCAAGAAGACCGGGTTCTGGGCGACCAAACGCACTACTTAGAGGGAAGAGACCGCAATGTACGGGGAATATGGCTTTGCCACACCGTACTGCGCCTGCATCAGAAATTCGAGCTGCAGGTGACACTGCAGTGACACAAAGCGGCTACTTCAAGTACAGCGAGACGCCCCGTAGCTTGTATTCCTCTCCCTTCAAACGACTGACGCTTACGATGTGAGTGGTGTCGAGTTAGAGCTCACTGAAGGAAAGAGTGGAGAATTATTGTATTTTCCGATGAAAGTCGATTCTGTCCTTGTGCCATTGATAGCCCTATATTTTTTAGAAGGAGGCCATGTGAACGCCTACTACTTAACTGTCTCCGGCCTACACACACTGGATCTATATCTGGAGTTATGGTCTGAGGTACAATTTCTACCACATGACAGCAGGAGCACTCTTGTGGTAATTCCACACACCTTACTGCAAATTTGTACATCTACCTGGTGATTCAATCTGTTTTTTTGCCCTTCATGAGCAGCATTCAAGGGGATATTTTCCAGCACATAACACTTACCCTCATACTCCTGTTGTAACAAAACATGCTCTACATGACAACCACATATTCCACATATATATATATATATATATATATATATATAAGTTTATAACAACCACATATATATATAAGTTTATGAATTTCTACTACACAATGCCTTTTGAGAGGCTTTTCCAATCCAATATAGTTTCAAACTGTCAGTTAATTATGTCTTTTTAAATAATCAAATAAACAAAAATTGAAAACATAAATAATCTATGTTTTATTTGCTCATTTATCATAACAACCATTCTACAAAAATGAATGGTTTTTAAGAATTATTTGATAATATCTTAATTATGGAAACAATTGAATTTACAACAAACTGTAAATTTGTTTGGAATGAGTCCATCCAAAATGTAAAATTATTACTATTTTCAAATACTACAGACAAATTTTAAATATACATAAAAGAATATAGATATTCAATTGTAATGAGTTTATTTTAAATATTCAACATAATAATAGTAAATAAATATTATATATTAGAAATTCAAATGTTGCTGCCCTGTGAACAAGTAGCATTGATAATGTTTATTAAACAAAATGCATTTGAGAAAGCTAAATGTGAAATGGTTTTTAATTTATATATTAAAATTTTAATAACAAAAAAATAATTAATCTGACATGTTTAAAATATAACTGCTTTAAAATATATGCTAGCTTTGATAAATAATCTCGTTTTCTAAATGCATAATTTATGAAAAGAATAAATATAATTTATGAAAAAATCTGCAGATTAAGTTGTTAAATATAATTGCATTTTTGCAATAAATTTCGATATATGTATCAGAATAAAATTTATTACTTATTTGATAAAATGCAATTGAAAATAATAGTTAATGATATCTCACATAAATTATCCTTTATAGAAAAATAAATTCAAAAAAACAAACAAAAAAAAAAAAACAATTAAAATAGGACATAAAATGGGTGCAACATTTCTCAATCTTTCCCTGCTTGTACATATTAAATTTTTAATTCAATACTTTATGACAACTTTAATTAAATTTTAAGGATTAATAAAATTACACTTAATAAAACTTTAAGATGTTTTATTAATATCATAAAAAATATAAACTAAAAACTCCCCAAAAGTATGCTGGAAATCTTTAAATACACATTATAAAAAGATGAATGAATTATTTGCTACATGTGTTCAGCTCAAGATCAGAATGATCATAAAGTATTATGCTAAATATTAATGCATTTAAAATTCAATTTCCCTGAGACAATGACAATTATTGTATTAATGACCAGAAAGTATAAAGTGTACTTTATTGAATTCAATACCAAATACAAGGTGATTAAAAGATATTTAGAACCCTGTTTCTAAAAAACTACTGCCGGATTGTTTAATTAATCAAGATATGTGCAAAGTAAACTGCATCAGTACTAACAAACTGTTAAATTTTTAGTCCAATCAGTAGAAAATTGCAAACGTTTTTGTGGTAGTGGGTGCATAAAATATGTTTGAAGAAAATGTGCTTGAAGCTTTTCTGCTTTAATTGTTAAAGCTTATGAAATATATAAGCATGTTACTGCAAAATGCGATATATCATTTTAATCTAAAATAAATTTTACTGTATACTATTAGGACAATGTACTCACATGTTCATTCTGTTGAGCAAAGCAACAAAAAAAACATCAATTTTTGTAAATAGAGAAAATTTAAAACTCTCTAAAATTAAGTGGAGTGATTTGAAAACTTCACTCTCTTGGAGGGAATCTTAATCTTTTATTCCACTCAATGTTAAAATGGCCAAATTTGGTGATTTGACTTTCTTTTTCGTATAATGTACATTTTAACATAGAAATTTTTGAAATTGACTTAAAAAATAAATTTTGTATTTTCTGAGAAAGGACATAGGAAAATTGTTCAAGTGCACCTGTCTCCTTATATTAATTTAAAATTCCCACAAACTTTTTAAACATTGTTAAAAAATTTTATAAGAAACCTTTTCTGGAATAAATATAATTTAATATAAGAGTAACTTTGTCATATTTGACTCCCTTTATACATTAAAAATCTTATAGAAAACTTTTTATTAGTATAATTATTTAAACTAAATAAGCTAGTCTTAAATATAAAGTCTAACTATAGTATAGTCTTAAATATAGTATAGCTAAGTCTTGAGGAATTAATAAAGAAATAATAAAATTGAATAACATTGATAACAATGCTTATTAATTATCATTCTTTACTGAAGCAACACTAGTTGAGAAACGTTGCATTAAGGAGAAAATGTTTAGAATCAACAATTTTTTAAAAATAATGTTATATGCATGAAATTACAGTTGATTATAGTTTATGTAAGATTTCTATCTTGAAATATGGCATTTATATACAACCAAATTTGCAGTTATAATGCATAAAAATCTGTAAAAAACATATAATTTAACGCTAAAAAATTTAATAGTAAAATAAAGCAAAAAAAGAACTAGAACAAGATCAATTGAATATTTTAAAGTCACTAGCACAAGTGAAAATAACATATACTCTGCCGAAATTGCATTTTAAATTATTTCAAGTAAAATGAAGGAAATACAGTATATAAAAAAAAATCACATATCATAACAACAGCACATATCATGTTTGGATTTAAGGTAAAATATAATTTTTGTAACTCATATTAAGCCAATAGTTTGACTAAACAAAAAAATTATTAATTTTAGTTTTGTAAATTCATTCGCAGGGGTGCTAACTTTCCAAACAAGCTATCACCAATTAAAAGTACAAAACCCGAGAAATATATAGAATGAGTGCTTATGAAATTCAATTTTCATGTGTTAATCCTACTTAATTTTATATAGGTATAAAATATCAATAAATTTATGCATGGCCTCACTGTTAAATAATAAAAAAAGTAACACTTTGATAAAGGAACTAAATTAAATTATGCAATACAGAATTTCAAACTTCATTAGAAAATTAAAATCGATTACTTTGAATTAATGTACAAAATGTTTTAAGGTGTAACTACTAAACAAAAAAATATAATTTCATCTTAGTTTCTTAACTTCATTATCAGGGGTGCTAACTTTAAAAACAAGCTGCTATTAATCGAAAGTACAATAATGCAGAAATATATAGAGTGAGTGCTTATTACATTCCAATTAGAGCAATTTTAAAGTATATATACTACTTAATTCTATATAGGTATATAATATTAATAAAGTTTGCATTTACTTTACTGTTAAATGATAAACAATGTAATAAAGTTTGCATTTACTTTACTGTTAAATGATAAACAATGTAACACTTAGATAAAGGTTCTAAATTAAAATTATGCAATACTGAAATTTTATACTTAATTATAAAATGAAAAACATTAAATGATTTCATTGAATCAATGTACAAGTTTCTGTCTCAATTAAAGCTAGACTTTATTGCCTTTTTACCATCCTGCATTTGAACCATAAAAAAAAGTTTTGCTCGCAGCCTTTCAGATTTGAATTTCTGTTTGTTTGCTTTTGTATAATGAGAGAGGACTAAATTTCATACTTGGAAAGGGATACAGTAAAATTTCTTTGATATTTTTTATTTCGTGATTCTATCAAATCATTTTTGCTTTTATTTATTGCTTTTAGAATTGTTTAAGGAGTAGAAAAAAATTAATGTTAATTAGTTACAAACATCCAAATTTTTATAATTCTGGGTAGTTAGGGAAAAATATTAATCTAAACAGATTATTACTGAAATTTTCAAAACCATAATTTTTATTACTTAACCATAAGAGTGTAATCTTGACTACGAAATTATAGCAATTATAGATACATCATTATAGTTGGCACCTCTGCATTAGTGACAGATACATATAAATGAACAAATGATTAGGAAAAGTCAGGTTTATTTTGGGGAAATCTTGATAGGTAAGTTATATTTTGAAGAAAACATTTGTCATAAGTTAATTGTATATTTTGACAAAGAAAAGTGTCTTAAATGTTGCTAATTAAGATCGCAGGAATATTACAATTTTTCATTTAATATATACAAATGTAATAAACCTATTAGACGAACAAAAATAACAATTACATAATTTTTAAAATTTTTCATTTGCTGTAGGAAGCAACAATAAGTATAACAAAATGCTGATGCTGTTAAAATGCTAACAATGAAAAAAAAAGCATAGCACAAATTCATAACAAAATTGTACATAACCATAACTGAGTATCTAATCAAACCATAAACAATTTAAACAAATTTAATTTATAAGGATCATACTGTGTTCTCATTCATAACAAGAAATGCAAAATTTGAAAATAGTTTAATATAAAGAACAAAAAGTAAAAAAAGAATGATGTAAAATAAAAATGTTAACAATTAAAATGCAAATTTCAAATCTTAAAAAGGATCCCTAATTAAAATAAGACTAAGAATGAAATGTATGACAAACCTTCTCAGATAGTTAAATTTATAAATATACCTTAATGAACCCATTGCAAAAAAAATTGTTATGGCATAAAAGTTTGAACATTATAACTTCATATCTGTTTCTTAGATTAAGATATAAATCTAAAATATTCATTTTTTACTCTTACTAAATCTATATCATTCAGACTGTTTTACCCAATAAAAAGTTTCTGCATTCATAACAAAACTTATTTAAAAATTTTCAATTTTGCAGAAACTATTATTGTAAAAAATAAAACCCAAAAAGTTGATTTGTCTTAATTTATTTTTTTAAAAATCAAGCTTTAAAGAGCCAAATTTTTTAGCATAAATCTTTATTTACATTTATAGTATATCCTATTTTATTGTACACACATTTTGTTAATTACAGCAAACGATTGTGTATTATTTGTAAACTAACTACAAAAAATTACACTAGAAAACAAATCTTTTAAATTTACAAAACCCTAAATTTCTTTCTTTTTTTTCAAACAAATCAAATAACAAATCAAAAATTGAATATTTAATATACCAGAGTTCAGCTAACATTTTTACTTTCTAGCCTAACAGTAAACTCATAATTTGGCCTATATTTTTCTGTTAACATTTAAAGACTTTTTCTTAGACAAGTTAATTTTCATAGTAATTTTTGTTGCTTCTAACAGTAGCTCTATTAAAACATATATTGAGATCCTGATAATCCAAGTTAATTTGAACTGATACCAATACAGATTATTTAGAATAAACAAATTTTTCAAACTTAAAGAAATATGCTTAAAAGCAACTAGTATTTTTAAGGAAATGAGATTATTTTAAAAGACACAACTTGATGACAAACTGATGTATAAAGAAAAAAAAATTACATAAATGAATTATTGCTTTATCAGTAAGTTTCTCTTCACAATCCTATAAAGTAATTTTTCAACGTATTACGAAATCAAATCTATAGAATTAATTAAATTTACTGCATTTATTTTTAAATTAAACAAGAGAGTATTAAAACATGTTATTTGAAATGAAAATAATTTTCAACATCTTAAAATCAAACATTTCTGACTCATTTTGGATTAATTCATTTGGATTATGGTTTTGGAGACTTAGATTATCAGGACTTTACTGTATAGGAACAATAATAAACAATATTTTCAGAAAGATAATTTAGTATTGTTCACTGGTCAACAAAAAGTAAGAATTGGAAAAACTAAAATTCTTAGGGTGTTCTAGCAAAATTTTGACACAGACAAGATTGAGAATACTGAGTTGCTTAACATGCAACACACGACTCAGAAATCCCATTTTCCAGAATACCGATTTTTTTACCTTATTCCATCAAATGCTCTATATGCAGTCTGGAAATTTTTTATGCATCTACTTTGAAATTTATCTAAGTTAAGTAAGCTATTTTCTTCCAATTTTGTAAAAAATAAACTACTAGAAACTTTTTAGTAGCATATATGCCTTTGTCAAAACATTTACTAGAATCAATTCTAATAGTTTATCCAACACAATTTTTGTTGCCAGTGTTATTAAACACAACTTTAAGAGAATAAGATTATATCAAATATCAATATACATATATATAGTTCTTTGATCAAGAATATTTAATCCTCAATAACTGATATATCAATGGAAGGAGAGCCTTTTTGTATTAAGCAAGTGTGCTCCCATGCATAAGTATGAGAATTACTATTTCCAGAATGGAATTCATTACTAGGTGCTATTTTCATCACATCTAATATAAGAGTTGGATTGTTATGACTGCAAAGAATATCAAGTTTGTAGATACCAGAGTGAAAAAATATAAATCCACATTCATGAGAAAATTCTTCGTGAGGTTTAATCTAGAAAAAATAAAAATAGAAAATCAATTTTAATATATGTTATATACATTCCTAAGCATAATATAACCAAAGAACTTTATTCTGAGTTTTTGTGTATTTTCAAGCAAAAGATAGCAAAAAAAGAACAAACACAGGAAATAAAAAAAGTTAAAGAATAGAATCAGAAAAAATATTTAAAAAGCATTAAAATTTTGTAAGTAGTTATTTTATGAATTAATATTACTTCTGTTTAAATGTAGCTTCATGGGGTAAAAAATATCAAACTTAATATTACATAATTTACAAGAGTTTTTTAAATATTTATTTTACTTTTAACAAGGAATTATGTACATTGCTAATATATCAACAAGTCAAAAAATGTGGCATTTAAAAATTTTCAAATTATCTAAGGATAATTAACACTACAACTAACAATTTAAATCTAAGTAAGATGCTCTGAATTGCAAACAAAAGATGCTTCATTGTAGCATAATCTACGACAGCTTCTGGATTTCATTTTCACCGCTAATCATATTAAAAGAACTGACTAGAAGAATCTCTACTGCTGACATACCACAGAATGAATGAATGAATGACCAGAAAACTAATGGAGATGTTTCTAAATCAGGTTTGGAGAACCAGGTTTGAAACGTTTTCTAAGACTTATCATCTTGGATAGAGAGCTGTGATTAAAGAGGAAACTGAAAGGGGAGAAACAGATCTGAGGTATATTACAGCATACACAGACTGCTGAGACTTGTTAGATGGCTCGCTTTAAAAAAGTGCACTGATCAGGTAGAGGTGAATTTAATAGCGAAGTAATAAAGTTACTTTCAGACAGGAGTTAATTCATTTTGCCTATAAAGCATGAGAATCCATTTCAGAAGAAAAAATTATTAATTTAGATCAGGGGTTTCCAACTTACATGAGGCCGGGGGCCGCAATTAAGAACACCAGTCAAATGGCGGGCCGCAACTTTATCAACATTTTATATAGTACTCTTTTATATTTGAAGGAACATTAAATGTTACAGTCAGATTTTTATCAAGTTGTGGAAAACATTAGTATTGAATTACAAATCAAAATGCAAAGTAGATTTTTACCTGAGAAATAAATTTTTTGCACTTTCAGTATGTTAAATTTCACAGAAACGAAGAAATTAGGCCTTTTCTAAAGAAAGAAAAGTATTTCAAACCCATAAAGGTTTTTTACGGAAATTTTCCGCAAAAAAATAAAAACTAATATATTTTAGTTTGCGGGCCACAATAAAAGGCTTCGAGGGCCAGACCTGGCCCTCGGGCCACCAGTTGGTAACCACTGATTTAGATAATGTATTTAATTCCCAATAAGAGGAAATTAGCATGGCATCAGGAGAAGCTGATGAATTGAGGATGACTCTTATATTTCCTTTGATGGATTTTCAGATTAAAATTCATTGATCGCTATACAATAAATGCTTATAATTTTTTCTTTTAACTAGCTTTTATTCTTCAGTCAATGTGTGTTTCACAATGGCACTGGTATTTTCTAGTTACAGTTAAGAATAAAGATAAGTAAAGAATTTTAAGTACATTTTACTTTTTATTTTGATAATGTTGTAAATTTGTTTTACTTATGTTCATACTTATGAATAAATAGCATTCCTCAGTATTGTTAATTGAATCAACTGAGAGTAAATATCTATCTATCAATAAATATGAAGAATTTTAACAAAAATTACTTTTTAAATTATTACCAATTGGCAATGCACAAACACATGAAAAAATTAGTTATCCTGCTACTAATTATTTTTAAATAGTTGAGAGATGTATATTTCTACTTTAGTAAATATGAAATTTGGTTATTTTATTTACTGTAAAACCTTTAACTTTTTTTAGTGATTTTTAATTACCAAATGATTTTTGAATTTTAAACTTATCAAGCTATGAATGTTTTCAAGATTTGCTCACCTCTTCTATATACATTTTTTCATTCCCAATGATTGCTCTTTTGTTATCTAATCTATGACTTTGATGTCCATTCTGATGGTCTTGGTAATCACGAACAAACAAGTATAAATCATAAAGTGACACATCTAAGAAAAATGCAAAAAATATTAATAATCATAATTAATCTAATATAATCATAATTTAACATCTAATCATCTAATTTAACATCTAATATAATCATAATTTAACAAAAACGATCAAAACTATATGAATTTGCAATGGAATCCTCATGAATTAAGCACCTCAGAAAAAGATAACTGAAGTTCGAAATTAGTCTTTCCTTAACATTGAATTAAAAATAACAGAATAAGAGAAAACCATTAACTAAGAACATTATAAATAACTGATGAAAAAACTATTGTTACGCTATGTGTAAGTAGGATGAAATCGCTGTGAATCAAAAGCATTAAAAAGAAATAAAGTGAACAAAACAAGTAAAAATGTTTTTAAGAAAATGCCTCAGAATTATGATGAAACCAAAAACACCTGAAAACTATTTTCCAATAAATTATTAACAAATAATTGTAACTCGAATCCTCATGCACATACGGTAATAAACTTAAACTAATAAAAAAAACATCAGAATTTTAAACACCACAGGGAAATAGCTGAAAAAGCAATGTGGATTTATGATGCAATCGCTCAAGATGGATTCGTCAGCGTCAAAAAATAACTCAAATTTGAAATAGCAAGTTATAACACTATCGCAAAAAACACAGACAGATAAGAAGACACACAGGAATAAATGACACACGGCTAACCGATTAGGCTTTTATTATTAAAATAAGGCATAACTTAAAAATTATGCTTTTAAGAAATAAAAATATTTGATTCCCAAAAAAATTCTACAATAAAAATGGAAAACACATAATAATCATACAAGTATTACAACTATTGCGACTTTTAATGACTAATTCAAATAATATTGCATGTAATAAGATAAAAAATATTGTTCACCCACCTGTAACATTGTTAAGTTTAATACTGATAGTAATAAAATCTCCAGCAAGGAAACAGAAATCTTGTTCAGCTTTGTACAATCTACCATTTACTTTGATATCTAAACAAAAATACACAACAGAACTATATATAGGGTTGACATAATTAAATTTCCTCTACTCAGAGGATAACACAAGGCATACTGTGGTCCAGAATGGAATAAAATTTGAGCAAGAGACAAAGAGCATGTACTAATTTATAAAATAAAATATTACTGAACGTTTTTCATTGGCCTTTATTTTTTATGTGACTCTTCAAAAATATTTGTAATTGATCTGAGCTGAGCCTGGCTAGTCATGCTGGCTAGACAACCTGGCTAGTCTGGCAAGAGAGTCGAAGAGAAAATAATAGCATTAAAGCTGACTTGCCTTATTAATACTTTGAAATTAGGAAAAAATGCAAGTTGCACCCATTTATCCTAAAAATTTACACGTATCTGGTTTAAAAAGTAATACAGTCACTTACCCCAACTATATTTATCCTTTCATCAAAATAACCAAAAACCTCTATCAATCTGGCCTTAACACATTTGAAGGACAGCATTATTTGGCTTAACCTACTATAAAAGGCATAGGAATCTGACCAACGGAAGAAAATACACACCCTTTAAGTAAGGAAATTGTCCAATCAACATGGGCTTATTAGGTTCTGCAGTGGCACAAACTGTTTTGATATAAGAGAGAGTTGCTGAGGAACATAATACTCATAAACCACACCTGTAAAGAGCTTTGTAATTTCTTCATTGGCTTATCTTCAGGTTTTTATTAACAGAACTAGTCTATTTCAGTTGTGGTCAGCCTTATGCTCTTGTGCCTTATGTTCATGTGTGGTCTGCCTTATGCTTATGTTCATGTGTGGTCTGCCTGTGGTAGTTCAGTTGTGGTCTGTCTAATGCTCATGGGCTTTGCCAGAAACATTTTTCTAAATTGATAATCATCAATTCTGGCTAAATGACCACCCACAAACTCTGTAATTTTACAAATTTTCCTACATCAGGTTGTCTATAGATCTTGTAGAATTTTAAGTTTAACTTCTCCATGCTGTTTAACTGGAACCCTCCCCAGTATGAAGCACACAATATTTTTCTAAAAATTCCCATAAGCTTACTTATCACTTAAAAACAGAATGCAATTCTCTGGTGTTTAAGGCAGAACAGTTCTACTAAGACTTTTAAAAATAAAACGTTTAGTATCTATTTCCACTTTGTAACTAGTGCCACATATTTATAATATATTTTTTTTATTTTATAAATCTGAATATATAATTTCAAGCTTTTGTTGTTAAAAATTCATGTCAATCTAACCCATAGTCCTACACAGCCATCTGAATAATAAAAGTTTAATTTTAATAGCTATGTATTAAAGTGAAAACATAAAAAATTCTCTTACAGTGACAATCTTACAGATTTTATAAGCAGTAAAGTATTTATAATAGAAAATATAATCACAGTGCCACATCTAACAAAAATGACACATTTACTCAACTCAATTGCTTATAACTTTTATATCCGTGTGATTTTAAGCCAAGCAATGCTTTTAAACTAAGCAATTTAGATATGATAGCACAATGTGGTTAAAGCACTAGACTGTCATTGTGAGGAAGTGGGGTTTGATCCCCAGTGGTGGCTTGAAGCCCACTAGCTTCACTTCAATAGGTACTAGCTTCTCAGGAAAGTAGAGGAGGTCTGTGCGCAGTGCTGACCACATTACCAAAATCATGCTGGTGGTCACAAAATTGTAGACTTGCTTTACTTTACTTTTAATTTAGATATGATGGAATGTGAATAAGAAGCTGCTGTCTTAGTTTATACATTTGGCAGTAGGTGTCTATGGGGCTCAGAGCTTTTCTGGAGTGAAAAATTAAAATAAAGAAAAATATATAAAAAGTTAATAATTTTTTTTTTACATTTTAAAGTACGTTGATAGTTTGTTAACATTCAATTCCTTTTACTGCATTATTTTTCTGAAAAGTATAGATGATTGTATGATAGTGTGTTTCCTTTTAAGAATTTTTAAATAGGCTTAAATTAAAACAAAACAAAAAATGCATTCGGAATATTTTTTTGAAGATTTCATTTTATAATTATCATTTGAAAGTTCTGTCTTCACGTAAATTATTTTATTCCTTATTATTACTTCTCTGTGACATTAACTTTGGTCCCTTCTCTTTCCCAAAGCAACTTTGCATAGACATCATAACTTTAAAAACATTGCTAATTTTTTTTTTCAAAATCAAATACTTGGATTAATTATTGATAAAACTCAATAACATAAAGATAAACTTTTGGTATGCATCAACTAATGAATTGAAATTTTCTCCTGAAATGAATTCTGAAAATTAGCTACAATACCATTGGTGTAGAAACATTGACTAACAGCAAAGGTAGTGATTGTAAAAGTAAGAATGCAGCCACTTTTGGTACAAGAAAATAGATGCATCTCAAACATATAATTGTAGCGATAAATTCATAGGTCCCACAGTCTTACTTTTTAAAAATTTTGTGTCCTACTTTTTAATATTAGATATTCCATGTGATGTAAGCATGTCAGTGATAGCCTAAACTTTTAGTGATATTTTAATAAAATCTTGAAAGGATTTGTCCAAGAAAAACTTCAAGATCATTTTTCAGAAACTAAATTATAAAGTGCTTAGACACGTAGCTTTGAACAGAAAGAGTAAAGAATAAGATAATTACCCCATTCAATAGGTGATTTAAAGATTAATGCTAGCATATCATCAGTCCAACTAATTTCAGATATTGACGCTTGTCCACTAATTTCTAAAGATGGGTATCAGTGTTAAGGTAGCTTTAGTTTAATATAACAATTAGTTAATATAATGTCTGATCGATAATATTAACAAAAAAAAGAGTATTAACTCCTAGCTTTCTAAATATTATTATCTTTCTTTTATGTGCATTTATTCCTAAGATACATATAGACAGGGTTAAGTTATGTTAGCTAAAGTGTCAATAAGTGACATTAAAGACCCCATTGATTAGCATATAGAGCATGCTAATCTTGCTTTATTGTGCTTTCTTTTAATTTCTTCTTTTTTTGTACAATATGCAAAAAAGCGAAATAAAAATAAAACACTTCGATAACTTTCGATCAGATATTATTTCATATATATTTTAAGATATTGAGAAGTAAACTTAATGATTAGAAGTGCAGTTGGAATTATGAAATGAAATATACAACTTGCTTAAATAAACATAATTTTTTTTTACAGATTTAAATTCTTAAACTTTAAAAATAGGAAGGTGGCTGAAACCTGGTTTAAATAGTTTACCCCAGACAGTAGATCAAAATGTTAACACTTACAGTTTACTTTTTATATATTTTTATTCATTAAGTAAATTATTTAAATGAATCACAACATTTTGCACATAATTATAAAACCTATTTATTCAAAGATCATTCCTTGTAAAAAATACATTTTAACTATTATTATTTTTTGTTTCAATAATGATTGAAAAAGTTCTGAATTATAAAATTTCAAAAATGTTATCTCCTTTTAAAATGTGAAATTTTAAATGGCAAAATTGAATAAAATTAGTCAAATAGTTTCTGAGCACTTGAACTTTAAAAAAAGTCAGAATTTTAAGCATTTCAACTTTTGAAAACAATAATAAAGTTTATATTTTGTCTTTTAGAAATACATAGTTTCAATACACTTCAAAAGTTTTTTGATTATTATTAAATTTAATAATAAAAAATTACACATTTACATAGTCTAAAATGAAGTAAAAATTTATACTGGACTGAAATAATTCTAAATCCTTTTTTTCGCATTGCAGAAATATTTTAACCTTGCATAAATTAGAACTATTTCAGTACTGCATAATTAAGTCATTCTCACACAGAAAAAAAACTAGATAATCATTAAATTAAATTTTAAAAAATAATAAAGAACTTTAAAAAATTATGCATAACATCTTTGGGTAAACGAGCTTTCAGGGTTGGGTTTTTGCCGTCAAAAACTGGTTTTTGACATGACAGTGGTAAAGACTGTGTTTTTACCGGTAAAAACCGTCAAAAATCTACTGTTTTCTTAAATTTATGCCATATAGCGGACAATATATTATTTTCACATAATTGGAAGAATCTGGAATTGGAAAAATGGAAGAATCTGTTCTTAAATATCTTTTAACAACTTTTTTTCTAATTTTATTGCCCAAAAATTAATTAATTTTAAATTATAAGCAGTTAAACTCAAATAAAAATACAGTTTTACCAAAACTATGGGTTTTTGACGTTTTTGACAGAGGGGTTTTTGAAATGACGGTAAAAACCGTCATGTGTCAAAAACTTGCCAACCCTGCGAGCTTTACAACTGTGTACAAACGTTTTGATTTGCTGAAACAGTATCATAGATACAACTACATAACATGCAAAAAGTGACCATAAAATTTCATGGGTCCAAACGTTTGACCACTTTTCTTAATAAACATTTAGAACACATTTTCTAGATTTCAGCTACTCTCCATATTTTGAGGGGCAGAAATCCAAATCCGAAAGAAGGTATGCTTATCGAAAGAAACAACACTTTTGTGTCTGATTTGGTAACTTAAAATTCAATTTGTAAAACTAATTTGGCATATTTAAAGTTTTTACTTCAAATAAGATTACATAGGTAGGGGTATGTGAAAAACCAACAATTAGATCAAGATAATAACTATTCTAATGTTCTGCATTTAATTTTGCAGACTGAACACATATATTAGTTTTAAATTATACATTTAGGAGTCTTTAACTCTTTAACTGCGACATTGCTTGAGCAAATTTGTTTCCCTGGCAATCATTGTTTCAGCATTAAATAACAAATAAGAAAATTAATTTTCTGTGACAGTTTGTAAGGTAAGCAGAGTTTAAAAATTGAGAGTTAAGGGGTAAAATAAAAGTAATAATTATAGTGAAAAAAACCAATGCTTAAAATATCAAGAATAGTGCAAAATTTTCATTGCATAAAAACTATTATAAAAGGATATTAATGTCCATTGTAGATCAACTAAATTAACTAAATGATCTCGACATGCAGCAAATAATTTAGCCTTCTTCTGGTCATGAGGATCTTCCATATTTTTCCACAGATGCCCACAAATGTCCATTGATGACCATATATCTCCAAAACTAGCAGACATAACTGATAGTGGACATCTTTCGACGGGAACAGGAACCCTACATACATCGTGAGCTTCAATCAATATCCTCTTATTCGATGTATAGATCACTTCCATCTCATAGGCAGTTGAGTTCTGTATATCAAGGACTAGATAACAATGTGTGGGTCTAAAGTATTGATTATAATTAATTAGTTCACAAAAAATAAAGTACATGAAAAAATAATTTTGAAAACAAATGTATGATATTTACGTAGCATTAAACATTAAATCTTGAAAAAAGAGTGTTTAATGAATTAATAGATAAATCAATCCAACAACATTTGTTTTGCATTTGATTACAGTAGAACATAAGCAGGGGTGATTGTGAGCCCAAGTCAAAATTCCGGAAAATTTCTTGAGTTAAAAAAAACGAAAACAGTTTAAATTGAAAAAAATTTAAGCAAGTTTTTTTCCTCCTTTTTCTTAACCCTTTCGAGCCGACTGTCACATATATGTGACAGCAAGAAACGCGCTCACTTCCCGGCCGACACACCCGCGTGTCAGAGAGTTTTCTCGTTCACCCCCAACCGTCACATATTTGTGCCAGCGTTTTGGAACGTTTTAAAAAATGAAATTTCTTCCAAAAGATGGCATTGTATGTCCATATGGTTTCAGATACATGTAGATTTGACCTTCTACTCAAGATGAAAGTACATTCACGTGGTTTTTAGGGGAAGGAGAGGAGGGGGGGAATGTTTTATGAGGGCTCTTTAAATTAGCACGTGATATTTATTTACAGTAAGTAAGGGAGTTTTTTTTATCTCTCGCTACTTTCGATTTTCGGATTAGTTTTTAGTGGATAATTAGATCTTGTAGGCTTGAATTTTTTTTCTTTTTACCGTTAGAATGTCGAAGCGTCGAAAATTTTTAACTGAGCTGGAAATAGAGGAAATTATGCGAAATATTTAAACTTATTAATATTTATATTACATTTAAACAAGAAATAACTTAAGTAAATAAAGTATCCATAGAAATATATATAAAGCATATGTCACTTAAATACTCTACAGAACAATATTAAACAACGCGCTGATATTTCGGTAATTTCATGGAATTAGGCTTAACATCGAAAAACCCTCCGGCCCTGGGGAGACACACGCTAGAGAGACTGCCGGCCTCAGCGGTAAGCGCGCTTTCGCGCTTTGCGTCGCGAAAGGGTTAATGTTTCTTGGTTTACATAAAATATATTTAAAATTTTACACGCCTATACCATTTACACATACCTATGATGACCTGGAAAAGTAATTAAAATTTACAAATATGTCTTTCTTTCTTGAGTTTATGATTATAATAACTATTTACTGATAAAAAATGAATATTAATCACGAATATAAGCTTAGAAAGTATCTGTCTCTCCCTTACAAACAAATAAACAGTGTTTTTAAGTTCCACCTTTGAAAATTTGATTTTCGGAAACTTCTGCGATCAATGATTTTTTGAAACGTCTGGACCTTCGATCTCCGGAAACTTCCGGATCACTGCTAGCAAAAAATCCGGAAATCCAGATTTTTTCCGGAGCACAATCAGCCCTGCATAAGTAAATGACTTCCTCAATTGAAAATTTTAAAATTCTGCATTTGTAAAATCATGTTTTTAAAAAAGAAATGAAAATGGCTTACTGAAAATTCTGTATATAAGAATATCTGGAATTTTATAATATAAGAATATTACAAACACTCATTGAAAATCTTAATTAGTAAATGATCAAAGAACAGTCATTTTTGTGTTACATAAAAATAGAAGACAAACCTATCACGTTTAGATTAATGAAACTATGTAGGTGAGTAAATACAGTACAGAACCTTTTATCTGGTGTCTAAAAAAACGGGAAACCAAAAAACTGGGAAGATTTTTGTGTTTTCCCACCTTTGCGAACTAAAACAATAGCAAAATAAAGAAATTCCAGTCATCCTTGAAGTTGAATATACAGAAAGGTTTGGGGTCTTTGATTTATGAGGTGGAAATGCACTACAGATGCTTATCAGAGAACAGAAGGTGGAAAGGTATTAGAAATATACATTACTATACTTCACAATGTAAATATAATAAAGTAAAAAAAGTGAAGTGGAAATACAAATCTCCCCATTCAATCATATGCAAAGGAGCAACAGACTTAGATAAAATTAATGAACCCAAAATCTCAATTAAAGACCTTTTTATTCAAATTATTAACTCTTGTAAATAGTTTTAACCCATTTCGACGCCACCTAATTCTGACGAAATTTATTCGAAAATTATTACATTTATTAAAAGTTTTAATTTTTATTTCATAAAATATTTTAATCGTTTTTAAAGAATAACTTAACTCCAGAATAGACATGTGCAAACAAAACGATGATTAAACAAGACGTGCCAAGATCTTATGCTTAAAATCCTGTGATCCACCTAAAATGGATAATATATGTAGCAGCAAGTTGGAAAAATGAATTCCGAAAAGTAGCTCCCTCTGTCTAGTAGAAATACCAACAGCTGTCCATCCAATTCACAATGCCTAAAAGCCAAATAGAATTATGTAATCCCAAGGAAAGTGCGACTGAACAAAGCAGAGAAAGAAATTCTCAAATCTTTCCCTGCCAGATTGAGTGTGGGGTAGAATGGAGAAATCTTGATCTTTTTCGTTTTGTTTTTTATCTATGTTTATAATTTCCTAAAATGAAATCAGCATCTTGTAAACAAAATCAGATGAAACAAACGGTGTTGTTTTTTCTCTGATTTACGAGGTAGATATATAAGCAAATAGAAATGATTGGTAAATTAAAAGAAAAATACTTCGTTATGCTTTACTGTATAATTATAATAAATTAAAAGAATGAAGTGAAAATACAAATTTTTAATTGGAATAGTAAGACAGCTAAAATACGGCTGTTTTGTTTTTAAATATTAAAGTAGAAATATAGTTAAGCTGCATGTAATCATTTTTTAACCATCCAGAAAACCGGAAAATACAGACATCCGAGATAGTGATGGTCCCTAGCATTCTATATAATTGGTTCTCCATTGTAGTTCTATTTCCTGCAATTCTGTATGAATAGCTGTTGATGATTGTTGTTGATAATTTTGTATAAGCAGTAGTTAATGATAAAATAGCAATTATGAAAAATTCTTTATACTTGTTCACTTTTAAGGAGTGCCACGATTGTTATTCAGGAAATTTATATCTTTCTAAATTTATGTTAGAACTTCAACAACATATATCATGGACTTTAAGTTGATCCTTTTAAAGCCTGAATTTATGGTATCACTGTGATGTAAAATCCTCAATTTTCCTATTTCCTAATTAGCTACTAGCACCATTTTTCACCTTATAGGTAAGTTTTTAAACTAAATTGTTTTTTCCCATTATCTTCTTCCCATTTAATTCCTATTTTCTATATCAAATTTGACAGGAGTTTGACAAATATATCACACAGATGCCTCAGAGTACACTCAGTTTAATGAAAATATTCTGTTAGAAATAGTTCACAAATACAGAAACGTAAATTGCTGTAATTCATTTTCATAACCAGGAAAATATATATACATCGTAACTTACATTTCTGATGGAATAACATCCCATTTTGTTATTAAAATTGAAGAAAGAACTTCAACAGTTAAAGCTATTGCACATCTCCTACAATAGCCAGCTTCCATGCCAGGACCACCAGAGTACTGAATTTGCAGAACAGCTTCAATTACCTATCAAATATTAAAATTTTTTAAATGAAGTAGAAAGAACAATAAAAATAAATAAATAACCAGGAATATTACACACAATTAGAGAAAGCACATAATATAAAACACTTTTCAAAATGACTTTAAATCTATTTATATGATAGATAGATAACACTGGTTGAAGACTTTTGAATGCCACTGTAAATTTTCAATTTAATACCCAACAGATGGTTATATTAGCTTTCTAAGAGATTGCAAATATTGCTGCTGTCTTAAAAATAATTGGATTTTTGGAAAATTATATTACAAATGGAAGAAAAATTAACAAATTATATAAAATTTCTAAAATTCATAAAAAATTAAATAATTATGGAAAATGGCATCAAACTAAAAGAAAAAAATACTTTTTAATGCAAATTTTATACATACATAAAAATATTATTCTGACTTCAATTGTTCACTAAATTTAAACTCAAAATTAATGTTTCATTATTTAAACATTGGCAAGTAAGCGGTTCAAGAAAAATAACCAAAGTTAAGGTAAGTTGTAGATTTTTTTGCAAGGTTTCCTCACTACCAAATATTTCCAGGTACCTGCATTTAACTATTTATCTTAGGAAAACTCTCTATCGTCTCTTATGAAGTATTAAAGAAAAATTTATTTAACTTAATAAAAATTCTATTATATTTTTTGTTTTCAAAATGGTACTATTTTTGTGTTTTCTTTTTGAAAAAAATCTTTCCAACGCTTTAATTGTCTGACCAGATTAGGATATAAACAGAAAAGTAACCCCTATTCATTATTCCTGTTCTTGTTTTCAGGGTTGCCACAGTAAAAAATGAACAAAAATAGTTGCTTTTAGTAGCCTCAAGCATGAAAATAGTTGCCTAAAACTATGAAAATAGTTGCCTGAACAGGAACAAAAATTTATCAAAAATAGTAGGCAAATAACTAAAATTATAGCTTGATTGTCAAACACTATTATTAGGACTGGGTGATGTCAGAAACTTTAAATCGTGATACATCGTCAGTTAGACATCACGATATAGTGATGTATCGTAATTCAGCATATGTTCAAAAATTACCTATGGGAAATCTTTAAATCAATCAAAAATAAATAAAAAGGAATAAATCTAGTAGAAAAGAAAATATTAATTCTAAACATACTTTACTATGACATCAATATCATAGCTTAATTTTTTCAATTAAATTAATAAAGAAGTCAAAGTAAAAGCAAACCCAAGCTTTATTTTATTTTTCTTAAATTAAAAATGATTTAAGATTTATTGGTTTAAAAATAATAATACTGTAACAAATTATTTTACATACATGCATTAAAAATTAAAAGAAGAAAAAGAAACGAAAGTGGAAAACAAACCAAAGAAATGTTCACTTTAGAAAAAAAAAATTTTGGTTTGTTATTTGTTGAAAAAAAAAACATGCTATTGAAACATCAATAGACCCTTTTTTATTTATTTATTTAAAATAATAAAAAGTAGTATTAACTAATGGTCAAATTCTGTACATAATAAATGCAAAAATATTTTTACTTATTAATTATTATTTTCATTTTTGAAAATAAAATCGACTAAAGATTTATTTGTTTAAAAATGATACTGACTATCAAACAAATTAAGAAACAAACAAGTATTGAAAGAATTTTAATAAAAATTTTAAAAAAATACTTTAAGTACTAATGTTAAATTATTAAAAACGTCAAAACATTACAAAACTTTTTTTTTAATTAAAAAAAAAATTGTTTTAACTAATAGCCAAATTTTTTTAAACTTTGTTTTCATTTTCTCAAAAATAAAAGCAAATTAAATAAAAGTAAGCTTTGTTTTAATTTTTTTATAATTAAAAACGACTGAGCATTTATTGGTTGAAAAACAATCAAATTATTATACTTAACTACATTTAATAAATTTAAAAAAAACTAACTTTTTTATAACAAAGTTGAATACAAAATACCCCTATTAAATTGTATTGCCTAAAATAAAAAACAATAATTGAAAAAAATCAATGATTTGATCTATTGAGTTCAGAACGAAAATTTAAGATAACAGCGATTGTGCAGCAATCGCAAAGTAACAGTAGGTCTACTAAAAATAGACAAGAATCGTTAAACCCAGACAGAAAAAAATGGAAAGAAATAATGCAGAACAAAACGATCGCTGCAAAAGTCTCACTGAAAGTAATTTACAAGAAACCCGACAATTATTTCCGACGAAATAAAATGCACAACGATCGCAAAATAAGTCCCATTGAAAATAATCTTCAAAAAACGCAAAATCCCAAACACAAAAATGGACATAAACTATGCATTGCGTTCTATATTACAATGCTGACCCTCGCACGAAACCGGGAGTTCTGATTCAATTCGCTTTTCGTCATTCAACATCACAAAACTAACATCATCTTAATAGCAAAACGCTATGTACATCTCTGCAGCAAGACAAAATCAAAATCGTCTTCGTTAGTGCGGTAACAGCGTTAGCCTAGTCAAGGATCCTTGCATATTAAATCGTTAAAGCGCGATTGTAATCTAATTCCGGTGGCTTAAATCAGATTTCTGATGCATCGCCTAAAACGAAAGTCACTACATCAGTCACTATTGATATTTCGCGATACATCGATTTATCGTCCAGTCCTAACTATGCTCCAATTAAAAGTTTTGTACAAAAAAGGTATACATATTAGAAAATAGGTACCTAAAGAAAAGTCGAATTACAATAAAATATGAATGTTAATAATAGGAAAAAACAATTAAAAATAACAAAACTGCCCCTCAGAAAGAACATATAACAAGTACTTTATTAAATCCAATGGAAATTTAAATTTTTGGCTCTTTGGACATAAAAAAGTTTGTATAAAAGTTTGCTTTCTTTTATTAACGTTCTGAAAAGTAACGTTCATTTTTGCGAAAAAACTTCGCCAAGAGTAAAAAAAATCTCTTAATAGTCGCCTATTCCTGAAAATAGTTGCTTTTTTTGCCTTTAAAGTTTGCTTTCTTTTATTAATGTTCTGAAAAGTAATGTTCATTTTCGCGAAAAAACTTCACCAAGAGTAAAAAAAGTCTCCTAATAGTCGCCTATTCCTGAAAATAGTTGCTTTTTTAGCCTTTTCAGACAAAAAAAGTTGCCATAATCGCCTTAGGCCGAAAATAGTAGCAAATAGTTGCATTTTAGTAGCCTATGGTAACCCTGTGTTTTATTTTTCTGCAAGATAGCAATGATGTAGTAATGAGTTAAAATTCAAAGAAATTTTATATAGGCACAAAAGAAAACATAATTCTAATAACTTCTCTTTTTATTTTATGTTATTGATATTCAACATTATTCTGAGTAGAGATTTCCGGTTCTAAATCTCACTTGCTTTTTTTTCCCCTCATTCATTTCCCTCCATTATGGAGAAGACAAAAACTTTTTCTCTTGTGATCTAATCTTGGCCCAGCTGGACTAGGTTTAGGGATAACGTCGGATTAGGAGATCAGTCTGTATTAATTGATAATCTATATATAAACAAATTTAAAGTAGGTGTGAACATTTGTCTTACTCCATGTGATTACTCTGTATTTTATATGAGATTTCAAAATATCTTAATAAATCTTTAGCAAAAGAAAAAAATCTTTTTATAAACTTTTAAAAATTTCATTTATTTAAGCTTTATTAGGGAAATAGTTAAACTTGCAATGTATTTTTTTGGAAATTTGACTTTCTTGTTATTAATTCATAATGTCAAAATTGCACTCAGATATTACTGACATTTAAAATAAGAGATTGTGTGTATTAGAAATTATATAGCTAGGTTCAAAAAAATTTTTAATTTTTGATAAAAGTCATATTTACTGAGAATTTTAGAAACTTTGGCTCTGCAATGAACTTAATATTTCACAAATTCATTTTATATTACAAAAGGTAACTGTTTTATGGTGATACAGTTTGGTTATGTAAACTTTAAAAGTTCTTTTTTCATTGCATTTTAAAAGCATTCCTTAGCCAATTATGTGCTCAAATCATAAAAAAGTTTCTTTGATTGGTAGCACCAAGAAGATGGTCTATAAAAACAAGTGCTCATTCACACAAAACTCAATTCAAAAAATATTCCTGGGAAAATGTTTATATTCACTACTGGCAACTCTTCTTACTTCACTCTAAGGCAACTGAATTACCATATCATAATTTTACTGGTACCACATTATAAAATTTCATCACTAAGGCTTTTATATATATATATANATAGTGTATATATATATATATATATGTATATATATATATACAGAGAGAGAGAGAGAGAGAGAGAGAGAGAAACAAAAGTGAATTAACAATAAAAATTCAAATAATGACTTGAAATGAAATAAGTGAAAATCATTGTATTTACAATAAAGTGTAAAGAATTTTAATAACAAAAATTATGCAAATACTTTATGCAAAATCATTTATAATGTAAAAGAAAGCTGAATTAACACATTCATTTAAAATATTTGTAAATTTCAGTTTGAAAACATTCTTTTTGCCTTAGTGCAAATTACACATTTCCAACGGTTGTAGCATATTGATGGTCATTTTCTGTAAGTTTGTATGACTAAAGAGGTTTTAAAAGCTTTCAAGCCTTCTGCAAATGTTGGTAATAGTTTTGGCTCCATTTAGCAGTTTTCATCAGTATTACTATGCACTTCTTAAGGCTTTACAACCATTTCTTGAACCTTTAACATCACAAGTTTTAATGTTTTCATCATTTGATGCATTAACAGCAAGTGAGATATTTTAGACATTTTATTCAGAATGTAACGAATCCTCATTTTCTTCTTCATCATTAGCATCCGGAGTTACTATTTTTCTTGTAAAAATTAAATTAATCTCAAAAATTTTTTCAAATGTCGGTAGAATTTATAAATGATGGACACAGGATGTGGCAGGGCCAATAAAATAAAGTGATACAAATGGAAAAACTAAAAGGGCAAGAGTAATGGATCAAGGCTCAACTGTATTTGATTTCTTCAAATCTAATGATTAAATTACAACTCCTTTTACATAAATAATTTGATTAAATTTAGTCAGAATAATTGGCATACTGACCTAAAAATTTGCTTATTAGAGTCAAAATTAAAAACATTTAAAATTTTTGTTAATCTAAAAGAAACAAATCTTTAAACTTTTCCCACCTACCATTATATATAAATATAAATAGTACCATTTCAAAGTGCTTTGAAAATGAAACTTTAATATGCTAGCAGCTTTGACATATAAAATTTTGCATGAGATGGCAATCTGTTTTGTACAGAGTTAATACAAAGTGAGTCTACATTTTTTCTCAGGACTGTATTAGAGTAATATAAGTCTTTAAAATTGTAGCAAAAAAAAAGTCAACTTATCTGTTCACCTTCGTAAGAACGTGTTCCGGAAAGTTTCGTAAAGATGGGAACCCTGAAATTTTGGTACAATGAGATTGCTCTAAAAATAAAATGAAACTATTAGATATCAAAAATAAAGAAAGAAAGAAATACAATACAAATAATATAGTACCTTCTTTTGAATTAATAGGACAAATGAAATCACCAATGGCATTTATATAGAGAGTGAAACTAGCAGCACTTCCAACAGGAATTGGCAACTGTGAGTCAATGTTTTCTTTGCTCCAAGTAAAAAAAGAATGTTCAGTTTCTGCAGAATAAGAAGAAATAACATTTCAGATTGTAAAACTAAACTTAAAGTGTACATTTAATTCAAAATAAGTCAGTATTTAAGAATGGAAAGTGGTAAACTTCATTTTGAAATTAGTAAATTTTTAGATTTGCAGCTAAAACAGAATAAATTGCAGGAAAGTATTTTTAAATTTTGATCAGCTAGAAATTATAACTTTTAATAAACAATTTGATAATAAAAAGAGATCTTAAAACAGGTATAATTACAAATTTAGAAAAACCAAATGATAAAGATGCTAACAGAAAGAACAATCACATACTCATATACGTTGTTTCTAATGTAAAATAGATATATTTCTAGATTAGATTATGGAGAATATAAATATTCTCCATTTTAAAATACTGTTAAACAAACAAAAGTTTTACTTAGATCAATTTTCGTTTAATTTAGAAACAGTAACACTACAAAAAGGAGCAAATCATACACGATTATCAAAATTTTTATTTATAATTACATTCCACAATTTTTTTTATTACAAACATATTTCATCTTCAGTTATTTTGTGTTTGTTTAAAGCTAACATAATTTCATACATCTTTTGATTATTTTAATAGCATAGTACAACATTCAACATCTACTATCAATTTATGCTTCAGTTTTAGCTTATGGAACAAAATACTGAGCAATCTCCATTTTTAATATTATTTGTGTTGTTTCCAGTATTTTTTTTTTCATTTGTTCCACTTCAGCTTTTGGAGAAACAAGATTGCTCCGGGTAACAACTTTTTATTTCACTTTTATAACTTACGCTGCACTAGTGAAATCTTATTGTTGCCAGGACTTTTATGAGGTTTTCCTTTAAGTTAACATTTTTAATCCCACCATACTTACTTATTTCTGACTTATATATCTAATGCAATGTACATATTACTTTAAGATTCTAAAATGTTTCTTTTCATTTAAAGTGAAACCTTGTTCATAATTAACATTATTATATGCCAATGACAACAATGCCTTAATAAGAATGTGGCAAATATATGAATTTTCAAATTTTCTGATTTGTCAGCAAATGATGTATATTTGAGAGTAGAAAAATCGTAGCACAATGGCTACAGAAGAAATGCTATCTCCCATTTTAAAAAGTCAAAAAATTCTACAGTTCCTTCTCAGTCCATTCGAAGATCAACAACAGCGTCAATACTAGCAGGAACGGATTTGCGATATCGTACTGTAATATAAAAAAATAATTCTAATTATTTGGAACTATGTTATGTCATTATTTTAAACTGTTACTGTTTAGTTCTTAATTATTTTATACTTTGCATAGGATATAAGAAATCCATGAAAGCTTAATGTATTTTAAGTCAATTGTTTGATACTAATTTTTAATTTTTAATCTGATTAAGCTCACAAATGCTTTTTTTCTAAAGTAACATAATTTTAGTGTAAACAATTAACTTTCTTGCTGTGTAAATGTAACTAATCCTTTACTATCAACTGAAAATTTAAATTTGACTGCCATTGTTTCCGAGCAAAAACTCTGTTAATGTTAAAACCTAGAGACAACATAATATGGAATTATAAATGAAATTCCATATTTCTATGCAAATAAGTATATTACACAATGAAATTGGTAAAAATAAACACTGAAATGACAAACATTTAAATAATCTAAAATCTGTAAAACAGTAAGTTTCAAGCTCTGTTAATTGATAGTTTGCTTTTTTTTATTTAAAGTATCTATAAAAACATGATATTCAGTCTGAGAGCATTAAAAATTTTGAAATTTAATGTAAAATTTTGTAACATAATTGTTATTTACATACAAAGCAGTCTAGCTTGTGAAAATTTTAAAAAAAGAGAGAGAGAAAAGAAAATGGAAATTCTCACATAACCCTTTGACAACAACATTAAAAGGCTACTATTTAACAAAAAAAAAATACTACTATTTAAATTTTTAATTTTATGATGCATTGTAAAACAGGTATTACTTCTTCCAGGTCAAAAAAGATTTAATGTATCAAAAAAGATTTAATTATCCTCAGATCTTTCTTACCTTTTTTTAATTTTGAATGCATACTAATTTCTAGCCATTCTATTGGAACCTTTCCAGTGTTGGAAACAGTAACAGTACATTCTTGGCTAAAAAAATAAAATTGTATTTTAACACAATTGTCCATAAGCATGAGCTATTTTCTCCTCATTTGAATATTAACATAGCAGAAAAGGTTAAGTATTTAAATTTTATAGTAAAAGCACACTAATTCAGAATTTGACAAATCAGAATCAATTGATTCAGAAATTATAGATTGGAACATTTGAAAATCTATTGATCAATGGTAGATAGATGCTCCTTCCTTAAATTTCACTCAAATATAAGTAAGTTTTTAATGTGGAAATAAGTGCTACTTTCTCATTTATCATTATAAAAGATCAAAATGATAAGAATAAAATTAACACAAAAAGCTCCAAACATGCGTCTGCTCTCCTGAATTTTTTAGACCATAGTTTTCAGATTGCCACTACACCCCATACTATGAGTGTCAAGAATTCAAATCCATTAGAAAAGGATATGTTTATTCAGAGAAAGTTTAGTTTTTGTGTCTGATTATGTAACTTGAAATAACAATTAATTTGGCAATTAATAGGCAAATTTTAGCTAGCTATTGAATCATCAAGTTTGAGTCATACTGCATAAAAATCTGATCATTAGATCAAAAGCTGTTCCTGTGCACTACACACCACTTCTTTAAAATTGATTTATCATTTAAAAAGTAGGCAGAGCTTTTTGAATTAAGAAGTAATTTCCTACTATCGCTTGACATAAGAATACATATTTACCTCACACCAGAGTACAATGTTGTTGTTGCACTAATAACAACAAAGCTAGTATCTCCAAGCGATGAAAACATGGAAGCTTTTGGTAATGATGTTGACACTTGTACTTGTGGAAGCTTGGGTATAACATCAACAGAAAAATATGGCTGCTTTATGGAAGAAATATCTTTCAGCCGACAATTGTTTTTTACACCTAATACATGAGTTGTATAGCCTGAAAAATGAAATCCGTCTTTTTTTAATGAATTATTTCATCAAAATAATTAACAACCAAAAACTAATGAATAAATAAATATAAGACTCATAAACAGAAATAAACTGCTCTTTAGTATAAGCTGTAATTATTGATACTTCGAAAGCATATTTCACTGTCTAAAAAAATATAATCTAAAAAAATAAGCAGGAATATGCTAAAGTTTTCAATAAAATAATGTATTAATATTTATAATATTTGGCACTGAAAAAATAAATAACGAAAAATGACAATACTGTAGAAACAAAGTAGAGAAGCTAAATACCAAAACAAAATATGGATAGTATGATTATTTACATTTTAGTTTATTTATATGAATAGAAATAATACATTAGCATTGTTTTTCACTCAACCATCCTTATTTTTACACAACCTATATTAAAATTCAATCAAAATATGAGATAATTCTTTTCTTTATGAATATCAAATTTAATCATTAGAGTTATTTATATTTTTAATAGTTGGATAAAATAGGGGTGAGTGAGGCTTCTTTGAACAGCTCGATTACCACTGATAATTACAAGTCAAAATTTTTCTAAAAAAAAATTTTTTTCCTAAAAGTCGGGAAAGAAAATAGAAAGTACTTAACACAAAGAAAACTTAATATAATTTTTATCAGAACTTTAGAACATGACCATTAGTCGATTATACTTTTTAAATATTTGATGATACATTTATTTATATATAGTAGATAAATAAATATATAGCAAACACAATTATTTTAATCCTAATTTATTAAAATATTTTTTTACTAGCTAGCTCAAAGAAATATATATTTTCTGAATCTATGAAAATTTGGTAGTAGTTAGACATTAAACAAGCTATCATCGTGAAGGACTAGATGAAAGGCAGCCGATGTGCAATGGTGACTACATAGTCACCATAATGTCATTAGTCTCAAATTGAGGAAACTTACTTTCTAAGGCCCCCTTTGGCCATCAACTGGCTGTTGCAAGTATATATAAATTATTAAAGTAATCAATCGTGAGTAATATCATAATTAATTAATCAATATTGACTTCAGCTAAGGGATTGCTAGAAATTTAAGATTTGATTTGAAAATGGTAATATATACGAAACAAAATCCTTTAGTAAAATTTCTGAATTTTTGATGAAAAAGCTGAATTTCAGTCAAAGAGTGAAAAAAAATTTGCCAAATTGTGAATAATCTCATCCTTAGTTTATGGAGGGGAAAAAAATATTATCTAGACCAGTATGGGAAACATAGCACATTTAAGTATAAAAGAAATAAATTCCATGTGGCAACCCATAGGCCATGTGGAAGTTAGAAATTTATTATTTCATTAATTACAGACATATCTGCACATCAGATATATGAGGTGTGACAATTAAATAACTGGACAACGCATGCCCTACGCCAGCGTTTCTTAATCTTTCAGTATTCACGGCCCAGCTTTTAATCATAATTTTCATTGTGCCCCCGTTTACAATAAAATGTAAACAACAATAATATATATTGAGTATTTTGGATTCTGTTTTTAAATTATTTTTAGCTAACTGCCAAAACAAAAGTAAAAGCAAGCTAATGTTGGTGAGATATCACATCTGGCATTTTGCTAAGTGGGTGGTGAACAGATGAAGCGAATGAAAGCAGGGAAAATTTAAATATTATATTTGAAATGAAAGTCAAACAGGGAAGTAACATTAAAAAATATGAAAGTAGAAAAATTCGTTAATGAAAGTTAACCTAGACAGGGTGAGCTAAATTTAGAAACAAGGAATACATTTTTTCGAATAATAAAAGAAATAAAACAGAAGCGTGACTAAATAAAGGGGGGGGGGAAGTAATGTTTGTGGAAGGGAATTCACACGATTGATGTTGTCTTGAGCATCTGCAGAGCAAATGTTTTCTCATAGGAAGAAAGAAAATGCTCGATAACGCAATTCCAGCCAGTCGCATTCGAGTCGATCCTTCTATCGCTATTGAATCTATCATGAATGTGTATGTTATATATGTTTTTGTGCCAATTGCAATTTACCATATTAAATATTCACAATATAAATATTTTTCACACCTATAACGTATATAATAGGAATAGGTATCTGCCTATGTTGTCATATTTTTCCTTGTATATTTATCAGTTTGAGAGTCTCAAAGTTCGTGTTTTTTTTTCTTTTCTTCTCACAAAATTGGTGTTTGTACATCTAGAAAGGTAGAGAACAGTTGTTTTAGACTATTTTACAGCTTTCTTAACCAACTTGACCAAAACTAAATTCTAAATTTTAGCATTTGTATTCGTCTTGCGGGCTACAAAAACACTACAAAAATATAGTATATATGGATGTGAATAAAAAACTATACAACAAACCTAATATTTGAAGTTCTCCAGAATTCAGAGGAGTTCCTAATAAATTAACTGGATATGGTCCTGATTCTGCAGGCAAAGAAAGACAAGCAGGGAAGCTCTCAAACGGTATATCATCAGCTAAAAGGCCCTACAACAACACTCTTTCAATCATTGCTAAAAATTATTAAGTACAGAAAAAACTCTTACAAATTTTAAAATTACTAAATTGGAGGAAAATTTATCTACATTAAAGGAAAGCAGTCAGAAAAAAAAATTAAAAAATTAAGATCAGAGAGAAAGAAATACAGAGATATAATTGGATACTTTCAGTAACCTTTATAGAAGGGTGAAGTTATAAAAAACAATATGCTGCATCATTATACAGGTCACACTTGAGAAAAACATTACTAAAATTTTCTTTAGCCACTTTTAAGGAAAAATAAGAACTTTCAAGCACAAAAAAAAAAAAACAAATTTGGCAATAGTGTATTCCCGTGACTTCTTTTTTCAAGGCACAGATATATAATGCAAAGCAGTATTTCTATATACCACAGTTATTCTAATATAAGCTGCCATTAATTTTAAGTCGCACCTCAAATTCTCAACATATTTTTGTGAAGAAAAAAAATAGTGTGTAAAGATTTACCAACGTCCAATACTTACAAAATTAAAAAAAAAAACTGAAAATAAAAATTTATAAGAAGTAAATATTTAATTAATTTTAACAGTATTATAAACTTTTAAATATATACATCAACACGTAATTGCTCAAACCATTTGTATCATGCTCCAAAAATAAATCTGAAAACTCAATTTCCACTATCCAACAAATTTTTCTGCCTTCGATTTTAAGTCACCCCTTACTTTCAGTAGCATTGACATTGGAAAAAGAGCGCACCATAGATTATAATAAATATGATATACATTTTTTATATCAGGGATCGAAAGACGAAAAAAATTTTTAGCTAAAGAGCAAACAGTGTACTGCTTAAATCCAGCTTAAAATTAACACTGCTTCTATACATTCTTTTTTTCTATACATTCTTTTTTTCTATCTTTACTAAATGGGGTGATTAGTTAATTACATGGCTGTAATTATTTATCAGAAATAGGAAATTAATCCCAGTTACAGATAATGTAATCAATGCTGATAAATAAATGAAAATATATTATTTTCAGATTCAACAATTTGAAAATAAAATGTTTACAAAAAAAATATAGATAAAGGAAATGGAAAAATTAATATACTGCTCTGATTTAATTATAATTTCATATTGGAATTTAATATGCATGTGCATACAGCCACTAAAATTGCTGACATTGGTGTTCAAAAGCTTTTCTTGTAATGCCAAAACTTTAAAAAGTAGTGATTAAAAATAAGAAAAAGAATACCATTTTCAACAGAAACTTATTTTGGTCACTATCTCAGAATATTTTTTTAAAACTTTTTTGAATAAATCCATTATGATTGCAGTATTTAACTTTTAAATACATATAGGCTATGACCTTTTTACCAGAAATTACTGTAGTAAAATTTTTTTAAGTCGAATAGCATAAAGCTAAATCCGTAAAAAAAATTTAAGTATTGCTATTGGATTGTTCAGCATTACTTTGCTTACTATAAAATTTTTTTATTTATTGAATTTTAGCATACTGTGTAATACGTCATACATACTGTGTAACACACAAGTAAAACATAAAATGAATCTGATGCTTTTAATTTATTCATCATGCAAAAATTCAGGCAAGCATATATATATATAGTACATGCAGATTTTGAATAGAGACAACCAATATTTTAAAAAAGTTGCATTTAAAATGTAACAAAAAAAGAACATAGAAATAAAGTTAAAAAGTCCATATATATATAGTTTTTAATATTTCCTTTTACTAGCATATTTTATTATGAGCCTGACATTAAGAAGAAATCATGACAGGTGTTTTAGGTATCTTAGCAAGAATTAATTTTTTAATTTAAAATATTGTTAAACAAAAGTCAATAAAATAATTTTTACCATGTGAGTAACTTTAAGCTCAAAAGGTAATGGATTAAATACTTGCAAGGCAACTTCACAAACATCACCTTCAACCCATTTAAAATCTAAAAAATGAATATAACACAGATTACATTAATAATCTACAGAAAAAAAGCAAGAAAAAAAAGCAACCTTGAATAAATTGCAATTAAAACAATTTTAACTTTTTCTGTTTTAAGTAAAATGATTTTTTTCATAAATTATACTTCAGATATAGATTGCACTTGTGTAGATTATTCATATTTAGTGGAGGAGGAAATATCTTTAAATCAAATTTCTGAAACTAAGAATCATACATTAAAACTGCTATGACTGAAAAAAAAATTTCCCACAAGGGGAGCAAGTTGGTATCTTTGCATTTATCTCATTGAGAAAAAAAAATCTAATAAAAGTTCATTTTAAATGGATTTGGCTCTTCATATTTTTGTAATTCATTTAACGTTTTAAACTTAGTTTCACTATTTTTGGAAAGATCAAAGTATTTCAGTCCCTCAATACAAATTTGAACATAATGAAATGACTTCAATCTCTTTAACTTGACAAACTCAGCAAGAGGAAAATCAATTTGTTGACTATCACTCTGGGCATTACCATTTTGCAGATTACTGACAATTATGCAAGTAGAAAATTTAATTGAAAATGCAAGGCATTGTCAATGAGGTATGTTACTTCTTTAAAAAAATGTCATAACCTTGAACTTTCATGTATAGAGCTCGTGTTAAAAAAAATAAGAAAAAAAAACATAGTGTGAGCATAAATCCAATTGATTTTTGATCACATTTTTTACTAAGTTCTCTTCTGTGATATTAAACTTATTTGATCATAAAACAACTGAAATAGGATAAAAATCAACAAAAAAAAATTTAAAAACAGAGAAAATGGGTAAAAAAGACAAAAAAAAAGATAAAAATCCACTGAAAAGTAAAAGATTCTTATTTCTGGGTCAAAATTCATCTCAGAAAAGGGAGTAAATATACATATTTGGCCAAAACCACATTTTTTAAAATAACTTTCAGCTTTCCCATAATTATTTCCGGGTTCAACTTCTTAGGAACAAGCCTACATCCCAGCTTTTTAACTGAAAGTTTAAGATCAGGAAAGACTGAAAAATAGCTTATAAACATGTATCACATATCTTAATTGAAAACTTAGAAACATGTTAAATTTCACTAACAGCAATATAGGAAAACTATAAGAAGATTTCCTATCAAAGAAATTTGCCTAATTTTCAGTTACATACTAAATTTTAAACAAAATCCTTCCATAGAAAATCTTTTTTCTTCGCCTATTTTTGTGAAAAAGAATACTAAGTTTATGAGGTGTATTGAAAAACAGACAATATTAAAATTTTTTTGGTTGCAATTTGCTTAAGGTTAAATGTCATTTTCAATGAATAAAAGAAAAAGTAAGCAATAATCTATTAATACTATTTACGTGGTAATTACAATATTATGAAATTTTATATTATACGGCAAAATTATGACACATTTACTATATATTTTTTTAAAGTTTTGCCAAATAGTTCTGTTATCTCAGAAAAAATAGTTAGAGCTTTTCGCCACAGTTACTTAGTTATACAAGTACCCTTTATTGTAAACAAAATTTTCAAAATTCGGCATCAGAGAAACTTTTATTTTATAGACAAATAAGGTTTCAAAAAGACCTGTATTTTGAATATAAAACAGAATCTTAATTAGGTACTTTAATAACATCTTAGGCAACAATCTTTATATCAAGTTTTTTTTTCACTAGACAAGATTTAAATTTAAAAAGAAAATAAATACTAATGAGGAAAAAAAAGCATATGAAAGCATGTAATAGAATGAATAAAAAATAAATACCTATTTTGCATTTATCTTTGGCATTCTTATCTCTATCTCTATGAAAAGGTGTAAAAATAAAGATTGATTCTTGAACTGTGCTTAATTTTGAATCAAGTCCTGGCATTTTTACAGGCCTCAAATGGGGAGCAAGATTTTGGAGCTTGAAAGACCTTGAACAAGATATAAAAACATAATAAGCATTTCAAAACATTTATTTACAAATCAATTATAAAAATGCTTGCTTTGAAAAATATTTTTTTAAAGATAATTGTATAGGAATAAATAAAAATTCATTAATTACAAGAAAATATTGAATAATATTTAAATGTTAAACTATCTCATATAATGATGAAAAGAATTCTCATATGATTAATATCATTTCCTACCTTAACTTATTTATGAGACCTAGAGTTCTTATTCTTTTTTGAAGAAATAGGCTGAACCACTCAGTGGTTCCCCTTGTGGGCCTCAGGGCTGAACCACTGACTACAGAAATGCCCCAGCATGATAGCAGGGCAGTGTGTCCTTTGAAGAAGTACTGTTTTTGCTGACATGCTTACTTTGAAATGCCGTTTGGTTTTTATTTAACTTCTTTCATATTAATTCAAACTGTATATTTAAAACAAGTCCTAGTTAACAGTTTATACCAGTTATTGATTTTTTTTAAGTTATATAGTCCTTGGCCAAACTATAGAACACACTATAAGATTCTATGTATAATCTTAATTATCAGATGATACTATACAGCTTTATTGGCTTTACTCGGATGAAACTGATTTGCACTTGTTTACGTTAGTGTATCTATTAGTTAACATTGTAATGCAATACATTAAAAATAAATACAAATAGGAAGCATAAAAAAATCTCTTGAATAAAACCCCATTACATGTATTTTAAAAATAAAAGTATTACGTACAAACTCATGCAAAACATGTAATTATTAAAAAAACACAGTGTATCTAATAATTTGGTCTAATTATTGTAACATACTAATATATTACGTGATATAATAAATATTCTATATTTATATAACATATCGGCGAATTTATATTATATATCTTTTAATTTATCGTGGCTAGGTGGCGCAGTTGGTTTGTCGTCGGCCTTCTGAGTCCAAGTCTGCGGGTTCGATCCCCGGCCCAGACACCGGATTTTCGGAATGCAGAAAATCCTCAGCGGCCATGTCATATGATTATGCGGCATGTAAAAGATCTCTGGAGTGCCTTATTGGCTCTCGGCATTTCCGGCAAAATTAAATTCCTAGTGCACTTCAGCATCCAAATAGAGTCTTGGTGCTGCCATCTATTGTGGCAGAAACTATACGTCCAAATTAACATGACCAACGGTATCTCACCCATTGTGGAAAGAGTGGATACCACCTCTGGAGAAAGCACTAGGTCTGCTTATCGGCAAGACCGTTTGTGCAGCTCATTGGAAATAAAAAATTAAAAAAATCTTCTAATTTAACCAAATGATACACGAACGTAAACAAGTGCAAACCGGTTTCAGTCATGTGAAAACAATACAGCTGTATAGCATCACCTGATAATAAAGATTTTACATAGAATCTTATAGTGTGCCTAATAATTTGGCCAGGGACTGTAGTTTAAACTCTTTGGTCCCAGTAACAAATAAGAGGAAAATTAATTTGTTAAATACTTACTGAGACAATACACTGTATCAAACTGATGTTTGTTATAATATAGCCAATATAAACACCTATATTAGCGTACACGTTTAGATGAGCTCTCCTTCCTGCTTGAGAAAACTATATCAGATAGGGAGGTTGCTCCTGCGGTATTTACTGACATTGAAAGTGCGTTTGATAAAGTCCCTGTTGAGACTATCATCAATGCACTTGGGAACAGAGGCATAAATTCAATAATTACCAGGTCGATAGCCAATTTGCTATCCTCTAGGTATGTTTGTTCCTTTTTATTGGGTGCAAGCATGGGAGTGCATGCAACCTCAGGATGCCCTCAGGGAGAGGTTTTGTCCCCTATGTTCTAAATACATACATATATATATATATATATATATATAAGGNCAGTCGCCTTTCATCTTGCTTGAATGATGTATCAAGAGGTTGATGTATCTTCGTTAGGCAACCAGGGATGATAGCAAGTTCTGTGGGCATTTTTTTACACAAATCTTTAATAGATTTCACTTTATGGGAGCGCAGCAAGTCGAGGATCAATAATTCGCTTGGCTGGAAAAAAGGACCTTTACACTTCCAATACAGAATTCTGTTCCATTCATGTCTGGATTTAGTCTAGGAGTGGATACTGTGCTCCATCCAGTTCTCCCACAGTCGCCTTTCATCTTGCTTGAATGATGTATCAAGAGGTTGATGTATCTTCGTTAGGCAACCAGGGATGATAGCAAGTTCTGTGGGCATTTTTTTACACAAATCTTTAATAGATTTCACTTTATGGGAGCGCAGCAAGTCGAGGATCAATAATTCGCTTGGCTGGAAAAAAGGACCTTTACACTTCCAATACAGAATTCTGTTCCATTCATGTCTGGATTTAGTCTAGGAGTGGATACTGTGCTCCATCCAGTTCTCCCACAGTCGCCTTTCATCTTGCTTGAATGATGTATCAAGAGGTTGATGTATCTTCGTTAGGCAACCAGGGATGATAGCAAGTTCTGTGGGCATTTTTTTACACAAATCTTTAATAGATTTCACTTTATGGGAGCGCAGCAAGTCGAGGATCAATAATCCGCTTGGCTGGAAAAAAGGACCTTTACACTTCCAATACATCAAATCCAGCCACTGCAGCACTCTATCCTCGCACATCCACCCCTTTTTGTTTGCTCTAATAATTACGTCTTTAGAAAAATCTCCTTTCAGTATGGTTTTCCTCTTGAAGATAAGCAAAGAGGAAAGCTTCTCCCCTGTTACGGAACATCCTAGCACACAGATAAAGGACATTTTTCTGTGGCCTGTGGTCACTATGGCCATGGATTTTGTCCCTGCTTCTTCCACAGTCCTGTTGGTGCTGAATATAGGAGCCAACTTATTAAGTTTCAGATATTGCAGACATCTATGGTAAATGAAGAATTCAATTCACAGAAAACTGTATATTTTTGTTTATTGAAGAAGATAAAACTTTAAATGTAAAGAAAGAAAACTACACTCTACAAAACTAAACATAACTCTTCAAGAAAAGAACATAACTCTATGCAAAGCAAAACATAACTAACTAAATACAAAAACACCCACTTCCTTCTAGCTGAGACACAACAGGAAGTGACACAATTTCCCCCAGGAAGTGACACAGAAGAGAGGAAAACATTTGTTTACATTTTCCAACAGTTGGGAGGGCAGTCGAAGAAAAGCAGAACCTTGTCCATGTTTATTAATTGTCTGTGATTCAGTCCACGTTTCTCTATCTTTTTAGAGACAAAAGTTAAAAAAGAAGCTTTTTTTTCTATCCAATCATTGGCAATCTTTGACCTACTGTGGTTTTTTGGCGCACAGACAAGTTCTTTCGCTTCATGAATCTGAAACACCAATTCGGTCCTCCTTTAAAATCTGGAATACCCATCTGGATGGCAATCAATTTTGCTTGTATGCAAATCCACACTGTAGAGAGGGACAACCCTTTGGCCCCATGTTGCCAGATTATCCTCCAACACAGGCCACCCAACAGTGCCATCGTGCCGAACACGCTTGGTCTTGGGTAGTTGAGATAATATTTCCTTTTCTGACTTCCATATCCGTATGCACCGTTCATCAACATACAATTCTCGAGCAGCACCCTGATTTCTGATTTTTTCAGTTCTTTTAATTGCGGAGAGCTTAAATGCAGTCGTATAACTTTTCCTCTTAATGGGAGGCACTTGAAACTTATAACTTAAAAACAGCTTATATTGAAATTTAAATAAAACAAAAATTAAAACAAAACAAAAAATTAATGAGACAAAAACACTAATGAAACAAAAATATTACCAAAGGAAAAATATTAACAAAACAAAAATATTAACAAAACAAAAATGCAACTGAAGATCAGAACTGAAGATTAAACGATAAAAAAAAAGCTAAGGAAGAAAATTATCGAACTCTTAAGACAGAAATACGAGCGATGGAAAAAACAACAAAGAAAAAGCACTCCTCTCCCAAGCATTTAAGACAAGTTTCTATACTCCCCTTTTCCTCCCCCTACTTTCTCTTCTCTAATCACACTTCAGAAAACAGATCTTTTACTGACTCCGCCTAGGAAGATGTAAAATTCTCCCACGTTGCTTTTTTCCATCTTCACTGACCTTTCGTTGAAAGTTGGAAATTCTTCTTAAACAATTTAATTGTAAGAATATTCAAGGTCATCCCAGGCTCATCAGCACCATTTATTCATCAAACATTCATATGTTTTTTACTAGCAGCTGAAAAAAAGGGGGAGTGGAGAGGCATCCCATGCTTACAGACAAAAACCATGACAAGTGGAAGAGACATATTTCCTGAAAAAAAAAGGGGGGTAGAGAGAATCTGTTTTACTAGGAACATCATCACTGGCACCACCCTGATTTTCTTTATTCATTACTTTCTGATTTATGCTTCTCCACTCCTTACCCATTCCCTACACTCAACATCTGTTCCAGATGTGTTGACCATTCTTTGGAGTAACATTAAGCTTGAAAAAATAAATAAAAAGCACTAATAACAGGTGGAAATAATGCTGATGAAATTTCCAGTGGGGCTTATAAATGCAAAATTTTCTAAAGGAAAAAACAAAAGTAATGCTATTTAGACCACCCCGTTAGATACGTCTTCCTATTAAATTTTCAAGTTTTAAATCAATAACAGCACAGCGTGTCCTTGCGAAATTATGGTATTTATAAAATTAGTTAATAAAACAATAAAGCATGACAAAATATACTCTTAAAAAATGAGTAGAAACAAACAAAAACATAACATACTTGACAGAAGGCAAACTAAGCAGGTTAACAGGTGGAAGTACTAGTCCATTATCTAAAATTAATGGCACAGGTGCACCTTCACATTTAGCAGTTAATATTTCCAGCTGATGACAAATTTCTTGTTGCTCACTTGGTGCCAAATGATTCAGTAGTGTATCAAGTAAAAAAGTGAAGTGCCTATAAATAAAATCCGTGCATTTTAATAGATCAGGAGATTTGTTATTTTAAACACAAAGATAAAAATTCATTAAAATTTTAAAATGCTGTATCATTAAATCCATCAGTCCTATCATAAAATGAAATTCAGTAAACAAGAAGTTATGAAATTTATTACTTTTTATAAAGCTAAATACAAGGGGATATAAGGGTAGAGGTCATTATGGGAGAGGAAATTTTTGGCAGTGATATTTTTACAGCCAAAAAGAGGGGTGTGTAAAAAGTGTTCACACTTCATTTAAAGAGTGGTCTTCGAAAACGACAAAATACATTTTACTTTGTTTTTAATTCCTGGCATAACCAGTAAAAATCCACGTATTTTAAATCTGTACTATAAATATGAGTAAAGGAGAATACATTCTAAAAAGCCGAAATAAAACACAGGGCATAGAACAGGAAGAAAGTTTTGAAGATAAAAAAAAATAGGACTGGTTATTCCAAGCAGATAATTTCTATATTTAATTCTATCTCTTAATACAGCATTATTGTATGTGAGTATAAGGTGTATGAGTGAAGAATTGAAGTTATGTTAAATTTTAATTATAGACTTGATATTACCTAACAGCTACTGCTTGATTATCCATTTGTTTAGCAACACCAACAATATCGAGTAACATTTGAATTTGGATGCCAGGCCAGCCATAAAATATATCTATAAAAAAATACAGGAGTGTTAATAATGTAATCAAAGCGCTTGTATATTTTCAAACAAAAATGTTATAGCAAAGGTTTTTTTTTTCAATTTTGTTAGCTTTACAGCTTTCTGCTTATGATTTACTAGTATTATAACTTTAGGGTGAAAAATTAGTTCTTGTTATTTTATTATCAAATAATATCAGTCTCTTAAAAAAAATTAAAAAAATTATATTTAAAATTTCTAAAAAATATAATGGTTGGCATTAAAAAATTCAACAAAGTAATGATTTTTAAATTAACATATCAAATTAATATTTCATTGAGTTATGCTTTTTTTCTATTTTTTAGAAAATTGATCTTTAAACAAAATATTCAGTAAACTAAATAAAAAATAATTCAAATACAGATAATTTATCTAGATATAAGATTAAGTACAAATTTATTGACTAAATTTTGCATCCCTGTCAAAATTACATGAATATGGAATTTTGTGGTGATGAAGCTCTGTGATTGTGGACTTCTCTGGACCCCACATGAAAAAATGTAATTAGTGAATGATCCCTAAGTCAAGTTCAAGGATTATAGTACTAATTTATAAATAGAACAGAGTGAGAACGTCATTGGCTGGCCAATGACTAAGACAATGGAGCTTCAAAAGATGAAATTAATAAGAGAAATAAATGCATGATTCCTTCCCACTGAAAAGAGTTCAGTGTAGACACTTGCAGAAAGACAACGTATAAAATGATTTAATCAAATATGTAAAATGATTGGCACTTTCATATGCTACAGACTGACAGTATGTAGAAATGGATCATGGTTGAATAAATAGGGAAAACATAGAATGGAACAATGTGAAAACCAAGCAGTTTACGTAATTTACGGCACAAATCAACATGGTAAAGAAAATAATCTTATTTTGAAAAAAGAAAATTAAGAACTTTTTAAAAATACTCAATGAAAAAATCGCCATTAAGGGTTTTTTAAAAACGAAAAAGGAAAATAAGCACCTTTAAGTACTTTTTAAAAGCGTTATACACCCAGTTACATATGAAAAGATAATTAAAGAGATAATATTGTCACGTTAGTTAAAAAGAAGTCTTATTAATTTCGCTTTAGTTTTTCAAGCAGCCAATATAGACCTTCCAGAGAAAATATGATAATAAAAATGAATTATCGAAAACTGACAAATTAATACATATATTTTAAAAAAATAACAGCTTTAAAAGAAAATGAACATATACTGTGAAGATAAAATAATATTGAAAAGATTGTAGCAATAAAATTTTTTACAAACCTTCTAAGTCAATATGTTAGTACAACGATCTATTGTAAGTTGACAAAAAATTAATACATCAATTTGAAAAATAAAACAATTTAATTAAAAAAGGGATAAATGAAGAAGGAAATTAATTTATATTGTGAACATAAAATTGTACTAAAAAATATCAATAATCAAATCAAATTGTTTACAGTTTCTGTGAGACAAAAGATAGTAAAAAGCATCAACTGAGAATTGACTGAAAAATAATACAACAAAAGCGTGACTATCCAAAATAAGAATACTTGAATGTTGAAAATCTTTGTTTTTAACATTATCTTCCAAAAAAAAAACCTGGTTTAATAAAAAAAAATTTAAAAAATGTAAAAGTTTAATAAATAGTGTATAAATGACAATAATTATAAGGAAGATTCTGTCCATAAAAATTAAGGATAAATAAAAAAAAATGAAATTCCAATCAGCAATATTCTTGGAATTTTTATTCAGTGTTCTTTTAAATATTGTAAGAAGTTGGTAAAATAGTTCAAATCAGGGTGCATAGCCAAATCTTTCAACAAAAAATAAGCACCTTTTAAGTACTTTTTAAGCACTCAAAATTACTTTTAAGCACTAAATATATTAACAAAATGCAAAATAATTTTCAAAGACTTTACATGATGATGATAAAATAACTAGTTTTTGACAAAGAACTCTTTTTTTAATTATATTAGCCATTATAAAATGTTCAAGGAATTTTTCAGTTCGATATCAAAGGGTGGAAAAAGAAGCCTGAAATTGAGAATGCAGCAGAGTTGCACATGAGAGTGCAATAATCTCACCGAACCCAGCTCAGTAGACGGACATGCAAACTCGCAAGTATTTCATCAAACATGTAAAATGATTGACGCTTTCTAAAGCTATGGACTGAAATGGATTGTGGTTGAATGAATTGTGTAAATGTTGAATAGATCAATGTGAAAAACACGCTTTTGCATAATACATGGCAAAAATTAAAATGGTAAAGAAAAAAATCTCATTTTTGAAAAGAGAAAATTAAGCACTTTTAAAAAACACCCAATGAAAAAGCACCTTTAGGGCTTTTAAAAAACGAAAAGAAGCACTTTTTAAAAACGCTATGCATTATGTCAAATTGCATAAAAGACACTTTAACAGTACTAACTTTTGAAAAATAATGTTAAAGTGTAAGTACATTAACATTGTATTAAGTACATAAACATTATATTGACACTCAGAAAAATCATGTTCCTCATCATGTTCATGTCATCCATATTTTAAGAATTGTTCTCTTACCCCTAGGAAAGTCTTTGGCATCAATAGGAAGACAATAACCTTCAAAAGAATGGAGTAACAAATTATAGCACTGAAAAATACAAAAAATAATTACTGAAAGAAGCAAAACATTAACAAATTTTCAATATTATTTGCAATCATATTAGATACCTGTATCCAAGAAGGATTTGGATTTGTAAAAGAAACACAACGCATAGCTGCAATTCGCTTAAAGAAAGCAGCTTTTCGATGGAAACCCATATCTTCATATGTTTCAGATATTGCTTTAAACCTAATAACCTATTAAAAATAAAGTTATTCAGTTCATTAATACCTGAAATCAAGTACTAAATTAAAAATTTTGAAATAAAAAAAGCGTTTATGCAAAAAAAAAAAAATTAGGAAGAATTTCTCCAAACATTCAAATATTTTTTAATTTATATGAAGTTAAACAGTTTTAGCCTTCAACCAACAAGAGAATTTGTAAAATTTTCATTAACACCAATTAAAAAGCATCCTTAAAAAAATAGGACGAAATACAAATTGTGCATCACTGCAAACCCTAGGGTAAGATATACTCTGCCCCTAAAATTTCAGTTTATTCAATACAAGAATGAATCAAACAGTCTTGGGATATTTAACTAGTTAGTGGTAGCCATTTTAGCCTATAGACTGATATTCTTTTTTTTAACCCTTGTGACCAAAGGTACATTGGAAAATTGAAATTGTCTGATAATCAGAAGACCTTTCATGAAGAGTCAATGTGTGGAACATTGGCATAGTCTTGATTTACAATTTACCAAATCTCCAGATTTACACGGAAAATTTTATTTTTTAAGTAATAAAATGCATACGTTAATACAGTACAGAACCATTTATCCGGTACCCAGAAAACCGGGAAAAATTTTGCTTGGTTTTCCCGCCATTTTGAACTGGAAGGATGGAGAAAAAATGCGGAAGTGTTACTCATTTTTGAAGTTTAGTAGGGAAAAAGGTGGGTGGGGGTATTTTTTCCACCATATGTCAAGAGAAAACTTGATTATTTCTTCTGTAACCTTGAAGTTCTTTAGAACGGGAAGGGGCAGGAAAAGGGGAAACTTTTTATTTTCTTCCTTGCATTCCAAAGAATTGGTGGTCTTCAGATAAGCTACCGTTAATCAAAAAGAGAGTGGCATGCTGTTTTCCTTTTCTCTTTGATTTATGCGGGGGGCGGAGAACAAGCATTGCACATATCGTTGAACAGAAAGTGAAAGAGAAATAAAAAGAAAAATATATCCCTATAGATTACTAAGTAAAAAAAAAAACTGAAATGGAAGTACAAATTGGAATACAAAAACGATTAAAAAACGGCAAATTTTAGTTCAATAATAAAGTAAGAATATAGTTAAGTTCATCATTTAAGAAAAGATTAAATTTTATCATTTAAAAAGTAATCAGAATAATTTAGCAAAATAAAACTTTGAACATAATTGGAAACAATTGTCAGAGAATTCGACACTATTAAATTGCGAGATTTCGCTTCCGTTTTCAGAACTGTAATTTGCACTTGCGCAACACGGAATTTTAAAAAAAACACCGAATTTTACTGGACCGACATTTTTTTTAGCATCTTTAAGATTCTTCTATTATTCTTAATCATTTCTGGAATGTTGTCTATTAGAAGTCCGAGTCAAGGAACTTGAAACTTGTTGACAGGTTAGATTTTTTTTTTAATCTTTTATTTTTTTTTCCAGTTTTTTCATTTTTGTTTTCCGTGATTTATTATGACAAATTAATGTTCTATAATTTCTGACAATACATTATTATTACAATTTAAAACGTTTTTTATTTTTTTTTTATTGTCTGTTATATTAATTTATTTGACACTAATTAACGAAACAATATTTTTCGATTAAATAAATTCAGATTCTTTCGTTTAATCATGATTTCTCTTCTATTTTCAAATTTTGCTTGATGTGGAATCGCATTAGCTTTCGTTAAAAATCCTCTGATTTTATTAAAAAAAATAAACGGAAAAGATTGTTTAATAATGAAGCATACAATTATTTATTACTAAAATTAGACGATTATTTTATGAGGCAGATTGCTGCTTTCTCTTTTTAAAAGCAATTTATTTCTGATTTAAATACCCTTTTTTTTTCCTCTCGCCATTAACAATAAATTTCGTACTTCATAAATTATATTATTCATGAATTTTAAGATAGTTTTTTTTTAATGCAGTAGATTTTATAATCTCCCGGTTTTAATATTTATGATAGAGCCCTTTCTAGTTATTGTTTCCATTTGGTAATTTTCTAGCATTGTTTTTTTTTTTTATTTAATTTGTTTTTATTTAGTTTATTATAATTTTCCTCAACTTCAATTAAATTATTAACTTCAATTAACTTTTATATTTAATAGTTTCCTTTTGTGTTTGTTTGGTATTATGATCAAAATAAGTTATCTTTATTAATTTTGCTGTTTTACCATCTTAATTTATATTTTTCCATCTATCCATCGTATTTATGATTTAATTTTTTTTAATAGAAAATCTAAATACATTGCATTTTTTATAATTTTTTCCCCTTCTATTTTTAAAAACTTTTGCCAGTTGATTAAATATGTTTTAATTTCATTTAAATATAAATAAAATGTTGAATATTTCATTAATTTAGTTGTTTTGGGAGATGACTGTTGAAAAGCTGTTCTTATTAATTTATTGATTAATTAGTTCTCCCTTAAGATTTAATTTTTTTTAATACTTCAGGGGACAATTTATTTATTTTATACCTAAAGATTAAAAATATAAGTTTTTATAGTTTATCTATTTTTATTAGTTATTTATTTGCCTATCTGTTGGTAAAATACATTATTTTTTAGTTATTTATTCTTTTTGTGATTAAACTTAATAAATAAGGATCAACTTAAAATAGGGATTGTTTATATATTTGTTAGTTTCTTTATAAGATGGCCTGATATTAGATGCTAAAAATATGCTTTGTTTTACAAACTTATTGGTGCTTTTCTTTCCAATAATATATTAGATTTTAATTAGCATTTAAATTTTAGGCTTTTTTTTTTCAAATCAGTTTTAAAATGGCACGCAACATAAATAAGATAATCTTGCTATTTTTACAATGTAATATAACAACTACTTGACCTGTCTTAATCCCTACCAACCACCTTCTGTGAAATTGATGACTCATGGGACATCTGGTCTTTACTGTTAGAAGGAATAGTTTAAAATAATTGCACATCTTGACCTTCACTTCCAGATGGGCACATATTTTACACACAGCTTCATTTATTTGACATTGGTTCCACCCCCTTCTCTGACATTAGTAATCCATCATTTATCTACTTGTGTGAGGATTAGTTAAAAAGGCGAAAGCTTAGAATCTTTTTTAGTGTGTGAAGAATTTATTTTAATTTTGGAATTTTATAGCACATGTCGTATATTTTGTGATCTTGAAAGAAAACGTCTTCGTCTATTTCAACCTCTAAAAAAAGAAAGCGCGTGAGTTTATCGATACAATCGAACGAAAGTAGAAATTTTAAAAAAATTAGATGAAGGTTCTTCAGTAAAATCTCACAGTGAGATTTATAACGTAACTCAAACCATTTATGATCTTCGAAAAGACGGTCAAAAGAAAAAAATACTGGCTCTATTTTCAAATTCAGAGCGAGAAGATGCAATGAAAAATCGAAAGACTTTGCATCAGGCAAAAAATGAGGATGTCAACAAAGTATTAATGGAATGGATAAGACAGAGAAGATCAGAAAACTTTCCTTTAACTAGACAAATAATTATGGCTCAGGCGAAAAATTTTCATAATGAGCTTGGCATAGAAAAAAAATTTCGAGTACAGCATAAGATGGTTTGCCAGATTCAAAGAAAGAAACGGCAATCGATTAACAAAATTTTGCGGCGAAAAAGCCTCAGCCGATATAAAAGCCGCTGAGAATTATGTACATTTTGTGCTGAATGTGGTTCAGACTCAGAACTTGACCCTAGAGCAAATTTTTAAAGTTGATGAAATGGGTCTCTATTACAAATATCTACCAGATACTACTTACACTACAACAGATGAAATCAATTCTAGAGGTTTTAAAATTGCGAAGGATAGGCTGACATTATTAGCCTGCGCGAATGCAGCGGGCACATGTAAATTGAAACTGACTGTTGTCGGCAAAAGTAAGAATCCCCGGGCATTAAAAGGTGTTAAAGTTTTGCCTGTAGTTTAAAAGGCTAATAAAAAAGCTTGGATCACACAGGAACTTTTCACAAAATGGTTCCAGAAGGAATTTGTGCCTAAATCCCATGAACATTGCAAATCGATGGGATTGCCCGATGACTGTAAAATTGTTTTGTTTTTAGACAACTGTACGGCACAACCACCTGCAGCCGTTTTAACTGCCAATAATATAGAAATTCAATATCTCCCCCCAAACTACACGTCCTTGGTATAGTCTCTCGATCAAGGCATTTTATGAAACTTAAAATGCCGTAATAAGGTTGAGTTTTTAAAGAAGCTGATCGACGCAGCTAATGAAGGAAAATCCATCCAAGATTTTCTGAGAGCATTCACCGTGAAAGATGTTATATGGTTGTCAGTGAAAGCATGGGAATTTGTTTCCCATGATACATTAACTCACCAGGGATGAGATTAGCCAAAAGGCAAAAAAGCTGAATTTCCACGATAGTAAATTTTACGCAAGCGCAACCCTTTAATAATAAATTCCAGACAGTTTAAGGTAATAAATAATGTGTTGACATACAATTGTGTACTAATCTATTATTATATAAATGATTACATTGATACTTAACATTTAGTGAAAATAAAAATTACCAATTGAAAAAATAAAGCTGGAAATTATATTTTTCCTCAGTTCACATAAGAGACAATTATTACTTGAAAAACTACCTGGTTTAGCAAATTAAAACTACTGAGAATATACATTAATATTTCATTTCTTTTAATAAATACTGTTATGTGATTTATAGCAAATATATCAGTAATATTACTTTTTAAATTATATTGGAAAAAAAAACTTTAACAATGGACCGAATCATTATGTTCATATTATAGTCTAATCTAACTAGAGCCCTCTGAAACATATCAATAACAGTGAAGTAGAAATATATAGTAACTCCTTAACATACAAAAATTGCTATTTTAGTTTGAAAAATTACATGACAATCAGCAACTGTTTAGATAATTGTTTTTTATTTGATAAGAATTTTGCATTTTATAGCATAAATAACAGCAATTATAAATAAAATTTTGATGATGAGTTAATTAACTCTTTTTCCCCCAAAATTTTTTTTTAATTAAATCCCTTTTTAAGTGATTGCTTTTGTTTGCTATATCTTTTATGTTTGCTATATTTAGTCGTTAGTCCATCTTCAAACATCTTGTGACAAATCCTATTTTTTCTTCTTTGCAAGCACAGAATGTAAGTTTTGAATATATTCCCTTCCAGTTTCTCTGATGTTGTAACACTTACATATACTAATAATCGTCGTTAGAAAAACAGTCACCTTTATAGTAACTAATTTTTAAAAAAAATTTACTTCTTACAAGAATCGCGATAGTTGATCTTAAAATTGCGTGAATATGAATAACAATTATGGATTTTGAAATCACATGAATATGAAACTAGATATACGATTTTGAAAATGAGAAAATACAAACTGGGATATAGAATTTTTAAAACGCGTAAATACAAATCACGATTCATAATTTTTAGATCGCGTAAATACGAATCATGATGCGTAATTTTTAGATTGCATAAATAAGAATTATGATGCATAATTTTTAGAATGCGTGAATGCGAATCCCAATGCCTTATTTTAAAATCACGTATAAATACGAAAATCAATGTTTGATATTATAAACCGCATGAGCAAATCAAGACATTGAATTTTAAACTTTCGTGAATACGAATCGCTACATAGGTTTTTAAAAAGGTGTAAATACGAATCACAATATCGGATTTTTAAATCTCGTAAATAAGAATCGCAACGTACAATATTCAAATCGCGTGAATAAGAATCGCAACACGCAAATATGAAAAGCTATGTTTGATATTAAAATCGTGTGAATAAGAATCGAGATATTAGCAGATTCCAGGCTTGGGACCTCTAAAAGGCTTGTCAGAAGCAGTTTCGTTTGAACTACAAAAATCGGATCTATCTGGAGGGCGGGTAAAAAATTCGGAAAATCTTATCTGCTGCAAGCTAAAATAAGTAAAAATGAGAAAGGATTGGTAGCTATATAGTTTGAATTTTCCGTTTCTCTTTGAAAATCGGTGAATTTTTTGAAAAAGCGGAATACTTATGAAAAATAAGTGAAATTTTTAGAAAAATCTGAATTTTTGATTTGAAAAAAAAGTTGAAATTCAAGAGATAAAAAAGAAAAAAGCGGAAATCCGCTAAAAAGCGGAAAAATCTCATCCCTGACTCACGCATGGCGGAAGTTAATTCCGACTTGTATTTTTTTAGAAGATGTTGACGACTCTCCTTTTGAAGGATTAAAAATTTCAAAAGAAAAAGATTTCCAAAATGAGCTCCGGGAATAGGCTCGAAAATGGTTAGAGCGGGACCTTATGTCAGAAGCAGAGATTAATGAGTGGTTTAATATCGATAATGACGTCCCAATTGTAAGCGAAATGACCGATTTCGAAATTATTCAGATGGTGTTGAACCCAGGCGCTGAACAAAAAGAAAGTGACAACGAAGATGAGGCTGAACAAGTTTCTGTCATATCTAATGAACAATGCATCGAATTATCAAAAGAACTGATAGCTGGAATGGAACAGAAATCATTTATTGAGGAAACTCATGTAATGACTGTTTATAAAATCCAACAGTTGTTTCTTAATCAGAAATCAAAATTTCGTCAGCTAAAAGTTTAAAAAATAAATATATGCAAATTTTTTATTTTTTAAACTTACTTTTCTTGTCAAAACTTTTAAATTTTATTAAATGTCATTTTTCTATTCTTTTAAATGTTATTTTTCTTTTTTTTAATTTAAGAGAACTTTTCTTTTCTTAAAATGTTTTACTTTGTTTTCATTGTAATTTGGGTTCGATGAAACAAACATCGATAAACTAAGTTTTTTTGCCGATCCAGAAAAGCGGGAAATTCAGACATCTGGGATAGCGATGGTCCCAAGCATCCCGGATAATTGGCTCTCTACTGTATATATGTCTTAGTTTAACAAAGTAAATTTATAGTGGTTATAAACATCACTTAATATAAATAATTTAAATAAACCTATAAAAGTCCTAACAATATTCTTTAAAAATATTAAGTGTTTGCATAGTTACTATAATTCCTGCTTACAATTAGTATATTGCTACCACTACTAAGAATCTTAACCTGGTGTAAAAAATGACAGCTATGCAGTGGTAAAGTAACTAATGATATTACATAGTTTAATAATTGATTGAAATAATCAAACATTATGCAAGAAAACAACTGATGATTGTTTTTCTTAAGAGACACATTAAAACTTGGGACTACTTAACTATAATTACAACAATGGCTACTGAAAAGTTACCAAGGCATCATTGAAAAAAAATCAGTTTCTTTACAACAGTATAATACATTAAAAGAATAGCAATTTTTTTTTATTATTTGCTTTTAATACTATTTTTCAATAGATTTGGATCCTCAAAGTATGAGAGTAGCTTTAATCCAGAATACATAGTTGCAATATTTCAGACAAAAAAAAAAAATTCAGGCCCTTAATGTTAATTTAACTTTTTATGCATTATACAATATCTTGGGAACTTTTACAGCAAATATTTTAAAAATTATTTAATTTTTATAATAATTTATAATTATAATAATTAACAAAAGTTCAAAATAATATACTATTCTTTATTTTTTAGTTTACTAATAATCAAAAAAAGTTTGAATTGTAAAATAGGCAAATTTTTACACCAATTTAATCTGCATAATTTTAAATGGTTTGCAATGTACACAAATTTTTTCCCCTATTTAATCTACGTAATTTTAGATAATAAATTCCAAACATTGAAGGAAATCAATCAAATTGTTCTTGAAAAATAAAATGTAATAAAAATACATCTTTGAAATGGGAAAATACACATGAAGTGAAATTAGCATAGGGGTCCAAACTTTTGACTGCTGTTCCATTTAAACTAATGGGACCATATTTGCCAGATTGCAACTGCACCCCCTTGTCTTGAGGATCAACAACAAAAGTATATTTATTCAGAGAAAGTATGTTCTAAAGTCTCAAACCATCAAGATTGAGTCATAATGCTTGAAAATCTCATCACAAGATCAAAATTTATAAAGGTTTGCTCTTTTTGAGCAATGTACATACAAAAGAACATTTGAGTACAGAAATTTTGAAGTAATATTTTATTTACTAAATTGGACAAAATATAATATTTCCGTTATAGTAAAAAAAATTTCTTAATGTATCTCTCTTTCATTTGTGGTTTACAGATTTTATAAACAATATTTAATGTTTTCAAGTTCTCATACTGAGTAAGTTTTATTTTTCCCATAAATTATTAATATAGAAAAATTACTTTTTCTTCTTCTGTTTGATTCAGTGAAGTAAACACCACATTCTGCAAAAACTTTGAAGCTTCCAGATTTTTCTAAAAACATTGAAGTTATATTAAGAGGTTCACTCAGTTAATTAATTGAAAAATTTAAGATATTTTTAAACTAAATTTTTAATAATTATTTTCATTAAAAATAATTATTAGAATTTTTAGCTAAAACGAACAACACATAACAAATACAGTTGAGCCTGTTTATTTCGAACCTATTTATCTCGAAAATCACTGTATCTCAAAATTTCTGAAATTCCCTACATTTACTGTCTAAAATTAATGTATTTTCCATGTTTATGTCGAATTTTTTTTTTCCCCTTCAGAACCTTCGTTTCTTGAATTTCTAATAACCGAGCACAAATGTCAAAACTATTTTTATCAGTAGAACTTGCAGACAGATATGAATTTTGTGACCCCACAGGAAGTAGGGATGAACAGGTTGGGGCTGTTTCTTGGAATTTCAATCACTACCCCTGCAACTTCCTTAACTAGAAAGGAATACAATGATTCTGGCAGTAAGTGAGGGGTTAATAAGTAGTTTAGCTTTTCAACATAGTTAAGAAAGCTAAGAATAGAAATTCATTTTCATCTCAAAATTGCAACCAATGGATCAAAGGATAATTAGAAGTTTTAAAGTGAACTATAAAAAACCAACTTGTAGATGCCATCGATGAAAAAAGCTCTCTAAAGGAGGTCTTAAAAAACTGGTTTCAAGGATAGTTGTGAAGGTGATGAACAAGAGGTTGAAGGCATCAGTAAAGAAGAAGAAACTGTTGATGCTGAAAATACAGTGCAGATTTGCCAGAATGGAATGCAATAAAATATGGATTTAATGTTAATATTAATTTGAAAGATTCTTAGTGGACAACTGCCTGACAACATGCGGAACATTGACAGATGCGGAAATCATAGATAATGTCAAAGGAATATCAGATAAAGAAGGTAAAGATCATATTGATGAACGAAAAGTGAATGCATAAGAGGTAGAAAAAGTTGCAGAATTCTTATAAACTATTCTTTAATCCCAGGAAAAAGTCGGATATGAGGAATTTGCGCTCTTTCTAACCTTAAAAGAATAATCGAAACAAATAAGGTTATACGTCAAAAATCTTCAAAAAAAAATTTTCAATGTTAAATGTATGTTTAAAAAATGTTATGTAAATAGATGTATGTGGTATAATCAATTTAAAGAAATGCTTATATTTTTCTACTAAAAACAATTAAAGAGCACTTTTAATAGAATTGTTTAATTGAACTTAATTTCTTTAAAGTACCTGTATAACCCGAAACCACTTTATCTCAAATTTTTCACCTTTCCCCTGAGATTCAAATAAACAGGTTCGACTGTATAACAAAAAAGCAATTTAATACAATAACTAACAAAAAACATAAAAGTTCAAGCAACAGAAATTTTTAGAAGTTGACAACAAATTCTTTTAAAAAAATTTAGCAGAACAGTGATGTAATAAATTGATATTTTTTCATTAACAGGCAATGCTGGATTATCAAGAACTCATTTAAGCTGAACTGTTGGTAAATGTTACAAAAAATATTTTTAAAAAAAATCATACATTTTCTTTTTAGCTCAATATGGAGTTCTTTAGATCATTTGAAGTCCATATTCATACTTTCTTATTCTGCTACCGTTATAATTCTGCATAGTAATCATTTAGTTATAGATTTTAAAATAAGTTTGGAAGTTCAAAAAATCACTTTACAAAAAGGTTATAGATCTTACAAAATTTCTTTTCAATAAAAGTGAAAAGTGTTAGAGATGCAGAATGATCTTATAGAATTTTAATTAAGTTTGTTCTTTTATATTTTTCTTTGTAGATCAATAAAAATGAATGGCATTATGAAAGAAAAGAAGTTTATGCTAAGCATAGTAAAGAACATTTCACAAAAGGATGAGCTTTTGAATTAATTCTAATAAAATAAAAAAAGGATAAATTATTAGATTTGTATTTCAATTAGAGCCTATTTAGAATTTCTTTAAAGGAAACTCGGCATCATATAATTACTGATACCTTGCTAAAACATAGTAAATTATGTATTTAATAATTTTTTAGATTGCTAGTTAAAAGTTAAGTAAGTAATAAAAATAAAGCATTAAAATTCTTTTTTTTTCACCATAAAATTAATACGCATTTAAAGTATTAAACCTTTCACTTTTTACTACTCTGTTATTTTTGTTTACTGCTCTGTTAATTAATCTGTTATTTTACTACTCTGTTAATTATATAACACATTATTATCAAAATTTCTCCATTTTTGAGCTCTAGACAAGTAGTGAAACAGGATATTCCACAACATAACTTGCAATAGAACAAGAAAAATTATTTCCAAATACTTCATAACAACAGGATGGTGACAATCAGAGTAAAAAATAATAATAGCCAAACTATTTTGTTATCAATTTACTTGTGGGTGGGATAATTCTTTGAAATATTTAATTCACCACTAGTTATGATGAAATAAAAATTCTATAATTTAACTTTGAACCAATACAAATTAGATACTTTATAATTATAATGAAAGCAGATTTAGATCTATTTAATTAACCATACCCATATTAAAGTCAACACTATTTAACTCCTCCTGATTGTTGCTTAACTTAACAAGAACTATCTGTTCTTTTATATTTGGAATATTAATGCTATTAGCAGTGTGTAGAGTCTGTTCTTTTTCTAGGTCAACATGCATGCTTTTAACATTGCAGGCATTATCAATTTCTACACTTCTGACAAAATAGTTATATTCATCCCATCGATTTTCCTTTTTTTTATAAACTTTATTATACAGTTGAAATTTTTATGATTAATTAAATATAACTTTAAAAATAACAAACAAGTTAGTAGCATAAAATCATTAAAATTGGTCAAACCTGCATGACTATATTAATATTTAAGTCTTATGCAAATGAAAAATAGATAAATAATTAAAAGAAAGTTTGAGACTGAATTTCAGTTGTTTTTACTTTTTAAGACAATTTTAATAAAATAATTTATATTAACTACATATATTAAGGTACATAAACGATAAAGTCCATTCACGTTTGCACAATCACGCAATCATTTTTACACACAGTAGAATTCAAGTTTTTTGAATACTAAACAACCATTAACTAATTACGCTAATTTTCTTAAGTAATGATAATAAATAAAAAAAACTTCATATGAATAATTAGGTGAAAACAAACAGAAGAAAAACTGATTGAAAACAAAATTGTGGCTGAAGAAGAATTAAATAAATTAATTGTGTTAACATTACAACAAAATAATACTGAACATACCAACGATAGCTGAAAAAAATCATATCATTTTCAACAATAAGAAAAGGTATTCTAAAATGCATAATATTAAAACTAGATCCTTTTAATAAGATAATGTCATGAAGGTAGAAAAATTTTAATTCAATTTCATTCAATGAGAAAATAGTTATAAACTTACCCATGGGCGCTAAAAGAAAAAAAAAATTTTTTTTTATTCTTAACAATGCATGAAAAAGTAAATATTTAGGCCAATTGCAGAGTAAGGTGGAGCGGAAAAAAAACGTTTTCGATAATTGAAAAGCACTACCTCATAAAAGTTGTATATGGAGTAGTATATCCCACGTGAATTTTTAAAAAAAATTTATGAACCATCTTGATTCCTCACAAAAGCCTTACAAATTTGAATTTTTTTTAAAAAAACAACAAACTTTTGAAAATGTAGCAAATTTTCACAAGTTTTCTGGAAAAAAAAAAATTTTTCCATAAAAAAAAATCTTCTATATCCTACACTGACAGATTCTTGATCCGGCAATTTCAGCATTTTTTTCTATTCTAATATATATATAGTTATTTCTAATTTTCTAATAATATATATATTAGAGTATGTATATGTATATACATACATGTATATACATATATATATGCATATACATGTATATGTATATACATATATACATATATACATATATACATATATATATATGTTAAGCATGGTTTCAAAATCATAAAGACAATTCAACTGGACTTTTGAGCTAGGCTTTTCGTTAGGTAATGGGCATTGAAAACTCTTAATGTGCTGAAGGGGGTGAAGAAAATGTTGCAGCACCAACGCTGGGACTCGAACTCCCGTTCTAAAGGTCATGAGATTGACAAATTTGCCTTCCCGGCTATATTATGTACCCAGCTGCAAAGCACTAAGTGACTTCATTAGATGGGCCCAGTTGGTGCGATAAANTATATATATATATCAGTGGCATTGTGACGTCTGGTCATCACACGATGCGGCGATGACAGAGCAATATTTCAGAGAATTAGATAGAGTATTTTGAGTTTAAGTACAATTTAAAAAATATGATTTTTCTTAAAAAACAAAAAAATTCCCGGTCAGAAATGTGTAAAAACCAAAGAGAAACCTCGCGCAATTTGTAAACTTTAATGCATCCAAATAACGTTTATTTTTCCTGCCTCAGTGACTGGTCCCTACCCACCCCGCACATCTTTTTATCCAACTAAAAGTACGCTATTCACCGCAGATTTTTGCGCTTCGGTTGGACAGAAACCAAGAAGCTCTCCCACTCTTCAAGTGAAGGGGTTAGATTTTAACAAGAACAACGTTGCTGTTTCGTTATCTGTTGTACTTTCCTGTTGTTATGAAATGTTATTCAGTTAAAATTTCTCTTTTTTTTATTTTGCAGGACTTTTTTATTAATTTTTCTCTTTCATTATATTGTATATTCTGCTTTTTAACTGAGATGGTTTAGTTAGTAAATCGAAAGTTTTGGGGAGGGAGTTAGATCATAAGTTAGAACAGCCAACTTCCAACATGCAAGTGTTTTTTAGATATTTCTGTTTGTTTGGCGAGTTTGTTGTTCAGTGATTTTTGTGTCTTGCTGTGTCAAAGATATTTTTATTAATTGAGGTGGCGATTTGATTATTTTTTTGTATGTTTTTGCATCGTCATTGAATATTCGTATGTGATAATTCAGTGTTTTCATTGAATGAACTGAAATTTTTTCCCCATTGATGCCCATTTTACTGATTCGAACATGGCTGAATCGGATATATACTCCAGAAAAAGATTTGAGGAAAAACTGCATATTGTCCAAAATGGTAGACCTTGTCCATCACTCAAAAATTTATCGTCTAAAGTAAAAGAAAGAGGCAGAGACTATACCAGACACTTTACAGTTTCTAATTATAATTCTCATACTTGGCTCTGTGGCAGTGAAAGTTTGTCCAAACTTTCTTGTTGGCCCTGTCTTTTATTTTCCGAATCCAAAAATGTTTGTAATTTTAGTGGTTTCAGAAATTTGAATGAATTAACCAAATCAAACAAAGCACACACATTGGATTCTGAATCACATCTTCAGTGTGTAGTAGGCCTGTATAATTTTGGAAAGCAAGGAAAAGATGAAGGTATAGACAAAACCCTCAAAGTTAATAACAATTTGCATAACCAAAAAGTTAAGAAAAATCATGAAGTTTTAAAACGACTCATAGATGTGACATGTTTTCTTGCCAAACAAGAATTACCCTTCCGAGGGCACAATGAAAAAACTTCCTCTTTATATCAAGTAAATTATGATGAAACTTTAAATCTTTTAAGACTCTATGATCCAGTTTTAGCAGAACATTTTGAAAATTCCAGTTTTTAAAGGCACTTCAAATGATATAAAATACGAACTGATTAGTATTATTAGTGAAGAACTGATAGAAACTATTAAACGAGAAATAGAAGAAGCAGATTTTGTAGCTTTAATGTTAGATGAAGCGTCGGATATTAGAAGAGGGTCACAGCTCTCAACAGTTTCGAGATATGTTGTGAAGGGAGACAGCAGTGTTACAGAGAGGTTTGTTGGATTTACCGATGTAAGTGCAGGCCGCACATCTAATGGTTTACTTGAGCACATACAGAAAATCGTAAGTAAATATAAACTGACTGATAAATTCGTTGCTCAGACATACGATGGTGCTGCTGTAATGTCAGGCCATTTGTCAAGTTTACACAAAAAGGTTACAGATATATATCCAAAAGCTCTATTCATGCACTGTTATGCTCAGGTATTAAACTTGGTTTTATCTCAGGGCATGAATGATATTTTAGAATGCAACAAATTCTTTTCAATACTAAGCACAATTGCAAAATTTTCATTGTATTCTAGTAGGCGATCATTTGCAATGCAGGAATACTTAAAAAAAGTATTCCTTCTTTTGCTCCAACAAGATGGTGCTTTACCTCAAGACTGGTGATTACGGTAGAACAGTACCGTGAACATATTATTGATTTTTTTAAAAGCATTTATGAAAGTTCTGATGATACCTTGGATGGGCCTGGTCGCTGTGTTGCCAATGGGTACTCCTTGTTTTTGAAGAAGTTCGAGACTGCCTTTTTATTAAATCTGTTTTCACCTTTGTTTTCCCGAACAGATTTATCATTTCAAATGTTGCAGGCAGACAGTATCAATATATTGTCCTGCTTAAATGTTATCAGAGACTTTCAAGAAGTCTTGGAGAATGCAAGAAAGTGCGATGAGAGTGACATTATTAAATATTCCTGTAATTTGGAAAAAAACTGTTTCAGCGGCAGGATTACCGAAAAATTCAAGAAAAAGAAAAGTTCATGCTAACAACGAAAGTTACTTTAGAACAACGATATAGAAAGCTGTTTTATGAAGTAACAGATAATTTACTTAGTCATTTAAGCAGCCGGTTTTCTTCTCTGAAAAAATTGGCATTCTTTATCTTACTAAATCCTAAACAGTTGAAGAATTTTTCAGAAAAAAATGGCTTCCTTGAACAACTTTTAACTAATCTAGGAGAATTATATCCACACACCTTTGATATGACAGGGTTGAAAAATGAACTGATTGCATTTCACCGGACTTCTACACTAACGACAAATGCCCACAAAAACTAATAAAATTTCTGAAAGAAGAAAATTTACGCTGAAATTTTTAAACTCTCCAAATTAATTTCGACCATTCCTGCAACAATAGCACCAGTAGAAAGGAGTTTTTCCGCCCTTAAAAGAATTCATACCTACAAGAGGTTCTCACAAACAGAAGGCAGGCTCAGTAATTTGGCCTTGTTGTCCATTGAAAAGGAACTGTTGATGTCTTTAAAGGAGAAAGAAAACTTCTGCATCAAAACCACTAACAAATTCGCTTCAAAAACAAGAAGGCTGGAGTTCATGTATAAGTGAAGGTAAGATTTAAAGTTTCTTTCTTGAACATTCAACCATTGCATTTTAGAGTTAATAATTTTTCACCACAAGCTTAAATAATTGCGATGACCACCGAAAATTTCCAAGCCACGCCACTGATATATATATATATATATATACAGAATCATGGATGCTATATAGCATATCTAGAGAAGAATTTTGTTAATTAATATAGTAATACAAATTATTTGTTTTCAAACACTAGCATTCTTGATATTATACCCTATATTCTTACACTCAAAAGTTACATCAACTACAAAGATTAAAATAATTCAATGTGAAAAGATTGATAACTAAAACTACAAAACTGCATGACACAAAAAAGAGAAAAGAACACTTAATTAAGCTTCTGCTGGAAGCATACTTAAGGGTCCATAATGTAATAAATTTAGAAAGATAAAATTGAAAACAAAGTATAACTAAGACTAACATAATGCTAGAAATAAAATAAATAAAACAACCTTTCTTCAAAATGACATAAATAATTCTTATTCATTGTCAATTTTATTCTATTTTTATTTATAGGTAACAAAAACATAGGTATAATTAATAAAAGTTGCCTTATTTCTCACAAAAACAAGGTAGAAAATTTATTTAAATAGCTCAAAAAGTAAAAATATATACAAATAACTTACCTCATGGACAGCTAGAACTTTAGCTGCTTTCATGCTACACTCCAGTTCAACAATTGCTGCAGCTTGGTACTAGAAATAGATATTTAAAAAATTCCAGGGTAAACATGATTTAGATGGCTTGATTTTCTTTTTACAAAAATCATTAAGTCTAATGCTTGTGTATAGATACATATTGGCATAATAAAGCCTTCAGCCTGTACATTCTTAGTTAATTTTTTTCAGTTTTTGGCTGTTACAAAAAGTGAAAAAGAAATAATTTTCATTTTAATTATTTTAATGTAATCAAAGTAATATAATCTTACTTCTTTTTTATTGTTATATGAATAGATATTTGTCAAAATTAAAACTAAAACAAACTACGATATTTTAGATTTCAAAAATATGCAGCTAAAAGTTTTCTATGTTTGACTTTGAAACAATTATCGCCATGCCATCACAAACGCACAACCCCTCACTATTTCTGTCATAAATATTTAGTTAGCATAAAAAACACATTATGGGTACAGTTGTTGCAGTTTTTTTGTAAGCCTCTAACAGTGTTATCTACTAAAGACTCTTTAGAACTTTCAAAAAGTTTTTTATACAACTCCTCCTTAAAATTGAAAATTTTTGCCTCAATTTCAACTACGTATCTAGTTATACTGCAAGATATATATTTCAAAGCAGGAGTTTGTTCACATAACATTCCTTAAGAAACACGTTTATTTCTGTTAACTATTGCAGTAAGAACAACTTTCCCTTTTCATTTTTCATAAGATTAAGAATGGTTATTCTTAGAAACATTATTGAAAGCATCCAAAACAGATAGTAGGCAAGTACAACAACTTTAACTATTCTCCCTAAAAAGCTTTTTGATTCATAAAAGGGTTTTTCCTTCCTCCAGAAATGAGATTTCACTGGAAATAACATCGAAAAGTACGTAGGTCACATAAATAGTAGTAGGTACATATGACGTAGATCATCTGTCAGACCAAACAATTCTACTGATTATTTTTTATCTTAGGAAATATTTGTACAGTAGAGAACCAATTATCCGGGATGCTCGGGACCATCGCTATCCTGGATGTCTGAACTTCCCGGTTTTCTGGATCGACCAAAAAGTGTCGTTAATCGATGTTTTATTGGACCCGAATTAGAAGGAAAAAGTGTAATGCATAAAGTAAGAGAAAAAAGAAAGGTACTCCTAACTTTAAAAGAATAAAAAAAATTTGCAAGTTTAGACAAGAAAAACAAGTTTAAAAAATGCAAAATTCTCGTATTTATTTTTTAAAAGTAATTACAATTCCTAAATTAACTAATGTAAACAAAACCAATGGTTAAATAATGCAATATATTTCATACCTAATGGATGGTGTTTTCTACACTAGGGAATGCTGCAAGCTCGGTACCGCCTAAATTTCCAGGTTACTGTTTCCGTTGTATTTTAAAGTCATTTGGCATCATTGTGTTTTGAGATTCTTGCAAACAATGTATTTGATTACTTACTACTTGTGTTTACAATGCTAAAAGTGTTAACACTAACGTAAGATGGTGCACAGCTTGCAACAAGAATAAACAGTAATAACTTATGGAACGAGGCCAAATCAAGACTGCCAAAAAAGCAAGTTATTCAAAATCTAGCAAACATGTCACCTTTTATAACAATTTATCTCTATATAACTAAAACAAATTTTCACTTCAAACTCACCAGAATTACATAATAACATTAATATCTTATGAAATTTGGCAGATTTGAGCTCAGAAATCATCTAATTTATTTATTTCATTGAAAACAAAATTATCCGTTTGAAAATATCGCCCCGCAGAATAACGTGTAGTAAGCAGCAGCAAACTTTCTAACCAGAACCAGAGCAGGCATACAGTTCTAGATTGTTATTGTTTATATTTCTACTGAAAACACCATCCATTATACGGGGGAAACGATAAAATAAAAGGAAAACTTATTAATCTAAATAAAAACACTTGAAAATTATCGAATCGAAACGATAGTTAAAAAAGGCACTAGCATAAATATTAAAACCCGGAACAAGGCAAGATCAACGGAATTTTAAAAAAAAACCTTATGATAAAATTTATGAATAAAAAGAATTAATTTATTGAGTGCGAAATTTATCGTGAAAAGAAAAAAATATCAAACGTAGTGGAATCAGAAAAACAAGACTGCAATCTGCTTCATAAAATAATCCTATGTTTAAATTAATAAACAATTCTCCTTTTATTTTTATTTTTTTGCTGATAAAAACACGATATTTAATTACAGCAGATGTGATTCCACATCAATAAAAACTTGCAAATGATACCCCACTTTCAAAGTATGAGAATTTATTCCGAAGAAAAAGATTTTATTTTTATTAATCGATGTCAAATAGATAAATATATTTTTCTCTTTCATCTTCTGTTCACTGATATGCATGCAATGCATTTTCCCTACCTCCCTCGTACATCAAACAGAAAACAAAATCAGCATGCCACACCCTTGAGCTTGATTGACGACCTAAAGGAGAAAATAAAACATTCCTCCCTTCCCTGCCTTCAAGGTCACGGAGGAAATGACGTTTCTCTGGGTAAACAGGGAAAAATTTTCCCGGTTTTCTGGTTTCCCGGTTATCTGGATACCGGATAAATGGTTCTCTACTGTACTTGAAAGAGCTTAAGAAAATAATACTGGAATCATAACTTATTCATAAACCAAAACTAAAAAAATAAGGCCTATCAGATACGCTTTTTAAAATGCCATGCTATCATAAAAACTAAAGATTATATGCAAAAGTAAAACATTGAAAATAAAAATCAACCTTAATTTTCTAAAGAAAATTTTAAAGGAACATCTCAGTTTTCCAATTACCAGAAAAAGTCAAGAAAAAGGAATTATGTCTAACGCAAATGCTCTTGAAAATTGCCGGGTTATAATAAAAATGTCTATAAAATACTTTTTTTTTCAAAAAAAAGAGAAAAAAAGCTAGATAGAAACAAAAAACGTTCTTAATTTTTTAAATGAAATTCTTATGCAGAAAATCTCAGTATAAATGTTTTTATATTGCCATATTTTTAGAAGAAAAAAAATTTGCTATAAAATAAAGTTTATTAGTAACGTTCATTAAAAAAAATGCTGTGTCATAATAAAAATGCCTATAAAAGGAAAAGTTAATTAAAAAGAAAAACAGAAAAAACAAATTGTTCTTAGTTCCTAAAACAAAACTTTAACACTGAAAATCATAGTTTTCTATGTTACTGGTTACAGTACAGGGAAAAAGTGATAATAAATTAATAGTATGAGATGCTACGTTAAAATGCTGCATTATAATGAAAACAGCAAAAATGGAGAAAAAAAAATTCTTCTTAATTCTTAGAATTAAAAGTATCGAAAAAATGACAAAATATACTAGTCAGAATATAATTTTTTAAAAAAAAGCAGAAGTGCCAAAACTTGTGGTTCAGTATAAAGTAATCTAGTTTCAATTCTTCAAATTTAGTTTTTCCATTTGTTTTCTAGAGGATAAATTTGCAAGCCATGTGCAGAAACATGGATTTTAAAATTTAAGAAATTTGTGTAAAAACCATATCTTATAATAAGCAATACTATAATATAGTTGAAAATACGCTTTTATATTATTCTTTATACCTTTTGATAATGTTGAATAGCTTCTTGATACTTTTGTGACAATTCAGAATAGTTCAGCATTTGTTTACCAAAAGTTTTGATATCTTTGGAATCAACACCAAGTGGAAGACTTTTACTGAGAGCAGCAACTAAATACCGTAAAAAAAAAATAATACATAACAACACTCAGAGCAAAAATATTCTTATTTTAAAATAATTAGAGCAAAGAAATTAAAAAGCTTAATAGCTAAACAAAAATTCCAACATTGAAGTCATACACATATAACATTACATACTGCGATATACATGCTACAGTGGGCCAAAAAAACCTAAGTTTTTATTTTCAAAACACAATAGTGCAGGAAAGAAGTCTTATGTAAAAATATGAAATTTGGCACAAAATGTTTTAAAATCCGTTAATATCTTCTGGTCGAGCATAGCTATTAAAGTTTTTTAAAATTTGACAAATTTAGAAATTTTTTAATCCTGCTTAAAATTGTGCAATTATGATACTGTAGTCATTTATACTTATTTTATAGGTTAAAAATGTAAAAGAAATTTTAAAAAAAACAAAATTGGCAACAAAAAAATTCTGGTTGCAAAATGTGTTGGAAAAATTGCTAATCATTCATATTTTTTCCTATTTTGTTTGTCCTTAAGCAGAATCTTTTAGTCTTAAGCAGCATTCTTTACACTTGCTTTGCATGCCATATCATTTTTCTTTCCTTCTGAACTTATAGTAGAGGGTTTAATATTGTTTTCATTATGTTGTATCTGCTAGTAGAGCTGAGTAGTTAACAAACTATTTGCTCTTTTTGCCACTTTAACTACCATCATAGTTCATTATTTTTATTTCAGATTTTTTTTCACTGAATTTATTGAAGAGATCGAATATGATAATTATAAGACAGGCTTTTGAATGCCCTATATTCAGTCACTCAAAAAATTGTTATGAAAGTAAACTACCTGCTGCAATTAAATAACAAATTTGCATCAATTTGACCTAGGTAGTTCAACAAAAAAAAAAATTTTTTTTCTTGCAGCAAAAACTGTTCATACTTTTATTTCTAAACAACTTATATAAAAAAGAATTAACATCTCAATAACAATTCAAGTGAGTGAGAGGTTAGGAAAAAAGCTATTTTTCTTCAGATTAAAATAGAACTTTTGTAAAAAAAAAAAATTAAAAAAAAGTTTAACAAAAATCATATAAATGATGAAGTCTATATATGATATTTATAATGATTATGGCAAATTTTTTTTAAATTTAAACCAGGATAATTCTTTTAATCAGTTGAACTGTAGTTGGAATATCATTTGGATGATTGATCATCACTGATACAAAGTTTTTTTTTTCTTTCTGTTTTATAAAAAAAAAATTCTGAATTGAAATTTCTCAGCACATCACAGACAACATTTTTAATTTTTTTTAAAAAATTCAAATATCCTTCAATTGATTTTAAAGTGCAAAAAAATCTAAAAGTGCTTAAAAGTGAAGAAAAAAAATACATGCGTAAAAAGGCTATCTCACATTGGTTACTATTGAAGACAAAAATTCAAAACCTAAAACCTAGAACTCAATACAGTGACGGCCAAAAGGAGGAGAAAATAACCAAAGAAATGGGAATCATATTTAATTGTGGTCGATTTAAAGTAAACAAAATTTATCTGACACGAGTATACAATGAATCTTTCGGTGCATATTTAGAGCCTGTGCTAAGTATTTAAAATTATTAGCCTAAATTATCCAAATATTAAAAGTATTGGCCAATTTTAGAAAGTCTTTGCCAAATGCAAATTTTAACAATTTTTTATATTTATTGTTCTTTCCAGAGGAAAAAATCATTCACCAAAACAAAACTTTATTTGCCAAATTTACAATTTTATCGCATTTGGCGAGTGGCAAAGGCTTAGTGCGGGCCCTGCATATTTATTGTTACAAGGCAACACTGATAATTGAATATGTGCTTGAATCTTTCAAAATTAACAAAAATGAGTAAATATTCATATTACTAAGAATATTGATTTGTTTCATTTAAAAAGTATTAAAAAATGTTATGTTTAAAAAAAACATATGAAAATTAACATGAAAAAATATGAACTAAGATTCCATGCTGTTATAGTAGAAAAATTAAAGAAGCTGATAAAACTTAAATTATAAATAAAATTATTTAAAAGTTTTTCCTTCTATCAAAATATAATTTAGTGGAAAACTTACTTTTCTTTGACCTAGAATCACCAATTCCAAAAGGAAGAGATGATATTCTTTTAAAATCTTTGTTAGAAGGTGGAAACATCATTATCATGGAAGCAGCACACTGTCCTTCATAAGCTGATGCAAGCCACAGCCAATCTTGACCAGATTTCAAATATTCAACTGATGAAATATAATGAGCAAATGCTTCAGAAGGCAAACCGGATTGTAAAGCTAAGTCACCAATGTGTTTTTTCATTCTACCTAAGCACCTTTTTTTATACAGCCTAAAAACAAAACAATTTTTCTGATTTCTTGAACAAAAAAAATTTGAAAATCTTGTAATAAACTTCTTAATAAAATGATAAAAGAAATAATAATAAAATAATCTTGTGATAAAATGATATTAGTATACAGGAAAAATAAAGTTTTCATAAAAAAAATTTTTTTTATTAAATTGCAGTTAAATTTTGCACTTAAATAAAAACAAATTGGGTACGGTACAATACAAGGGTTCTGCAATAATTACCCTTTAAGTTTTACCAGCTTTAATTTTTATTTCCTCAAATCTATGTAAAACAGAGCTGACTCACTACAGTGCATCACATATCCAAAAAGTAAGTTACGTATTAATGAATTTCCTATATATAGGATGCAGATTTTTCAATATCAATGTTAAGATTGAAATACTGTAGAAATAATGTAACAAGCACAAACAAGTTAGTAAGACAAAGAGTTTTTGTTGCTACAGTCTATGCTAGAGGTGCACAACCTGCTCTCGACGCGCAGTTCACGGCAGCACCTGAATAAAATAAAAAACTATAGTTTTTTTCCTTTGAAAAGAAATCAAACATTTCGAATTACACATTTAAGCTTTTTATGTTCCCAATATTAAACAAAGTAGTGTTTTACATATTTTCTCTGAGATTATTGCTACAAATTACCATTTTATTTTAAAAATCCCAATTTTTTTTAATACATTATTACGATATATAAATTTAAAATATTAGTAATCGCTGTATATGTGCCGGATATCTCAGCTTATTATTTGCACTAGCTCTTTGTTATTTTTGCTACAGATATGAATGTGGTTTTTAAAATTGTGAGAATTGTAGTAAGTTTTGACTTATTTCAAGTTTTGAATCATGTATTCAAAGTAACTTGCAAACTTCATCACAAATTAAAATGACTTTTGGCTATTTTTTTGCAGTTATTGTTACCAATTTCCAAATGATTTTTCAAATTTTAATTTCGCACAATATTAAAACGAACTGTGAGTATCGAATTGCGCATTCATATAACCAGTTCTGTTTGCTATTCCATAGATTTAATGTTTTTTTTAATACACATTAGTACATCTAAGACATTCATTTCAACATAGTGGCTGTAATTTTTTTTCTCATTTATGAGGAAATCACTTCACAAATAAGTGCTAGGCATTTTCAAAATTAAATGCTCCAATTAAAAATAATTCATTTGATAGTAAAAGTTTCAAAGAAATTATTTTATCACTGCTCTTTTGAAAATAAAAATTAGCATGACGTCTGATATACAGACAGATGCCTTCTTAATCTTGGTGAATTTCTTTTGGTACATCGAGTTTAAAAATCATACTTTTCTTATTAGAAAATTTTATTCTCTTTTTATGTGAGCAGTTTTTTTTTTTTTAGTGATTTGTTTTGCAATAAAATATGTGGTATTCACATTCTCATTGATTTTTTTCTTTATTTAGATTTCAGTTTTCTGGGCATAATTTATTTAAATAAAATGGTAGGTAACAATGTTTGGTTTGACATTATTTTATCAGTTTAACTCCTTTTTTAGTATAGCCAGCTTTTATCCAAATTTGTCCATTCATATTTTTTAAGCATTTCAGTAACTTTAGATCAAAATTTGAATTACAGCATGAATAACATAATGTAAGAAATGATAGGAATAAAAACGACAGGATAAAAATGATAGGAGAAAAAAAATTACTAATCCCAGTTGACCACCTGCTTAGCAATGCACTACAAATGATCATATTACACAGGTTTCACTGTTCGAACTTCTAAGTTTGTACAAATATCAATCCATACTAATTTAATAACTGCTTTAACTACAGGATAAGCTAAATCACGCACACAATAAAATATTGAAATCTGTGACTTTTTGGAATGTAGGGGCAAATAAGATTTGTTGAAGTATTTCAATAAGATTTTAAGAAGAGTTCAACAGAAACATTTCGCTAGTGAATTAAAACAATTAAAGGTACCTCAACCAATTAAAGCTAACAGCAAAATTATAACTTCAAATCAGTTCATAGGTGACAATAGTATAGTGAGGGTCGGAATAGACTAAGGAATTTTAATCCTGCTGAAAATGTGAAATATCCAATAATCTACCTAATGATCATCAAATTACTAAATTCAAAATTAACTTTTATCATGAAATTTATTTGCACGGTAGTTTTCAATATTATAATCTTCAATAAGGCAGACATATTGCATAATAAATGCCAAAGATAATATAACAAAGTTCTCACTCAATTTTAAAAAAAAAAAATTCCCTGACTTCAGGTATTTCAGGAAAATTTCAATACAAATTCAAACCACATTTTATATAAACTATGCCATTTTTCATCAGAAAACTTTAATTGTTTTTTATTTGTAATGTCAAGTATTAGATTTTGCAAGCAAAAAAAAATCATCATTGAATGAATATGAATACATGGAAAAGTTTCACCAAAATGTGGAATACTCACACAATAATTGCATTAGATGCTAAAATTATTTAAATCAAATCTCAACAGCTGATTAATAATACTGACAATCTTAAGACTGGTTATTTTAAGGTATGATGAGGGTATTTTCTAGGTTTTTGTAAAATAAAAATGCAACTTTCCCTGACTATTTCTTACTTTTTAGAGTCTAAATAAAATTCACTGACAATTCCAGGTTTTCCCTGCTCTCCCTGACCTATAGGAGCCCTGATATAAGATGCTGATGGAAATGTGTTAAGTCTTGCAGTTCTAAATGAATGACCAATCTACCTAGTCCAAGAATCTCCCTGCCAAGAACAATTTCTAAAGTTGTTATAGATTTTACTGGCCTGTCTCTAACAGAATGAGAAAGAGAAGAACATGTTTAACCAACTAAGAGCTATATTGATTTGGTTTACAATGAAAGCAATTCCTTTAGAAATTTGCCTATAATTTATTGACTGAAATATCCATCACTTTTCTACAAAGAATTAAAGCCAGAAGAGGGAAAACAGCAGAGGTTTATAGTGATGATGAGATAATTAAGGCCTACAAAATTTGTAAATCATAATTATTGTAATAATTGAAGAAAATCCTGCAGAAATCTTGAGACAAATTTAAGGATTATGCAATCTCAAAAAGTATACAATGATTTTATTATTCTCTTGCCATTTCACATGAAAATCTGCCATCAAGTTCATAAAATTCTATCTAAAAAGAACAATGAGTACAAGAGTATTTCACTTTGATCAATTAAATTGAGGTTTATTCATCCTATTCATTCTACCTCAACAGACCCTTCAGATTTAACAACCTTTACACAAAGTCATTTTTTTGTAAGCTGCCACTCATCAGAGATCTTAAAACCTAATTTGATGAAAGAAAAACTATCATCTCTTAGGTGGCTGCACATGCAGCAGTTAATGCAAAGCTTTTGGAAAAGGTAGTTCAATGACTATCGTTCTAATTTGGAAGCAAGAGATAAATGGCATCTGATTCTATTCAAAGATAATAATTTACCCTTATTAAAATAGAAACTTGCTAAAGTTCTTGAAGTTCCTCCTGATCTAGAATAATCAGCGAGAGTTGTTACACTAAAGACCTCTAATAATGTGCTAAAACATGAAACTGCTATTAAATAACACATAATGAAGACTTAGATAACTTTTAATATTCATTTCAAGCAAAATGCATTTAATTAGCTATTATAGCATTATTTACCTTACAAAATATCTACTGATATTGAAGTTATTAATGATTTAAATTGATTGCATATATTCAACATTGATATTTGTATTAATTTTTGTTTAATGTTGATTTTATGTAGGAAGCATACATACAAGTGCATATAATTTCTAATTATTCTCTTACTTTTGCTTAAATTTAGTTAATATTTCTAATCAATGATAGCCTTTGTAAACTTTTAGAATTGGTTATAAGTTTAAATTTTCAAATCAATTAATATTGCTTAAACTTAATGGATTCTTGTAACTGTATATGTTAAAATAATAATCTTTCAAGAGCTATGTGCAGAAATATATTTCTTAGTTAATAAGAGAGTTAGTTATATTCCATATGGTTATCATGGTATGGTATCATACTTTTTATAATTCACTTACATATAATTAATTTATATATAATTAAGCTATATATAATTAATTTATATATAATGCATTTATATATAATTCATTTATATATAACTTATATAAATGCAATGGTGTGGTCAAAATCATTTTAAATTAAATTTAAAACTCCAAGAAATAAATCGAAAGCAAAAATTTCAAACAAAATGTATGAAAGTTGGAAGCTATGGTGATGCCAAACATAATCCTGTGATATTCAACTATATAAGTGTTCCAGAATTTATGATGGTTTTGAACGTCTGGCTATGTTTACATAGTTTCAAAGCAATACTTTTATTTTATATTTGGAATAGATAGCAATACCTGTTTCTTATAAATCTTTATGTGTTGTTTTGTGATTAAACTTTTCATGTTTGTTTTAATAATCTTTTGTTTCATTTGAATTAGATAATTCGCTTAAGACACAGTCACCAACTCATTTTCTAGCATGGCTTATAATTTTTAAAAAAATATAACAGCAAACCATTTACAACCATTTTTTGATTCTGAAATGAATCTGTTGATTCAGTTTAAATTAAGTAGGTACATTATATTTTATTTTTGCTCACAAATTCAAACATTGAAAAACTAACACAGATTTTACATAAAATTTTTTACAAAATTTTAAATTATAAAAATCGTACCTTGTATCAGTGTCGATTCCAACAAAATTCTTTTTTTCAAAAGGTGTAGTCAGAAGTGGTATTTTTTCCTGTTTTTCAAATGAGCGATTTAAGCGTTTAGATTCAAGAATCCAATAAATTGAGTTAATAAATTCTTTTACATCCTGTTTTAATTGATCACAGCTATCAGTACCAGGATAAATAATACAATGAATACTATTTGAATTAGAGGTGGATGGAATTATTAGTTTTTCTGAGCCAGATGGAGATGTATCTAAATCTATATTGTGGGAAGGGCTTACAGGGGAGTCACTAGACAAGCGATTTAAATCTATCTCACTATCATTGAGTTGAAAGTTTTCAGTAATACCATCACCAACATTTGGCAAAGAACAAAAATCTGGAGAATCATTTAATGAAGAAAATAACTCATTGCTGTTTTCATGTCCATCATGATTTGGAGAGTTTCTATTAAATAAACTATCATCATCTCCCAAATGACTTTTTGGCACAGGTTCAACATTATCCCTAAATACTACATGCTTCGAGTTATCTAAAACAGGAGTACATTCTGGAGATGGTACATCATCTTCTGGTGGCCCATTAAGTTCTGAAGGAGAAACACTATCAGTTCTGAATATGAAACATCGTGAGTCAAACACTGAATTACTGTACTCATCAAGGAGTGCACTGTGTTCTTTGGAAAGGTCATCAACATTAGATTCTGGATTGCCTTTACCTGGAATATTAACTATAATTACTTGTCAGCAACTCTTTATTTTAAAAAAAATTGCCTCAATATAAGACATGCCAACATTTAGGAAAGTCTATCATTTGCAATGGAATAAACACAAAATACTTCCTTTTAGTCCAAAATAAAATTCTTCAATTTCAAGTACGTAATCAAAATATTTTTTTTTACACAACACAAAAATAAAGAATTTACTAAAACAAATTATACAATTAGAAACTTTAAAATAATTTTAAACTTTCCTTTCATAACCCAGAACAATATTAAATTCTGTTTATTCATGAAGTTTTCATTCAAAGTATTTTTCATCCAATTAAAAAATAACCAGGGTGTGTTGATTTAAATTATGATTTATTACTTTAAAATTAATAATCTTATATTAAAATGATTTGAAAATATGAACTGAATAATTGATGATTTCTGAGGAAATTATTATTCAAATTATGAATTAATATATTATGATTTAATAAATTTAAATCATAATTTCATTGAATTTGATGATTTTCAGAGTTCATTTTTCTTTTAAAAAAAAATCCATAAAAATCATTGTCCAGCGTTAAATTTTAACTTCAATTTAATAAAGACATGCATTTTCATTATAATAACATTTTTGACTAGCTCATACCAAAAAAATTTTCATAAATAATGAAGTTCTATAAGAATAAATTTACAATAATGTTTAATTTTCGACTTCCTGTAAAGTTCACAGAGCGAGAGCCTCATTGTTTCATTTTTAAAAACTCCGTGAAAATAAAGCTCGCTTTGATACGGTGTATGCGACTGGTTAGGCTTACCACACAGCACTATTTGACCTAACACGTGCTACCTATTCATAAAAGACAGCTGGCAGAAAAGTTCCTCTTTTGCTTAGATTGCAACAGAACAGGGCTTGCATGGTACTAGCACCTCTTCTACCACCTCCATTAAGGAACAAGCAACTGACACTCCTTTTCTCCTACAGCGTTTCGGGATCCCGTCATGCTCTCGAGAAAAACGTTCTTCTTACAAACTGGGTGGGAAGCGAATTCTTCTATGTCATAATAGCAATCTGCGGAATGGTTCCATTGCAAGTTGAAATGCATAATTCACCCAGGGTTTATCGTTTTTTAAAGGGATACAGAAACAAAATTTTTAAAGGCAGAGAGGAGAATCTTAAAACTTATTTTTGTTAAAAATATTTTGTGAAACTACCGTTTTTCCTAAAGTTGAAATTGTGAAAGTACCGCTAATCGGTTTTAAATTTGCCTTGGACAGACCCTTGTAGCCTGAAATATATTTTCATTAAACACTTTTAATAATATTTCAATTATAATTATATTGATAAAATTTGACTTATTATAATCTTAAATTCTTAAAGTACCTTTAAAATAACAAAAAGGAAATTGATTTAAATAAGAAAAAAAATATGATATAAATCAAATTTTTTTGATTTATTCTTTTAAAAAAGTCCAAAAAAAATTATGAAAACTATAAATTGTGATGTTTTGGATACCATTATAACAACTTGATTGATTGAACAAGAGAAACTTTCAAAAACAGCAATGATTTTAACACATTGCAAATTTTGTTATGGTTTTCAAATCTGGAAGCATTTACTGAAATAAAGCAGTAGCATAATTAGGTGTTCAATAACAAAATTAGTGAATAAAGCTTCAGCTTTAACAACACTTAATCATAATGTTTCACAATATATCAGGGTTTTTTTTATATATCCATCGTTGAACAGTCGACCCAATTTTTGGGTTTACGACTACTAATGTTCAAATCCGTAGCCTTGTCATTTTGAACCAATCCAGAAAACAGGAAACTCCTGAATCAGTACCCCTAGAGGTACTGATTTGTTATGAGAACATGGACTTTGCGACTCAACAGATTCAACCATAACTTAAAGAGGAGTCTTCAGTCAGCCTGGGATCGATCCCACGAATTCTTGGACATAGGCCCAGTGCCCTACCAACCAGGCTATCTCGGCCTCAATATATCAGTTTCATTTTATTTTATAACCGCGGCTGAACAGCCGACCCAATTTTGGGTTTACGACTACTAATTTTCAACTCTGGAACCTTGTAATTTTGAACCAACCCAGAAGATGAGGAAACTCCGGTATCAGTACCCTCGAGGTATGATTTGTCATGGAAACATGGAGGACTTTGTGACTTGACAGATTTGACGTGCACCAGTCACCATTACTACACGAGGAGTCTTCGGCCGGCCTGGGATCGAACCCATGAGCTCTTGGACATGGGCCCAGTGCCCTAGCAACCAGGATATCCCGGTCCTCAATACTCAATATATAAATTTTTTTTTTGTTTTTTTTTTATATCCGTCGCTGAATAGCCGACCCAATTTTGGGTTTACGACTACTAATTTTCAACTCTGTAGCCTTGTAATTTTGAACCAATTCAGAAGACAATAAAACTCCTGGATCAGTACCCCCAGAGGTATGATTTGTTATGGGAACATGGAGGACTTTGTGACCCGACCGATTTAACGTGCATCAGCCACCATTTACTACACAGGGAGTCTTCGGCCGGCAGGCATCGAACCCACGAACTCTTAAAATGATGCTTAATGTTCACAGTACTCTCCATTCTGCTGGTAATTATAACTTTTTCTACATGCACAAAAGCAAAAATGAGAGAAATTTGCATTTAATGTTACAATTTCATGTGTTAAACATTTGCTGTTGAATAAGGTATATTAAGGCATTTTTCCGGATAACAAATTATACAACAGTAATATCTTGTGATTTGAAGTTGAAAGCTTATATCAACTTCTTCAAGCTTATTTTCCCAATCTTAAAATTTTGTAATGGAATAGCCATCTTAAAAAAATTCATTAAATGGAACATAGAAATAAAAAATAAAGTTCAACAATTATTTGTGTTTAAGAAAAAAACAATGCTAACTATTGTAGTTTCTTTTTTGCATTGCACTAACTAATATGTGCTCAATTTTTTTTTAAATTTAAAAATAGAAAAAACATTGTTAAGCTCTTGATATAGCAAACAATAATGTTGACAAATCAAAATGGTCAAAAATCTAGCATGATAGTCATGAAATCATAATGCATATGAAGTTTTTTAATGATATATTTAAGACATTCAACTACTAACTAAATGTATATAAATACAGACAAATAAATAAGTACTAATATACAAATACATAACTGACAATAATTATTACAACTGTGGTACCAATTTCTCCAAGAATGATTTTGAACTTACAAATGATAAGAGGAAAGCAATATAGTTATTATTGGTGTTCATAATATAAAACTCATTTAATGTATAAATTTATGCAATGGTGTAATACATTTAGTCTCATTAAAATTATTAAAAAAATCAACATTTAGCTAGTCAGTCTTTAACACTCCAAATGATGAGCCTCAGGGTAAAAAATGTTTGGGATTCCTTCTGTTAGGCACTACCCTTCTATTGATCAACATGAAGGAAGCTGGTTTTTTGATACAATGAAACTTGTTGCTGAAAGTTCAGAAAAGCAACAACTAATGCTCAGAAGGTGATTTCGTGTTCTTAAAATGTGAACAATCATATGAAAAAGTATAACTGCGGGCTAAAGAAAAATGTTTCATTTTATATTCACATTTTTTTTAGATTTATCTTATTAAGTTTTATTTTATTAAGAACTGTCATCATCCTAAGAAATGTTTAATTAAATTCAATTAAATCAAAAATATAGTAAAATTATATTGTTTTATTTTTTATCTTGCAGTAAAGAAGATCTTATAATGCAAACCTAGAAATGTGATTGCAATGTAATTGTAATATAAATAATTAAAGAGTGAATGGAAAAAAATTCATAAAAACTCAAAAAAGTCAATTAAAAAGGCATAAAAAATAAATAAGAAAACATTTTAATTAATTTAAATAAATTCTTCATTCATACCTATGGATATAAGGCCAACAACCTTTCGATATGTTTGAAAATCACCCCATTCATTGTTTTTTGAAGAATAATTATTCTCATACCTTAGCCAAATGCAACGCTGAACTCCAGATTCTCGAATTTTTATATACTGGACTTGTTTGATTTTTTCAAAAATCTTATGAAAGGATTTTTTGCTAATTTGGTCACCTGAAAAAAAAATAATAAATAACTCTGCTATGCAAAATGGTTTCATTAATTTAAATCAACTGATTCTTTTTTAAAAAAATATTTGACTAAAACAAAATAATTTTAAAAAATTAGTTTAAAAAAATTGTTTCTTAAAAAATTTACAAGCATTTTAGCATTAAAAAATAGTTTAATTTTTCAATTAGTTTTAAAGTTTTCCAATTTATTCAAGATATACTGTTGCACTTTAAAGTTTCAATAAGAAAAATTTTATAAATAATGTGTAATAAATTAGAGCATATTTGCATTAACATTTTAAAACTCTTTTAATGCTTTTTGATTCATTAGAAAGCAAACAAAGTAAAAAGTGAAAGTTTAATGCAAATTTTGTGCATACACACAATTGTAAAAAGTAGTTACAAAATGAGTTTTCTCTTTAAAAAATTATAATAAATAAAAAAAAATCTTGATGGGGAATAAAAAGTTTTACCAATTCTTTATGTTAAAACGTCAAATTTAATTTTAAATCTTAAAGTTTCTACAATGCTAAAAGAAAATCATCCTAATGTAGCATTTAAAAAGAAAACTGTCCAGATACATAATGTCAAAAATGTATAGAAACAGTTAAATATCCTGAAAGATAAACATGGATCAAATATCTAAAAATATACTTGTAAAATAACTACAAAAGATGCATTCAATGATACTACTTGGGAGGGGGGAGGGGACACCTTCAAAATATTAAATAGAAGTCCTTTATTTTACCATTGCAGACTTTGATTTTCAAGAAAAAAATTCCCAATTTATTAAACAGGTGTTAAGTTTTTATCAATAGAGGGTACTATAATTGCAAAATGAAGATGGCATGAAGATTATTTGAAATAGAGATATCCTGTTAGACTAAAAGTAAATGAAAATATACTAGTTTGATAATCTGACAAACATATCCAATCCCACCAAAATTGACTACATCCCTACATCTTATGGCGACTTTCAGGGGGGGCCTAGTTTGGGAGAGAGATGTACGATTAAATTTTTGACGAAACCCATCTATCGGCAACATTCACAATAAAAATATGCCTTTTAAATCAAAAATAACTTATGGTGTACAATCAGTGGATTAATTTTAGTACTCACAATCGAGTTTTAAAGATTGAATAGTAAGAATAATACAAATATAACCAAATAAGAAATGAATAAAAAAACTGAGGAAATACTATTGAATTTTGTAAAATTTTAGACATTACAATTCCTCAATCATTGAATTCCTTGTTTATATCATTTTAAATTATAATTAACATCAAAAAACCTTAAGTTAACTAAATGATACCATTTTAAAATTAAAATTTTATTAAAAAACATTCCAGCATTCTGGTTAGTCATTATGAAAGACATCAGATATTTTGTTATTTTATGTATGTTATAAATATAAATTAATTTAATTAATTAAGCTTTAAAAAGCTTAATTAATAGAATGAATGTCTAACTCTATTATTTTCTGATCAAATCAAAATTTATTCAAAACATTTGTCAAAACCAACTTTAAAAATAAGTGGATTTGTTAAGGTAATAGGGTAAGATTTTATAGGTACCTAAGTAGATAGAGAATCCTGAAATAAATATTGCTTTAAAAATTTAAACAACAAAGTATATGACAATAACAAATCATAAGAAATTTCTGCAAAATAAAAAAATTTAAATATTTATGCAATTATATTTTGCCTGAATTTTCAGAAACTGGTATTCCATGTCAGACTATCAAAATCTAATGGTATTATTCAGAAAATAACATAATAAAAGGAAGAAAATTAAAAAAGAAAAAAAATATATTTAAGCAGTTTATTTTTAATTTTAAAAATTAAAACTTATTATATCTATATTATATTTCACAATAAATTAGACAGCAATCTAGACCAGTAGTCAGCAACACTTTTTCAAGTGGGTCATTGTTCAAAAATACTTTTTATATTACTTCTATTTCAGATCATACATTTTCTTAGAAAATATATGGATATCAATATAGCATTAAAAGAAAATAGCATTTAAGCAATACATTTACAAGGGTCTGTATAGAAGAGATTTAGGTCCGTTAACGGACCCTTCACAAAATAACTTTCATAAAAACGGTCCCTTCACAAAATATTTTAACTTAAAAACAGATCCTTCACAAAATAATTTATCTTTTAATCGGACCCTTCACAAGAGACACTCAATAGACATTTGCGTATTATTGTAAATGGGCTGGGAAAATCGACTGATGCTGAGTGTTCAGCTATTATGGATATTTTCAAATCTACTGGCAATCGACGTATATTGCTCTAATATTTTGTTAATCATGTTTTTCTGCTTTAATTCTAAGGCTAAAAAGTCAAAAAAAAAAATTATACATTTAATATGTTGTATTCTAAAAGAATATTTCTACTTCTACAAGCATCGTGTATACATTCTTATTGATATCAAATTATTTTTTTTTTTGTAAATAAATAATTGAGCAATTTATTATTCATAAAATTAGTTGATAAAATATTATGTAAATAAAAATAAACTAATGTCAATTTTTAAAAAAAATATATTATAAATTTAAGAATTGTTTAAGTTTACTTAATGTGTAACACATTAGAAGTGATACATAACTAAGATGTGTTATTTACAATATGTCAATTGAAATTAAATATGTGAGTGATTTTGCTTCCAGTATTCGCACAAAATGAATATTCTGTGTAGTGCAGTATAGGCTAAATACCAAATATTTGTATGTTGCATCTCTAATTTAGTAGCAATAGCTGTTTGTTTTTGAAATTTTAATTTTTTTAATTGTAATTTTACACATTGAGCATAATCTTGTATTCATTTATGATTTAAAAACTCGTTGAATAAATTTTTTGCAATAACAGGACCCTATTTGCACAAATTCACAAAACAGAACCCTGGTTGAAAGAATGTAACTTAACGCTTATTTTATATTCACAAATTACGAGTAATTTTTTTCACAATTTTACAAAAACAGGACTTTTCACAAAATGTCTGGACAGACCCCTGATTTATATAAATAACACATAAATAAATACTATATTAGACTTACTACTTTCTTCTAATAACATTGATAATCACACATCAGTTTAACTGGCTGATATCTCAAGGTCAACTAATGAAACATAAGGCACTTTGAAATAGGTTTAGCACATGTTTTATACTTGCATGAGTTGCAGAATAATAGAATTTCATCATTTTGCAACACTTTACAATATTAACACACTGGGTACTTTCAATTTGGACATGGATATAACCAACAATAGCTGGCTATCGAAAATACCAGGTGATCGCCAAGTTGAAAAATGAAATGTATAAACAAAAACTTCAAATCACTTGTTTTTTCAGCAGTTGTGCTATGAATTATTAAAATCATAGATTTGCCTTTCATAACATATGGAAATATTTATAAATAAATGCAGTTTCACTCTTTATGCAAAGACATTTCATGTTCTTTAAACTATACCATTTACTACAGTGGACAAAATTTGTCACATAACTGATCACCTTGATAAAGTAAAAGAACTGATCTATTTTATGAATCTTTGCCCTAAAACTCTTTATGCAAAGTAATAATAAAATAAACCAAACATCAATCATTGGTGAATCTTTAAAAGAAAATACAGTCAGAATAAGGGCAAGAAAAATTTGTTACCAAAGATGGGAAGAGATACAGTATATTCAACTGAACACGAATCTGAATATTCCAATTTTTCAGACTTGAAACAATGCAGATCTTGCAAGACATGTGCACGTGAAATTTTGCTAGATTTTAAATCATGTTCTTGCCGGTACACAGAATTATTTAAAACCTGCAAACATCTATTGGTGATACCCTTAACAGAAGTAAGTTGTGTAATAGTTTCTTGAAATTATGATTTGTTAAAATTCAACTTAGGTTGAAAGTTAATGTCTCAAAGCATCAATCTTACTAAATTTTGTTGACTCTGAAATAATAATTGATAAACTTTGTGAATCTAGGTTAGAGATGAGACATTTGCTTATGTCATAATTATTATTATATATTGTAAAAAATAATAATCTTTTTTACTTAAATATTGTGATGGTTTTATATAAGTACACTCATGCACTTTTTTCCTAAACCATCTCCTGGCATCCTCAATGCCCCAGCACAGACCTGCTCTATTTTAAATGATTTAATCATGTTGTCATTCTCTGGGAAGGATAGCTACGAAGTCTTTTTCTTTTTATACCGCCAGATGGCGTTCTTTTTAAATTTGTACGTGTTTGTTTGCTTTTTGTTAATAAAACTTTACTTTCTGTCTGAATCTTGATCCACGGACTACAAATCAGAATTCCACATTTTAAAGATAGCTTTTTTAGCAGCTTTTAATACTGATTTCCAAATGATCTCTAAAATTGACTTTTTTAAGTATTATATTACTATGGCACACAAATTTCCACATTTTAATTCTATTTTAAAAATGATTTAATTTTTTTTCAGCATGAGTTGGAAAATCATCTGGATGTTTTGAGAATATACTGTATATTTTTGTAGTCACTTTGATTATAGTTTCAAGATACACAATTTCACAATAACAAAAAAAATGCTTAAAATATTCTATTTTATAAGTATGATTGTGGTAAGCATAAAAGAAAGATATTTATTTCAATTCTGAGGATAATGTCTATGGGGCACCTTAGGACTAATGTCTCACTTTTAGAAATTAGGGATATTTTCCTATTGGTATCCGTCCTTGCCTACTATTATAGCAAAATAACTTTTTTAAAAAAATGTATCAGTTTTGTCAGTTTCCTCATACTGGTCTTTACCAGTGATTTTTTTTTTTTACTTATTTTCTTTAGTTTCTCACAAGACGCAAGCCAGAGGTCGCTACAGTGGAAAGTCGTGTATCCGGAATCGGTGGGACTTCCGGGAGTCCGAATACTAGATTTTTCCGTAGAATAGACCCGCAAGGTAAACAAAGTTTAAAACGATCTAAATCTATGAAGCAAAAACTAAATAAATATTATTTTTCGGGCAATAATGTTTTAGTATTACAATTATATCTAATCAATCAAAAACAAAATATTAGGAAAAAAATAATTATTGCTTAAAATATAGAAAACTAAAAAAATTTGACAATTATGAAAATATTTATTGCTCTCTCTGCCATTTTGAACTAGAATGATTAAAGCAAGAAGGGGAAATTCCCGTCATTCATTATGGTGGGTAGGTAAAGAAGAAAAATTCATTTCCTCCTTATTTGTCATTCAAGTTGAGGGCGGGGAAATGACAAATTATTTTTTTCTCTCTGATCATTGGCTATCAATCAAGCATGAAGGCCTGGCATGCTGATTGGGTTCTCTTTATTTTTTCTTATGTGACTGAAAGTGACTCCTATTCCACGTTGACGTTTACTGTGCTTACTCTTTTTCACAGTATTTCTTCTTTCCCTAACACTCTAATAAAAAGGTTCCATGAAATGTTTCTTTTACTAGCTAGCTGCATAGGAAAGAAGGGGGAGGGGAATCAGTTATGTTCTTTTTAAAACAAATCTCCCTCCTTTCCCGCATTCCAGAGGAGGAGCATTACTAACGGTCACCCGACAGTCTTGGTAGATCTTCTCTTCCTCTTTCTGGTGATTTATGGGTTCAATGCATAAATAACTTGAAGCTAGAAAAGGAAAAAACGTGTTTGTTTTATTTGAGAGGGGAAGATGAAGAGATGTCTGCTTATTTTGATTGTTAAAAAGTGTCCGGGAAATCAAACCTCCCGGCAAAGAGACATCCAGATATGGGACATTACACTATATAATTTGTCGATTATTTTGGTATAGGCACAAATTGAGAAATATTCCCTATAAAATTCTTGAAAGAAAAAATTCTGCACTTTCTACTGAAAATCAATCTTTTATTATACGCTCACAAAATTGAATTAAAGGAAAATATATCAATCTTCAGATATGAAGATATAGTTTAATGATATAAAATTCAGGTATACTAGCCAAAACAACACAGATTAGTATAGCTAGACATTATGATACAAAAACTAATAGAGTATTGATTTTTAAAAAAAAAGAGAGAAAATCACAAAACGTCTCAAAGTAATAAAACCTAAATTTATTTTCTAAGTAAAATAAATTCCCTTGGAAAGCCTTAAAAATTCAAGGCCTCTCTTACTAAGAAAATTTTAGTCTTTTAAAAATTATACGTAACTGTTACATGCAAAACGATAGCACAAAGTTCATAAGTAGCAGAGGAGTTCATCATGAGAAGAAATAAACTTTCTTTGGATCGGCATAAAAATGAATTTTGTTCTCTTGAAGAAGGCTTACCTATTTGTTTGACCACGACAAGTAGAGTTCTGTGGTCCTCTGCACATAGTTTATATTCAGGAATACTCATATTTATCTCAAAGGTAATTCATACTGGAATGATAAAATAAAATCCTATAAAAGAAATAATTTTTCTTCAATTAAAAAACAATTAAATTATAATAAAATTATGTTGATCAAAATAACCTCAATAATTAACTTAAAATTAAATAAATAGATTATTCATGTGAAACAAAACAGAACTAAAGAGATCGTTCATTAATACGATCTTAAAACACTAAAATCAAATAAAAAAGTAAGACATATATAAATTTAGCTATCAAATATTTTTTTAATTTTACTTTTCTGAACATGACCAAAATGACTAGACGCTGATGAATATCACATTAGATTGTACTGACAAATGTGCTTAATGTCTTTAAAAGGCATATTAATAATAAACAAACACAACATATGACTAGTCTTATTGTTGCCAACCTACATTAAAATAAAGCTACGGAAATTTAAAAATAAAAATTCTTAGAGCATTGTCACTGCATGCGACTCGCATATGCTATCACATATCCATGTCATTTACGCATGCGTGAGTAGTATGTGATTCTCACTGAAAGAAAATTTTTCGCATTCAAACGAGAACCTGATTTAGAAAATTATCCATACCAACCATATTATCTAACATCCCGATTTCCCATGGGTCCTAAAGACTCCATCCGATTTCCTATGCAAACCATTCTTTTTGGAAAAAAACTTTGCCATCAGTTTCTCGTTTGTGTTGTTTCTAAACATTCACACCCAAGTCAATCGCATACTGTGTGAATGCTCTTTTAGTGAACTCTTTCCTTGCTCTTTTAGTAAACTCTTTCCTTTTAGTGAACTCTTTCCTTGCGTCTCATTATGACGTCACTTTTCTTCACCTAGGGAAAACCTGCAAACACTCTCTTTCGGACCGATTTTGCTAACGAATTACGATTTTCCTACAAACTGAAGTAGTCCTACGTCACTTCTTAACACTTCCCCTAACAGTTTCCCTGGGCCGGTGGAATGATTGGATAACACCTGTAACGCCGGATAACAGGGCGTCAAACGATACCTAAATTTAATGTTCTCGAAATTATTCATTTCCATTAATAAAAAAAAATTAATAAAAAAGAAGAAAAACTATTATGCCGATGTGGTTCAGGGGATGGAGCTCTCACCTTCCAATAAGGTGGCATTGGAGGAATTCTGCTTCGGGCTCAGACCGACCAATGTGCTAACATAAAATATCCTCAATGGAACACGGATCATTGGATAGAATCCCCTTACTATCACCCCCTTACTACACCCCCCTTACTACAAACTGTGTGAGGTTTTCTCATTTTTCCTTACACGCACTCAGGCCTAACCACTGGGCCACGCCATACACGGTGTTCCCCCGATTATTTAGCTTAAAGAACCCTCTTCCGGTCAGTCAAACAAAAAAGTTTTTTGCCCATTGTGGGTCCCCTAATTGCTCTGTAAGAAATGCTAAAGTATCGAAAATATTGTAAAAGAAGTTCAAAAATATTATAAAATAAAATAAATTTATTAATTTTCCCGGATTTTTCCATTTTTTATAGAATTATTCGCTATTTCCCAAAGGAATTTTTTTTTTAAACATAGGTACCTCTAAAATATCGAAAAACACATTAAAAAAATAATATAATGTAAAATAAAATAAAGAAAAATTAGAAGAAAAATTAGAATAAAGAAAATTGCGGCCCATTGCGTCCCCCCTAATTGCTCGATAAAAATTTACTTTGGCATGATTGTTCGGCCCATAGAGCCCTACTTTCAGCACGAGAAATAGCGAATAATGCGTAAAATACTTGTTTTTATATATAAAACATCTTATTCACGCTAAAGTATCGAAAATATTGTAAAAGAAGTTAAAAAATAATATAAAATAAAATAAATGTATAAATTTTCCCGGATTTTTCTATTTTTTCGCATTATTCGCTCTTTCCCGAAGGAAAAAAAATATGTTTTATATGTATAGGACCCTTTAAAAAAATCGAAAAACACATTAAAAAAATAATATAATATAAAATAAACAAAAGGAAAAAAATTAAAAATTGACCACGGCTGGGATTCAAACCCACGCCAGCCCGCTTTGCGATAACAACTGAGCCACGCTATTCACGGTGTTGCCACGACAATTTAGCTTAAAGAACCCTCTCCCAATCAGTCAAACAAAAGGGTTTTAGGCCCATTGTGGGCCCCCTAATTGCTCTATAAAAATTTCCTTTGGTACTGCATTGGACATTGATCATTCTATGGTTCAGGTCAAAATTACGATTTGTGGATGAATGAATGGATGCATGAATGGGTCTGCCCTATAAACGGGTGTGACGTATGGGTGTGGCAAAAGTCGAAATCTTGGCCCTAAATGGTGCTTCATGTAAACACGAGGAATCATACTCCCTCTGTCTCAATGGCCACGCCAAAAATTTCGCCCTGCGCATGCGCAGTTGCTCAGCCGGTTGTACCCACAGACACAAGTGAATAAACTCCGGGGAATAGTGACGTCACCGTCTCTGTTCGAAGGCTGCAAGTTTAGGGGTCCATCCATTGGTTGGTAAAAGTCCGGCATTTAAGACAGTGCGTTAGATTTTTCAACTGTAACTGCGCGTGAATTGCTCCCTTATATATTATTTTAGATAAATGTAAAAGGAAGTGGATAAACAGAAATAGGTTGACGGAAGCATATTAAGCAGTCTGTATGTTGTTTAGTTTATTTTCAAAATAAATAGTTTTATTAAAGGCGATTTAATTCCTTGGATTCATGTAAGATTGTTTGATCATGATTTTTCTTTTGTTTTAAAACATTTTTGAAAATGAATGGAGACGTTGAAATATACATACGCCAGAAATGCCCGTGGACGAAACTTCCACCTTCTATTAAACAGGTTACAGATTCTTCATCTTTTATAAGCTACTTTTTTTCTTCTTATTTTATAAAAATTGTATTTTTTAAATTTAATATGCTAACTTGTCTGGTTTCTCATTGATAAATTGACAATTTTGCCTCCCTAAATAAAATTAAAGCATAGCTTGAAATGTTTCAGAATAACTATTTCTTTTTAATAGCATTTTCTTTTCATGTAATAATTTCTTTTTTTTTTTTTTTTTTTTTCNCATGTTAATTTTTTTTTTTTTTTTTTTTTTGTTGATCTATGATTTTCAGGGGTGCCTTAATTACATTTTCATACATTTCATAATTACACTTTCATATAATTACAATTAAGAAAATTGAAAAGGTAGTTTTAAGGAGACATGGTAATTTAATTAATTATTAAATTATTTAAAATTAAAGAAAATTCATAGTTTGTCTTAAAAATGATAAAGAAGATTTCCATACTGATCTGCAACAGAATAATTACCAAGTGTTACCGACTTCCTGTCAGTGGTCTACAAGAAATTAAAAAATAAACCACACAAGGGGATTAACTTGAAGGGTAAAATTCACCACCACCGCTGGGCAAACATCTCCATGTTTTTTTTTTAATAAATAATTGCAAGTTAAAGATCCATTTGGTGCCTTAGCGATTGTAGTTGGTGTGACAGATCACGATTAGGAAACTTCTCTAAATGATAAAAATTTTATGGAACATATTTATTGCAGATATAACATAATTTTACTTTTAAGTGTAAAATATTATTTTGATGGGTATAATAAAATTGAATAGATGTTTGAATAGTTATAATTAAAATAAGGCCGTTGTTTCTGTGTTAAAGTATTTATATATATATATACAGTAGAACCCGTTTAAGAAGTTTTTCAAGGGAGTGGAAAGAAACGACTTATTAAACGGGAAAACTTATTAAACGGTGAAACTTAAAAACACATTAATAAAAAACTAAAAAATTTGAAATTGTGTAACTTATATTAAATTCTCAGCCTAATGAAATAAATATTGAATTTTAATATTCATTTAGAAAAAAAATTGCTAATAAATAAAAACAAAGTAACCTACTTTATTTTTTGTTTCATACAATGTAATATACGTTGTTACAATAATTGACTAGATTTCTGTGAGAAAAAATCGTGTAAAGTGGTTTGTTTTTGTCTTTTCTCACCTACCTTTAAGTGAAAATTGTCCAACTGCTGTAAAAATTTAAACATTTCCGGGGGTACATTTTCAACAGTGTAAATAAATTTCCTAAAAGTATCCAGCCCTTTCCTGGCATCAGAAAAGCTAGGTGGTTTAGCAATATCTTCTTCAGTTTCACTGAATTCTTCTGTATCATTTGTAACATCACAAATATCCTCTAATGTCAGCATATCACAAGGTAAAATTTCGTCGTCAACGGATACATATTCTTCAAACGATGCTGTGAAATTAAGTTTATTTTTGAATGACTTCCAATCATTAACAAAATTTACGTTTGTTTCTTCGTCTTCATCTGATATTTCATATTCAGCTTCTAAGAGATATTCTTCAGTTGTATCTCCGTCAGAGAATCCAGCTTTCCGAAAACAGTTAGCAATGGCAGATGGTGTTATTAATTCCCATGCTGATACAATTAACTCAATCGCTTCTAACATATTGACTTTTTTTAGCTCTCCAGTATTTTCAAGTCCTTCCAGCATCCGTTTCACAAGTCGCATTTTATAATGCTGCTTAAATACCTTAATAACTCCCTGATCCATTGGTTGTAGAACAGAAGTAGAATTTGGTGGTAAGAACTGCAACTTGATGTTAGTGTACTTATTCTCCTTGGAATGAGCAGCGCAGTTGTCTACGAAGATTATGATGTTTCGTTTTTCTTTTCGCATCTTACTGTCTAATTTTTTCAAATACGTTTCAAAAATTTTAATTGTCATCCAGGATTTTTGATTACTGTCATAATCACAAGGCAGTGACTTAACATTTCGAAAGCATCTTGGTTTTTTCGATTTACCGATAACTAAAATCGGTAATTTTTCTATACCATTCATACTGGCCCCAACTAAAATTGTCAAACGTTCTTTACTGTTTTTTCCGCCATGACAGGGTTCACCTTTAAAGGCAAAAGTTTTATCTGGTAAAAGATTGAAAAACAGTCCACATTCATCCATGTTAAAAATGTTCTTTGGTTGATACCCTGAAATAATTTCAGGTAATTTAGCTTTCCATTCTTCAGCTTCTTGTAAATCAACGCTGTTACAATCTCCTTTAATTGTTTTATAAACTAGACCAGCTCTTTTTTTCATCCGATCAATCCATCCATTGGAAGGCGTAAAATCAACATTCAATTTCTCCGCAATCTCTAATGCTTTTCCTCTAAGAAGAGTTCCGTTGACAGGTATGTTGGCGGATCTTGCTTGTTTAAACCATATCATCAGTTTCTCTTCAATATTTTCGTATTTTCCTTTCTTCACTTTTTTTACTTTCTGGGATGCACCGGAACAAGAAGAGTTTAAGATGATGTCTTTCTTAGCAATAATGCCATTTAACGTAGTAACAGGAAGATCTAAATTTTTTGCTATTTGAACTCGTGTTAATTGAGGATAGCTGTCAACAGCTTTTAAAATTTTTACTTTGTCATCAATAGATAGAGCTTTACGCTTAATGCCTTTACAGGACATTTTCCACAAAAATCAAACTTTTTACGATGATTTTTAAGATAACATAAGCGCCTACACTAAGAAAATTTTCAACGAAATGCTGCTAAATGTTTAGATGTATCTTTCTCTTCAGTTATTGAATGGGTGTGGACAGCAGTGAAGTTCGTGAGTCACCAGGCTATTCATTTAAGGTGGACACAATGACAAAGCTATTCCCTACATTCTTATCAGTTTCATAGTTCATCTAAAGGTTCACATTCCTTTGCTCACACCTGTTCCTGATAAGTCACCTTTCTTTGTAACAAAGGAGTGATGAAGGTCAGTGGTCAGTACCCATACATGTGTTTGTAAGGGCAAGTTAAAACTAAATAAGACATTTTAAATAAAATTTTAAAAAATTGAAATTAGGAGTGGAAACTTCTTAAACGGGAAAAAAACTTCTTATAAAAGTAAATTTAACATTATGGTAATTGGTTTTTTTAAAAAATAACTTCTTACGCGGGAAAACTTCTTAAAAGGGAACTTTTTAAGCGGGTTCCACTGTATATATATATATATATATATATATATATTATAAACAAAGCTCTCAATTTTTAAAAAAAGCTATTTACTATTTATCAATATAGTCTTTTATTTGTGCTGAGAAGAAACAGTTTTGTAGTGGGAATATTTAGGTTTGTAATTTCACATTGTGTAGGCCAGTATTTCTCAAACTTATTACTTTTGTGTACCCTTTATAAATTTTTCGTAATGCTGTGTACCACTAATAAAAAAATGAATGTATTTTTTACTGTAAAAAAATTGCACAAAAAATAAAAATCACAACTGGCTGTTGACACCACTAATTATTAAGTGTTAACTCTGCATAAAATAGCCAATAGAAAAATACGTAATTGTAAATTTTCATGGTTGGCTTTGTTTTTAAATAAAATCATTTGAAGTTTTCGTATGTTGCAAGAACGCGTACCCCCGCTAAACTGTTCCCGTACCCCCATACCACACTTTGGGAAACACTGGTGTAGACATATAATCTGTTTTTAGATTTGTGGGGATAATAGTTAACGACAGAGTCAACTTTCATCTAGGAAAAGGTACCCCAACATAGAAGCGAGTTAACATGTTTTATATACTAGTGAATTGGGATTATTTTTTGTGTAGTGGTAGATACACTAAAGTACTCCTCCACCAGAATTATATCTGTGATAGAATTCTATGAGGGGTTACCACTAGTTGATTCATTGCTGTTTTTGTGCGAAGTCGTGAGAGCTGTATAAAGATCACCGTACATTTCGAGTGCTGATCATGCGAGCTGTAATAAGTTCACGGTTATGGGCACTCCTGTGTAGCCTTTTAGCAATCGAGTGTATACGTTGTGTGTGATCGAGACTGAGAAGCAACAGCGTGAGGTGGACAAAATCGCAGTCACAAGTAGCAAGTCAACTGTTCAATGTGGAAAATCTATCAAAGTAGGTGTGTTTAAATCGTAGTGGGAGTTTCTGCCAAGGTATGCGTGTTCATAACACATCCACGTCACCAATGTGGGGATAGTGGTTAAGGGGCCGTTCAAAAAGTACGTACATCCCGAAGGGGGGGAGGGGATTTGCTATTATGTACGGTTTTGTACGATGGGGAGGGGGGGAGGTATTATACAAAGTACGTACTTTATAAACATACACCAAGTTTAAATTTGACTTTATCCTACACACTCCTTAAGTAAATATTTAATTTTATTTAAAACATAATTATTTTAATTTTTATGAAAAAGGGGGGTAGACTAATAAAATGTACATACTCTAAGGGGGGGGGGAGTAAGACCTTATGTACGGTAATGTACGAAGGGGGGGAGGGGTTTGAAATTTCTCCATTTTTGTGTACATACTTTTTGAACGGCCCCTAACGGCAATGTCAACCTTCATCTGTGAAAAGATACCCCAACATAGAATCGAGTTAACATGTTTTATATACTAGTGAATTGGAATTTTATTTTGTAGTGGTAGATACACTACGATATTGCATTTGAATAATTTTCTTTTTTAAAAATTTTGCTTTACAGCTTCATTTTCAGGAGAGACATTATAAATTGTTACAATTGTATAACTGTAAAAACTTTGCGCTAAACTAAAGCTGTTGCAATATTTTAAAAATAAAAGTATAATTTATTAGAGTTATGCAGTTGTTTCAGTTTCATTGAAAATAAAACCAGTAATTATTAGCTGCTTTTTAAATTTCTCACTATGAAATATGCTTAAATTTAAAGGAGTGAGAACAACCAATTATAATTACAAATGTAAGTTATTATAAATCAAATAATTTGTAACATTTGGGAACCTAATTTTAGCTATTTTGAATTTTTTTCTTTTAATATGAAAATTTAAGAAATACAAAATATCACATTGTTCCAATTTTGAAATTTAATGAACTAAATAATTTCTGGTTGCTCTAAATTTTAGCAAACCTCACCTCATTTGGCCTTCATTTGATGAATATCTTGGCTTGGTCACTAAGTAATCCTATTTATCTCAGGTTGGGATTAAAATTCATCAGGCTGGCTCAGATATCCAAACCCAAGCTCATCCCTAGTAAGGACTTTTTAAATAAGCTGTAGTAGATCTAAGTGTTCCCCATATTTAAAGAGGTATAAAACTAATTTGTATCATCATTCATGTTGGCGACCATAGTGTTAAAAAATTTCAAACAATTAGTTTTGTTTTTGGTAGTAGTGCAACATAGATAATTTAAAAGAGGATTTTTGAATTGACTCAAATAACCATATTGTAACATCTATTCTGAGTCATTTTAATTCTTAAATAAAGAACTTGCGATATATTTTTTCTTTTTGAAAGTAATACACAATAGGTGCTTTAAGGTTTTATGCAAAAGCAGGTGATATCCATAAATTCGAACTTTTTTTTTTTAAATAGAAAAGTATCGCAGTAATTAAAGATTTTTTTGAAACTGTCCATAATATGTTTGATGTCCATTCAATTAAGAAAAATCCTATAGTTATTTGATTTAAATAAAATATATAACTGATTTTAAAAACTGAATTGTTTTTTCATTGTGGGACATTACTTACTTGAGAAAAATAAAGGATTGTAAAAATAAATAAATAAAAGAAAAAATCCTGCAATTTGGTAATGATTGTGAAAGGCTATAAATTTTTTCGATTGTCTTCAAGACGTTAAGTTGTTCATTATAACTGAGTAAATTATAATGTGATAAGACGAGTCTATATTTTTCAAGAACTTTCTTTTTAGATTCTTTTCTTTTTAATTTGAAATTATTTGTAACTGAAGCTGTTTTCTTTCTTTATAGGTTCTGGGTGATTCACAAAAAGCATATGAAAAACAAATTATTAAATTCAGTATTAGAAATCAACTTCGCTTCAGAAGTAATCTTGGTAAGTAGAAATACATTTTTATTTGAAGATGAGTAATGAGGAGGTTTTCTTTCTCTTCCTTTTTCATAACTCAACAATTTCTAGGATATTATTTCCTAACCAGTTGTTCAACCCTTTTGGTTTTTGAAGTGTATAAAGTGAATGTCGAAAATACATTTATGTAATGGCAGAATTTTAAAGTGGCTAACATAAAAAATTGAAGAAAAATAATAAATTTGCATTCCTATATTTACTACCCTACTACTGGTTCAAAAATATTAATTTATTTACATTGATCATTTGTTTTCTTGTATGTTCAATATTCTTGGGTTGCACTTGCATGCTTAGTTGGCAATTTTCGTAAATTAAATTTGTCATTACAAGGCATAAATGCCTTGTGATGATTGACAGGCTGAAAGAACACGTGATTCTAGCATGACAGAAAACTACACAGGGTTCTACTGGAAAGAGGATTCAAGAAAAGTTTTCCCTGGCTGAACTAGGCATAGACATAAGACATAATATTTTGAAAAGTGGAATCCTACTCCAAGTTGAGTTCAAAAGGAAATTTAAAAATTTAAAGAAAGAGCTAGTCAATGTCCTGGGTGAAAAATTCAGTTGCTTGGCATTGTTTCTTACAAACACACAAATGATTCTTTTTGATGCTTTTGACTGTCAGCCAGTTTCTGGACGTCTTAAAGATTTGTGCTACCAAAGCTTGTGGTACTCTAACGTGTAGTGGCCCGCCGGTGGCTTTGCTGGGTCATCATGTGTGCTAAGTACTCTTGCCTGCTTTTCCTCTGGTGCTATTCAAATTCCATCTCTACGATGCTCATCATGATTTATTGTATGGGCTAAAAGTGCCTAGGACACTTTAAAAAATATCTTATCTAACAGATGGTGATATTGAGGCACATAAAACAGATAAAAAGTTTAGAGACCTGTCTATTGAAAAAAGGAAAAACAAAATAGTTCTCAAAACCTGTTTCTAAAGAACATTTTTTGTTGACTTTTGGTTCATTAATAATACTTTTCTTCCATTCATTAACATTTTGTTATTTTTTCCATTACATGATCTAAGCATTTGACATAAATTTATCTGAAAGATAGGTGTAGAACTTGAACTAAGGCTGGAGCTGACAGACATTGTGTTAAACTTCTAACTTCTTTCTTCCATCAGATAGCCACAAATATCCATGAAGAGATTTTTCCAATTGAATGTACCGTATTTTCTGGTGGAATCGGTGCATCGTCGCAAGCGCCGCACATTGATAAAAACGAAAAATTAAAAAAAGTTATCATAGGTGTCGTAGAGGCGCTACACCATGCATATCAGTATCCTTATAGAAGAGACCTTTAAATTACCATTTAGAATATTGGTATGATAAAAAAAATATTATACATTTCATAAAGTAAAGTTTTAATTTCTAAATTATAAAAAAAAGACAAAAAATCCGTTAACAGGTCCGCTCACTTATGGCCGTAGACTGATTGTTTAGGCAAGACTGAACGATAATTGTTGATACGGGTTAATTTGGAATAAGCATGTATAATAAATAAATAATCCCTTTAAATGGTCTGAAAATTATGTGAAGTACAGTAAAATATTTTCAAATACATAAAATAATGTAATTTTTAAATTATTGGGGGGTGGGGTGGGTGGGAGAGAATAGCCTAAAATGCAATAACAAAGAGTTTACGTGAAAAAAGTTGTCTTTTTTACCAAATAAAAGAGCATCAAAACGATATAAAATATAGATATTACCAGTTGGCACTGCACCAAAAAATAAAGGTGTCATGTTTTACTTCAGAAGAGCAAATAATTAGCAGCAAAAAAATATTTTTGTGCTCAGTGGCACCAATAAAACCTTGCTTTGGGAGAGTGGGACTTTGAGAGAAAAAGGTTGCAAAATCTTAAATTTTAGGAAAGTAAATTATTCTTCGATTATAAAAAAATAATTCAACCATATTTAGTGGAAGAATTATTGTTGCAACTGATTACATAAATCAGTAAAACCATGTAATAAGAAAAATAAAATGAGAAATTTTAAGCTAAAAATTTATTAAAATAAAAAAAGATTTAGAAGTTTATTACAGCTAACAATTTGAGGAAAAACTAATAACAACGAAACAACTAATAATAACTAATAACAAAATAACTAATAATAACAAAAATAAGAAATAACTAAGCATACACCCAAAAAATTCTCAAGATTAAACGAAGCGGAAATGAGTTTCACTTTCACAATCTTTGGGGGTAGAATTTTAATGGGTAGAATGCCCTTGCTTTCAGTGGAAAAAACACAATATGACTCAGCTTAGAAAGAGAGGAGAGGAAAATGTTAAAAGAGAGACGTACCCCACCTTCTCCGCTTGTTATTTCTACTTGAGCTGTTTAGGAGGAATTGATCAGTAATTTTTTAAAGGGGTTGGGTAAAAGAAACAGGGATACTTCCTTATCTGTTCCAATTACGATTGCCTAGGTGCTAAGTGGATTTCTAGATTGTGATCTTTCTTTAAGCTGGGGTTGGATACAAGATGCATACCTTTTAAATTGGTCTCCTTATACAATGTTTTTTTAAAATTATTTCGTTTATTTATTTCCTTAGAATTAAGAATTGGCGATTGTTCTGCTGCAGATCGCGATGTGGGCATATGTTTTGTCGACTTCGTTATATTTTTTTATTTAGTTTATTTTATTTCGTTTTATTTTTTATTTATATAATTTTTTTTAATAGTCTTTCTGTCAGAAAATTATTTAATCTTAATTAATTTTCCTTCATAAATGTTTTTGCTACTAAAAATAAATTTCGTCGACCTTTTTTCGATAGCGCCATGGCACTTTCGCCGAAAAATACGGTATCTTTTACAGAGGAACAGTTGGTTTATTGAATTGATTTTTTATCCATTTTTATTTTACTATGTCTGTACAAAGATTTACAATTATATTTTCATTTCTTGTTGTGAACTATATTGCAGCATGGAAAATAAATGTGTTACTAAACTTTATTACAATTGGAATACCTGTATCCAGGATTGTTGGGATTTCGGCAAGCCTGGATCATGATTTTTCTGGTCTTTAAAGTAAACAAAAATCAAAAGATGTGTTATTCAATATAAAAGTAATAAATAAATGTAAATTAACATCAATTTGTATAAAATACCATTTTGTTATTAGTTAAATTTCATTAATACAACTGAAATATGTTTAATATGATAAAATAAAAGTCACAAATAACATTAAAACAAGCACATTACAATAACATTAACATTTAAAAACAAGCTTCAAAATAGAAATTTCCTGTTTAATTAAAAAATGTTTAGCAAAATAAAGTAGATTTTTCAATGAAAACATTTAAAACCTAAACTAAAGCCTCTGCCGGTGTTTCTTTCAAACATTAATAATATTCAGCTTCATTAATATTCATAATTTATTCTCCTACTGAAGTTTGTCTTTATTTAACAACTCTAGTCTTTTTAACCACTCCTTAAAGTAATGTAAATATTTAGCTATCCTGAATACTTCTAGAGAAAATTAAAAAAAAAAAAAAAGAAAAGAAAAATTTTTATTAAGAGACTACAAACCTAAAAAAATTATTATTTTTTTACAAAAAAGGAAAAGAGATTTGTTAATTTTGATTCTTAAAAAATGCTTAGAAAGTAGATGTTTCTTGCAAATATGTCTGGCTAGAGGACTTTGTACTGTATTTTATTATCTATTACAATTAATTCAATTTTTAGGCAAGGGTTTGCACTGAGAAGAAGAGACCGAGAAATACTGCTTTAGAAGAGAGATTATTATTTTTTTTTATCGCTTATTCACTTATTAGTCTTTTTTATCATGTTAATATATTTATGAAACAAAAGAGTATATTATTGAATTGTTTATTTAAAATAATATTAATTAATTCTTAAAAAAGTTTTTTTTTAAATATTTTTAAATGATTTAGTTGCTTTTAACATGGTGCATAGCTTTTTTTAAAAGTGCTTAAATGTGCTTATTTTGAACTGTTTTTTAATAGCTTTTAATGGTGCTTATTTTGTTGAGTGTTTAGAAAAAGTGCTTAATTCTCCCTTTTCCAAAATGAGATATTTTTTCTTAACCGTCTCGGTTTTCGCCACAAATTATACAAAAAGCATGGTTTTCACATTGTTCTATTCAACGTTTTCACTCAACCACAATCCATTTCGGCATACCATTGGTCCTTAGCGTATGAAGCGTCAATCATTTGACATGCTTGATAAAATACTTGTGTGTCGTATGTGCATATACTGAAGTGGATTTAGTGGGAAGGATTTTTGTGTTCTCATGTATTATTATTTTTAAATTTTCCAGTACTCTTAAGTTGTTATATGAAGAAACTCAATAATATTTAGAGGCAAGATTTTAAAAAAGTATGAAGCGTGAGACTTTAACTATATTAAATGCTGCAAAAAATCTAATGTTATTCAGATTTGTCATTCAAAAAACTTTAATCCATCTCTTAATGATTTTATTTTAAAAAAATTATCTCAGATTTGTTAAATATTATTAGTGTAGAGACCATATAATAATTTCCTTCTGACAAAAATATTTACCCTCAGTCCTCATTGTATTTACATTTCAAAATTATTTAAATTTTTTTAATCATTACATTAAAGAAATACTGAACCAAGTAACAAATTTTAATAAAAATTTATTAGGGGCCATTTACTAATTTACAATTGTAATATGAATTTATTAAAGTTTTCATAGTTTGTTCAAATCTTTACATATCTTTATAAATTTGGTATGATCAATAATATTAATCTTGATAATGTTTTGTTGAATATGCTTTTATAAGTAACTTTAATTTAAACATAAAAAAATGCACTCAATAACCTATTTAAATGATAGTTAAATTAATTATACTTTTGAATGAATTTTTTACATAATTATTTATAGTATATATCAATTTAAAAAACAGAATGACACTCAATATTAAATTCATTTAAAATTGTGCATAAATTGTTTTTATGATGGCTAATATAAAGAAAAGAGTTCTTTGTCAGAAATTAGTTACTTTATCATGATCATGTAAAGTCTTTGTAAATTATTTTGTATTTTGTTAATATATATATGAAAAACTGTTAACAATATGAATTTTTTTTCTTATTAGTGTGCATATCCTAAATATGATATTTTAAGTGCTTGAAAATATATTTTGAGTGCTTAAACATTTTTTTTGTTGAAAAATTTGGCTATGTATCCTGTTTTAACTTAAGGTGCAAAATATTATGTAACCTTTGTTTTTAAATAAGCCTTAAAAATAGTTTTTTTTTCAATTCTGTAAAATTGGTAAAAAAAAAAGTGTGAAACTGAGCAAAATCTGTACAATGCTATAAGAAGTAATTGAGTATTCTCAAATATACGAAATAAATTAAACTGAAGCTTATCTCATGGTGTTAAATAAAACTTTGATATTTCTGGAATAGTCGGTTTTTAATGTTTTATTAAATGAAATGATTAATTTCAGTGAAAGCTGTGAAGAAAGATGAACGTGCTTATTATGAAGAACTGTTGCAGTACAGCCGAGAGCATTTAATGCTCTATCCTTACCATCTATCTGATTTTGTAGTTACTGGAATGCGTATTACTCCTTTTCAATACTACATTGCCATGATGCAAGTAATGTTTGTTTTAATGTTATTTTCAAGCATGCATTAATATTAAGATTTGTATCTTATTTAATATTTTACTTTAGGATTTAATGGAACAAGAAAGAAGTTATGATTCTCTTCCAAATTTTACTGCCACTGATTGTAAGTACAAGCATGAATCTTTGTTAATGTCTAAACGAAGTGAATTGTTATTGATTTCTTTATTATTTTTAGTAGTTTCTTTATATAAATATGTTATTGTAGTGTTAGGATTCATTAGAGATTATGTTTTAGTTAGAACAATCTTACTGTTTAAAATTCTATTTTGTATTTTAAATTCATTATGATTGCATAATTTGGATGAGAATTATTTTTTATAATAATAAAGATACTTATTTCCTGTTCTGATTGTTTTCCCCTGAAATTTAAACAGTTTGGTATTGAACAGGCATATGAATATTGAAGATACAAAGGATGCCATATGTCAAATCCAGGACAAATAGTGATCCCATGAAAGATCATTTAAATAAATATCTTATTTTTCTCTTAAATCTTGGTAAAAAATTTAATGCTTTCGTAAAAATTTCATAATTCAATTTTACCATTTGCTCTAGAATTTTTTAAAAAAAAAATGTAGTACCCGTTTTTTAAATGTTTCAATTTTTAAAATGAATGGCTTTCATTCAATATCAATATTTACATACTTTAGGCTTATGTTTTACAACGTAAATATTTTAAAAACTGTTATATGAAGTTTCATATAAATTTTTTTAAGAATAAATTGAGAGGAAATATGATAAATATTGTTGACAAATATCACATAGCACAATTAAATTTGGGTTTGATAATTAGTAAAATAATTGAATAAAAATGTTATTTGTTAAAAAAAATGAATTATATGTGTTACCCAATACATGTGTATTTTTCAAGCTGTAATTTTTTTAACATAGCGACTTTTTGAAATTTAAATAAAGCAAAATATGGTTTATAGTTTAATTAATATTTGTTTAAACTCAATTTTCCATTTAAAATAAAAAATTTTCCTTATACCTCTTTTTGCTTTTTTGTTCCTAATCTTATTTATATATCTTATTATATATTACCTCTTCTTTTTTCTTTTATTATTTTTTTATAAAATGAGTTTTTGAGGTATAAAATTACACTACATAATTTGTTATAATTTAATTAGAAAGAAATGAAGTACTCTTACTGGAGCTAGTTGTTGGCCAAGGGGGTCATGAAAGTTAAGGTTCAATGATTTGATATGATTGGCATCTTAGGATGATGCCTCTCATTATTTCTATGTATATTATCAATGCATTTATTTCTACTTATTCCATCAATTGTTGTTATTCATTAGTCTGAAGCTAGATAAGTCTTTAGGTGCCATCAGGGTTAAAACTGTGGCAGCTAAATGCCATAATCACTGTGCCATCTCGGCTCCTAATGATTATTGTTTCCTACCTATCTGTATTTCTTTTAATTCCTACGATTAAATTAAAGTTCATTATGAATTATTTTGACCAAAAACACCCTTTTTTATGTTAAAAATTTTGATATTTACTATTATATATTTATGATAAAAAGAAACTGAATTTAGGGAAATTTGTTATTGTATTATATAAATATCTTGAAATATTTTAACTTAAAAACTAATTTTTATTTTATAATGATTAAAAACAAAAGAACACCATTTTTTATCTTGAAAGTATGATATACATTGTGCAAATATTAAAACTTAACTGTAAAAAATTCTTGAAATTTGCAAAACATTTCTCTAAAAAATGATTTTAATATAAATTTTTAAAAATTTTATATATGTATACATTAAAATCCTGGTTTTACACTCTCCGTCTTGTATGCTTTTCTTTTCTTCATCTTTTCTTTAAAAAAAAACTTGTTCATTAGCTTTTTGTAGTTTTTATGAGATTCTTTCTATTCTATCTCACTGTCCTTTTGTCTGTGATAGATGAAAGGAAGTATAGGAGCTTAAATTATAAAATTTGTGAGTGGAATTTTTTCCATCTAACTTCAACCATTAAATCTTGTAATTACCAATCATTTAAAGAATGTTACACTAAACAATTCGTTAGGTAATTGTGTCTTTTTCTTGATTTTCATGACCTGCAAGATGCTTCTAAGGCAAAAATAAATGATCTGGAGGCTCTGAATGTAAATTCCACAGCCTTAGACAGTGTCGACTCAAACGCATTACAAATGGGTTCAATAAAGATTCTTGGCTTTAATTGTTCTTCGGTTTCCAAAAGGGAACATACACCCTTCATAATGAAATGATATTTCTGAAGTTCTTAGAAGTAGATGACTCATATATCAACTGCAACACACATATTATTACTTTTCAATTCCTTCAACATTTGATTTAATACCTGCTCCCAATACTAGTGAGGAAAACGATGAAGATGAGCAAAAAATCAGAAGATGCACTTACAACTGATCTAGAGTTTGAAGCATAGAAGCTCTAAAACATTTGCGAATGTGAACCTTAAAGCAAATTTGCTAACAATAGTAATTATTAAGAGTGATATTGTTGAAATATTATCTAAAAACAAAAAATATGTAAAGTATACACATTTTTTTTAGTTCATCTTATAAGTGTCAATTTTTTAAAAATATGCTTAAATTTCTTTTTTACCCCGACTCTAAGTTATTATGCATTTCTTTAATGCTAGTCCAACAGGAAACGTAAAATCAGGGTTCCACTGTATATATATACATTATTCTTTTCTTAACTGTTAAACTTTTATTTGTAGAAGCAGTGCAGTATTTGTTTTTTATATTTTCTCCCATTCTGAATTCTGTTTGTTTCTCAGGCCTTCGTCTGTTAGGAATTGGGCGAAATCAATATATTGAGCTTATGAATCGATGCCGCTCTTCAAAGGTATGTTTTATTTTGTTACTTTATCTTTTTATCGTGTTGTAACTTTAAGATTGTCATTACTGTACTTATTTTAAATTATAGTTGGTTTATATTGAAAGTTTCTGCATTTGAATGTTTTCTATTGACTTATAATTTGAAAAAAAGTCATCCAAATTTGATTCTGTTTTGATTTTTGTTTAACTACCTGAATGTAGTTTTTATTGTTTTTCACAAAATGTCAAAATGGTGGTGTTTTGAAAAAATTTAAAAGATTGTTTAAAATAAGTTACCTTTTCATGGATTTACTCAATACCAGTCAACTCAATTAAAAAATCCCTATGTTCAACTAAAAATTTATTTATTGTGAGCATTGTGTAAAAATTTAAAGTAAATCGGCTGAAAATTGCACAAGTTAGAGATGCAGCAAGTAAGAGAAAAATAGTTTCAAGTTAATTGTGTTCAAAGGTTTATGGCCAATATATATAATTTTGCAACTAACTAGAATGCATCAATATCAGGTTTGCTTCTTCTCCATCATTTTCAGCAGTCTCAAGTTAAGTTGTCCAAAATTCTGCACTCATCTTTATTTTGAGCATATTTTCTTTTGCTGCTGGACCTACATTTACTCCTAATGGTTCCGAAACTGTCAATAACATTTTGCAACCCTCATTAAAAATTTTTACAGCTAAATAGGTTGCAATTTCAATTATTCATATAGAAAGTACTATTATTTCTTTTTCTTGCATAATGTAAGCAAATTATTTCAATAAAATAGTTAAAATAACAATATTTCACTAAAATGTTTTCATAGAGTGAGCAAATCTATTAATCACCTGAGCTCACAAGTTCACTTGTTCATGCATGTCACAGCATGTCCTGTATCATGCTTGACATTTTATGCAACAACTTTTGCATTTTTACGAAAATCAATTCGAAATTTTGGTACAATGATCTAAAAATGATAAACTAATATAAAAATACAATTTTATTGTGTTTTTTCCCCCTTAAATACCAAAAAAGCTATTTTTCTATATTTTTTACAATGCCTTGTTAAAAAATAGTGTTTATAATGTATTGTCAAATATTGATTTGGAGGTAATTACTTTTCTGCAGGATATAACATACATACATCAAGAAGTTTTTAAAAACCAAAGTCAAATGTTCTGTAAGCTCCTCACTTCTCATTTGTTTTATTATTCTGTTTAATGAGCTTTGATTAAAGAATATCAATCAAAAACTGCCCAAACATGAACATTTACATTTTAAGAAGTGCAACTAAATTTTGTAAATTTACTCCAAAATGTTTATAACTAATTGTTTGATAAAAGACAGTTTTTTAAACCATCTGAATAAGAATCGACATGCAAAAATACATGCAAATATGAAATGCGGTGTTTGATTTTTTAGATCATGTGATTACGATTCATGATTTCGGATTTTAAGAATGCGAGAATATGAATTGGGGTTTTTGATTTTTAAATTTTATGAATATGAAACATGCCATTTGATTTTTAAATCATGTTAATTTGAATTTTTAATGGGTAATTTTAAGTTGCAAGAATGTCAATCGCAGTGAGTAACTTTTAAATGACGTAAATCTGAATTACAATTTTTAATTTCTTTAAATCATTTAGAAACAAATCGCAATCATGCGAATACAAAGCATTTTGTTTGGTTTTAAATTCGCATGAATACAAATCGGGATATTGGATTTTAAAAATGAGGGAATGTCAAGTCTGGATTTTAGATTTTCAAATGCGTGAATACTAATTACCACATCTGATTTTTAAATCGGGTTAATTTGAATCACAATGTGTTATTTTAAATTGCAAGAATACGAATAAAGATGAGTAGTTTTCAAATCACATGAATACGTAATTCGATATTTGGTTTCTTTAAATGGCTTGGTAACAACTTGCAATGACTAATTTTAAAATTGTGTGAAACCAAACCGTAAAGCATGTTTTCGATATCGTGTTTCATATTTGAACTTACTTTTTGGAAGGGACCACTTTTGCAAACAATTTTGTGAAAGGGCCATTGTTTAGAATTTGAATTTTGTGAAGGGGCCTCAAAATGGCCACAATTTTTGCCTAGATCAATCTCTGCTTTTGAAAAATTAGTCACTAAGTCTTCCATGTTCCCATAAAAAATCATACGTCTGGGGGTACAGATCCAGGAGTTTACTTGTCTTCTGTATTGGTTCAAAATTACAAGGCTACAGATTTGAACATTAGTAGTCGTAAACCCAAAATTGGGTCGGCTGTTCAATGACAGTTTTAAAATCTTTAATGCTTCTAATGACAGTTATGACAGTTTTAAAATCTTAATCCTTTGATTAGTGTTTCTCAATTATGAATTTTTTATTTTTGAATTTAGTTAATATTTGCATTGTTTTTCTTCTAATTATGTTTGTAAACTTGAGTTTTAAATCTTATGCTTGTGTTTTGTATTGTGGAGTAGTTAAAAACACTTATAATAACTTATATAATTAAATAGTTTTTGAAGTGTATTGGGTATATATGCAGGAGTTATAACAAAAATGTTTCTTTGAAACATTGTAGATATTAGCTATATTTATAAACATCTTAAGGAAGATATAAGATCCTATCAACTTGCCTCCAAAGTTTTGTTTAAAATTTCTAATTTAAAGACATATTTATAGAGCCACACTATATGGAAAGAGCATAAATGACGTCATGAATAGACATACCATAAGTTTAGTTCTATAATGAAGAAATGCAATAAAAATGCAAAATTAAGGAGGTAATCAAAGAGATGGAAACAAAAATGGCAAAAAGAAGTTACAGCAATTGAAAATAAGGCAGTTAACCTATAGGGTTATGGGCACAAGCTAATCAAATAAAATAAGGAAAGTACGAAAAAAGATGTGGATGGTAAGGTGAAACCCCAAATGTTGTTCATAACGAAACTATTATATTTAAAATTCTATTTTCTTTCATTTCTACATTTTGTAAAATTTCAGGTTCTCACCCTACTCTTAACATATTTTTTCTAGTCTCCATTCTTTTTTGTCTTATTAAAAGTATTTTCTTCTAATGAGTTCTCATCAAGTTCCACATACAACCTAACACCCCAAGAGTGAACATGAGTTGTAAGTTTTTATACTTAGGTGCTTGATGACTAATGCTTTTAAGATTAATTTATTTCTAATTATAGTTTATTAGAGCATGGTTGTGATTAACGATTACAATAAGTGAGACTAATGAAAAATAGAAATAAGGCAGGGCATGAAATTTCAGATCTAAAGTTTGAGCCTGACTAAAATTTTTTCTTGCTACTATTTTCATGTAAAGTATAAACAGTTTTTAAAATATTAATAGATGTGATGTAAAGAACTGTTAGGTGGTCATGGATATGAAAAGAGATGTATTAGTGTAGAAACTCCAAAATTCAGGCATATTGCTGAAAATTAATATTAAATAAATATTTATAATAATATTAACTTGGAAGTAAAGTTTCAATGGTACCAGTATCATAAACATATCATTAAAAGTCATTAAAATAAATAAAATATCAGAACATTAAAGTATAAAAAATTTTAGCACTTCATCGCTGCCTTTTGGCATTAAAATGCCACTTGTCAATTGCTGTTCTCAGATCAAGCTCTGATAGGAAGGAGTGATGATCTATAGCAGTGGTCCCCAAACCCCCAGGCTGCAGACCATTACTGGTCCGTGAATGAAATGTACTGGGCCACCATAGGAACATTAAATTATTTCCATTTTATTTACTGTGCGAACTTTCTATGGAGGAGAGCTGAGAGATGTCACCTAAAGCCGCGCCAATATGCATATGTAACTATATTTAATTTTGAAGACATGTTTAAATATAATTGAATTAAAATTATTCTCAGTGGACTGCGGAAAAATTATCAAACATTAACCGCTGATCTTTGAGTAAAAATGTTTTGCGATTTAACATTTAGCATTAATTAATTTTATTTGAATCTGTTATCTTTTACCTAAGATTCATTTATGAAGTAAGAATATTTAAATTTATATGGCAATTAAAGTGTACTTATAACACGATATTGTAACAAAAATTTTTATGAAACAAATATTTGGGTTTTATTACTTACTTTAAACTTTAGTATAAAATTGAAGTGCAACTGTTTTTAAGTGTCTTGATCTAAGTGATCTACATTTAAGTGTCTTGATCTAGATCTAAGTGTCTTGATATTAGTATATACAGTAGGGAACCGATTATCCGGAACGATCGGGACCATCGCTATTCCGGATAACTGATTTTTCCGGTTTTCTGAATCGCTACAAAAAGTAGTTTTTTTATTGTTAAACCCAACTAAAAAAAAATATTTGGAAATAATCTTGAAAAAAACGAAGTAATACACTAATGATTATTTCCAAAATGATGGTAAGGTAAACATCTTTCAAAAAAGAAAGGAAAATTCTAAAATCTTATGAGGAAAAAAAAAATTTTTTTTTAAAAAATGGCGGAAAAATTTATCGAATTTCGTTCCGGTTTTTTGGTTTTCCGGTTTACTGATTTCCGGATAACGGGTTCTGTACTGTACATGATCATAAAAATTGGCTTTTGACTTTTCTACCACTGATAGTAAATGCAATGAGTTTTGTCCAAAAAATTAAAGAAATTTAAAAAATTGAAGAAGTTCTATGGGTTAGGAAAACCACTGAATTAATCAATGAATAAGACTTCGACTTTCATTAAATCATAATCCCTGTGGTTGAATTTTTTCGAGTTTTCTATGACAGTTCTCTTTAGTACTAATACCTTTCTGAGAGACATTTTTAATAGTAGCAAATATATATGTTACTAATTTAAAAATACAGCAGTGTTTTCTGTTTGCAAAAAATGCCTTCATTTATAGAACAGAACAGTATATATTTTTTTAAATTATAAATGTAAGAATTTTTTTTTAAAATCTAAATATAAAGGAATGCATATTCTTATATTATTGTATTCCTTTATATTATTCTTATATTTATTACCTGTTCTAAAAAATATTTATATCGTTAACTTTTTTAAATTTTTGCTTTTTGGAAATTACTTTTTATAATATCTGTCTGAAATTCTAGCTAAAGCCAATCATCGCAGAATTTATTTATTCTCAAAAGAAAGTAGAAAAAAATCAGGAAATTTTTTTCCCACTTCTGATATACAAGAAAGACATTTTTTGAGTATAATTCTGCAGATAAAAAAACCCAAACTTCTTTGCTTCCCAAATAAAAAATCTTTCTGCAGGAACTCTGTAATGTTCTGCAAAAATGTTGCTGTGTCTACCACGGGGATCATTATTATGCATTATTTATTAGCCTTTTCTGTCTATCCAGGCATCGAAGAGTTCAATTAAAATAATTTTATAATAATTTTACTGTGTCTACCACATAATAAGTCTTTCTTTATTCTTGCGATCCTTGAGAACAAATATGATTTCAACTTATAGTTTAAATTTGGATCCTAGAGTTTTCATTGTTGATAAATTCAAGATAAGCATCTTTTTTATACTCTGAAGATAAAGGTAGAAGTTTGAAATTAAATATTATTTGAGATAAAAGGGAAAAAATTGCATATTATTAATTATAAATATATTTATTAGTCATGCATAAACTAACTATTACTAGATATAAGAAATGCTCTTTCAGTTGTAAATTACATATTTTTAAAAGTTATCATTATGTATATACATATCAATGCATATTAATAACAATGAATAATTACTTTAATTTCTTTATCCATCCACTTAACATTGTTTTTCAGAAAAAAAATTGTTTTGTTCACTACTACTTAACAAGGCAATTTTTTTATTATTATTTAGATTGGTTCTGACTGATAGTTTCAAATCTGTCTATGAATTAGAATTTGACTTTCTAATTATCTGTTATTTAAATTAATTGATCACCATTAGTAGTACAATGTTTGTTTACTAACTTCAATACTTTTATAGTAAAAAATGGATATTTACATATTATAATAAAAAATGTATTTGCTTTAGGACTGTTACTTTTTTTATTTATTGTCTTTTAACTTTTGTAACTTGAAAGACAAAATTACTCGTCTTCCAGGAATATTCCCTGTGCTCTAGAAGCGAGAAAACTCGTCCTTTATGCAAAATTTTTTCAATATTATAGCAGTGGTTCCAGCGACTTATTTACTAACATTTCGCATAGATTATTATTTTTATTTAATTTTATTTTTATGCCTGTAAACACAAAGTGAGAATTGTTATTGATTTGCAATTGGTTGTTATTTTTTAAATTTAAGTTAACAAGTGTTAAAGAAATTTGCTTTTTATTTTAAATTAAATGTAGAAGGTGAGACAAAGGCGCATTTTTGCTGTGATGTAAGTGTTAATATATTGCCTTTTAATAAGCACCCAAACAAGCATTGCAGTTGTATAAAAATGTTAGCAGGAATAGGTGAAATACTTGAGTGAAACTTTCTGACTTCAATACTTCTACTTATTTTTTATAAAATACTTTTTTAAGTTCTTATTTTTAATTTTTTAAATCAAATATGGTCATTTCATTTCATTTTTTTTTATTGTAATAACATTTCTGCAAAAGAACAATATAATTTTGTAACGCCGAAAAGCAAAACACATTTTTAAATTCTACGAAGTTTCTCTACAAAGTTTTAAAAAAAAATCTATGTAAGCTTATAAAATTAAATTTTTTATATATTCTATATATATATATATATATATCTATATCTATCTATCTATATATATGTATATATATATAGATAGATAGATATAGATATAGGTATAATGACATATATGATATATATATATGATAATTTCCTTCGATATAGTACTATAGTATGTTATAATATAATAGCTGATTGAGTTTGAATATTATAGGTTAAAATTAAGGGGAGATATGCGACCATGCATATATGCAGTATATGAGCAGCAATTTCTCCATTTTAACGCTTTAAAACGCAATTAGAAACATTTGTTAATACTTTCATATTAGGAAACTTTGTGGGCTTCCTAATTTGTCTACATAAAATTTCTTTGGTATGGTACTATATTATAGTACCTGACGAAGTTATTATAGTTTAATAAAGGGAGATGTAGGACCATACAGTATATAAGATGAATGCAGTATATAAGCAACAATATTTTCATTTTAACGCTATTTTACGATTTTTGAAATACATACATACATAAGTATTGTCCCACATTGTAGGCCCCCTAATTTGTCTATAATAATTTCCTTTTGTATGGTAATATAGTATGTTATTATATTATATACTATGATAGTATTGTTATAAAAAGGGGAATTCATTAACTATTGCCTCTCTGGGCCTTAATTTGTTTGATAAGTTAAAAATGCTAAAACTGAGAAGATATCAATTTAATTATCTTTAAAATAAAGGTAATTATAAAAAGTATAATTTGCATTTTATTAAATCATAGTACAATAAGTATAATTATTCAAACTGAACAATTTTAGAACTGCCTAAGTGTCCTAATTTTGCTAAATATGAAATTGGAAAAACTTAAAAGTTTTTTTTATCGGAATATCTTTCCCATTTTTGAATAATATGCTTTATTTTCTAGAAAAGTTTCAGAAAAAAATTTGCTCAATTATAGAATATTTTATTTTAAAAATCGATGAAAAGATGAATGAGATCTAAAGATTTAGACAAAACGCATAAGAATTTTAAAAAAAAGCATAAAACATTTAAAAGGAAGACCAGAATGCAAAGAATCCATGATCACAAAATAAATCTTTATTTAATTAATTTTTTTACAACCATAAGCAAANATAGACTATTTTCAACGTCCCGCTACAGCACTTTATTTATACGCTTTCAGCATCAATTCAGAGGGCGCTGCGCGCGCCACGCACGCGCGATGGCTCTGAAACTTTATTAATTTGCATAATATCCTATAATTGACATTTGCTGCGAATTTCATTTGATTCTGATGATTCCTTCATGGTGTTGCATTTTCTACAAACAGCAGTTTATATATATATATATATATACAGTGAAACCTCCTGTTATGGACACTCCTGCAAAACGGACATCTCTCAATGCGGACATATTTTCAATTCCCCGGGAATTTTCTGTGAATAAACCATTATGTATGTTCTCCGCAAAGCGGACACTCCCGTAACCGGATGTGGACACTCATTCTTGCCCTGAAACATTATTTTCTATCTCTTCAAACCGGGCACTACTTTTTCTAAGTTTGAAAAAAAGCTATTTCGGTTTTAAATTGCAAGGGAAAAAATGCAACTTTTCGTCATTTTAAAAATATGTAAATTTTTTGCCTTAATCATAACTAAAAATATTGTCAAGCTATTTCAATACTGAAGAGTTAGTCTTTCTCCTGTCACCTCTGTAAACAAAGGAGAAAAAATGATACTGCTCTCTTGAAATAATTCGGACAGTGGCATCTTTTAATCTTTTCACCTGGACCGCACAGGTTATGAGTCCCCTCGAGTTGAAATGACATCTTAAATGCTCTCAATGCTTCTTCCCCATTGAAATATTTTTAAATTTTGTAATCAATTTGAAGACTATATTTAACACAGCTGGGGTAAAAAAGAGAACAGAAATATAATCTTCGATATGTTCATATTAATGAAACACTTATTTAGACACTTGATAGCTGATCAATTGTGAATAATCAGTTCCATAGGTCCTAATGACTTAACTGTGAATCATGGGAGGTTTACTTTCAAGAAGGTATTAACCATGTTCCCTCTCAAATGAAAGGTTGGTGTAAGGGGATGTAAACCTAATAATTGAAATCGACTGAGGACTGAAAGCTCCAATTGGGTATCATATGTCTGAATTGAGTATCTATGCTAATAGGAAAATTGTATTCATTTATCTGTAGCTACATCTAGAATTATGTATTTATATCAAACTTCTTAATATATATATAAATATTAATATATTATTTTTCATCTTTCTTAAAGTTTAAATAAATATCCTTGTAGTTAGTTATTGTAAATTATTCAATTATTTTGACATCTTTGAAAATATTCTAAAAACAACAGTGTTAAACTTTGTTATTAAGGACATAACGGACAATTTTTTTGGTCCCTTGAATGTCCGCTTAACGGAGGTTTTACTGTATATATATTTGAAGGCTTTAACCATTATGTTTTTTTAAAAGAAATTTTTTTTTAAATAAATAACCTTTGTTTTTTTTAATTCAGACTTTTTTTCTCAACATCAGACTATTACATTCATTGAATTAATCCCATTCATATATGAAATTTTATTCACACTTATTCTTTTCTTTTTAGAAATTTTTTGGGGTTCGACGGAGACCTGTTAGAGAATTACTCCCACCAAAACCTATAGCATCATTAGTAATTGAACCTTGGTGGATTGTTCATGTTGGTTATGTTACAGAAGATGATATCAAAGTACTATTTAGATTTATTAGTTTTGTTAAGTTGTTTACATCAAGTTTTTTTTGGTATAAATTTATTCAGAGTAATTTGATGTAGCTTTTAAAAATAAAAACCTATACTAGTAAATTTTACGAATTTCATTTAAAAAAAATGTTTTTGTTTGAATAGAATAGAAGCTCAAAAGCAGAACTTTACTTTTTAAAATTAAAATTAAATATGTCTTTCATCATATTTTTAATAAACATCAATAAGAGGCATGAAACATTTCAACTTCATAAAGAAAATGTTAGTACAGTTCCTAAAGTGTTGTTTTATCACAAAAGTAGATTTTACACTGGACTAATCAAATGCTTATAAAGTTAAATTGTTTGTTTACAGATTATACCTGAAAATGAAAAAAAAATTATCGACAAGATTATAGATCATGGACCTCAAAAATGTGGAGATTTGAATGCTAGAGATGTTAAAGGTAAGTTGATAGTACCTTAATTTTTGGCATACCTGTTAAAAAAGTGATGATGTGATTATTGAGCAGATATTTTTAAGTGCATACAAAACAGTTTCATATTGCCCATAATAGAGACGTCTACATTCTATATTTCATTGAATTAAAATGCACTGGGATGTTGAATATTTAATTTTAATTTTTAAAAATCTTGAAATTAAATTTTTAATTCCTTTGAAGAAAATATTTTATTTAACTCTTTTATAGCAATATTTGTGCCAAATTTCAAGATTGTATTCCTTTGGGATCTTAATGAAAAAAAAGAAGAAATTTCATTTTCTTTACCCTACTTCAATTACTAACAAAATAAACTAAAATTGTGTACATATATAATTTATTTGTGAAATAGCTTTTAATGGACAATTAATTCTTCATTGCCAAAATTAAAAGATTTAAAAAAAAAGAAAAATGTAAAAAACAAAGAAAAAATCTCAAATTCTGAAAAAAAGAGAGCATTTTATTTTCCCATTAGTTGCTTCTATGTCTAATTTCATAATGGTATTAATATGTTATCATAAAGAAAAAATATGTATACTTTCTGTTTCACCATACTTGTGAATTTTTAAAAAAATAATAAAAAACAACTTATATGTAGTTCTAATACAGACATTTCTTCTTTTTATGTAAAATTTGTTCTGCTCTGGCCATCTCCACTTTTGAAACTTGATATGTTCTGCCTGTGTTAGGAATTTATTTGAAATAAAGTTTTTTGGTATTCTCAAAATGTTTGATTTCCTTGTGTATGTCAAAGAAGGTGATGGTCCATTTGCATGAAGAAAAAAAAATTCTTCTTCAACCTGATTTTTTGAAGGAACAACACCAGCCGCAACTTATTGCTATATGCACAAGTTACATACCTCAGTAATTTCTTGAAAAGGCACATCTTTAATAAGAGAATTTATTAGAATTTTTTTTCAGTGTAGTTCACACACAAAAGAAATATATTTGATTTTTGGATTTGGCAGTTGTTAAAAGTGATAAATGTGTGGAATTTTTGAGTGCTAACAATTAACGCAGTTTTCTCAAATTGAAATTTTATTAACTTCTTTTCTTTAATATATTCATGATTTATCGCAAAGAAAGTGATGGGTTGCAGATATTTTGTTCCTCATTGAAAAAGTTGATAATGGATTAAGATCTGATTTTCCAATGGGGCTTAAAGACTGTCTTTATCTGTAATCTTATACCATTGAAAACATTTTTTTGATGTACAGTGTGAAAAAAAATGACCACCCTGAATAACTTTTGATCTAATGACTCTATTTTCATGTTCTAAGACTCAATCTTAATGGCTCTTCGTGTTGACCTCAAATATGTTAATTAATAAGTGCAGGCAATATTTTAAGCTACGAAATCAGACATAAAAACATACTTTCTCTGAATAAACATACCTTTTTCTTGATGAAATCGGATTTCTGACTCCCAAAACATGATAGCCGCAATCTGGAAAATATGGTTCCAATAGCTTGATTTGGAAAGTGCTCTTAATTTTGGGCCCCTTAAGGTTACTTTTTACCTATTTTCCTAAATCTGGAGAATTTTTTTAAGCAAATTGAAAAATTTTGCACACAATTATAAAATTTGTTTATCCACAAAATAATATTTCCTCTCCACTCCCACACTTCTTATATTCAGTAACTGTTCAGACCTGGCTCACAGATGGAAGAGCGGGAGAAAACATTGTTTTCTTTTTAAAAGTGATCTAAATAAAGTGATTTCGAGAAAGAATGTGGATGGCTGTGGAGAATAATTTACATGCCTTGCCCATTCTTTTGAGTTACATTAAGCATAAGAGAGAAAAAAATGTTGGTAGCAGGAGGAAAGGAGAAAATGCTGATGATACTTTGGAGCTCAGTTTCAAATTAGCGAAATGATTTTCAGAAGAAGAAAAAAACAGTTATATGCTGCCTTGCATATACATGTTCTGCCTAAATTTTATGTTTTAAATCAATAACATCAAAACAAAATCTTTGCAAAACTACTCTTCTAAAAAAGAGTGACCAATTATTAGGATTGACTTTAGAATCTTTCCATATTATCAGTTTTGTTTTAAAAGAGAATATGATAGTCAGTAGCTCTCACCCAAAACTCACACACTTCTTATTTAGACATGAAATATTGAGGTTAGAATTTCTGTTCTTTTCTCTCATCTGTATTTAACTCTATATTCTTTCTTTATACGTTTCTTTTTTCCCCTTTCATTTATCTCCCTCTCTTTACCTTTTTATTGCATCTTTTCTTTATTATGAATTTATCTTCATATGAGTTTCATTGGCTATTTTTGTTTTTCACCTACCATGCTCTCTGTGCTACTTATTTTCATAGTAAATATGAATAATAAGTGTACCCAAGGTCGAATACTATTTACGTTCTTAATTTCCATTTGATCTTTCTGCAAATAAAAATAAATGCTTTTTTTTCGTTTTGGGTATTTTCTTTAGTCAATTATCATCTTAAATTTATTATCTTAATTGCAAACAAGTTCAGAGACTTTTTCAAAGCTGCTGAATTACTAAAAAATGCATTTTTTTTGTCACAGAAGGGAAAGGGAAGAAGATAACGCTATGTGTAATAAAAATATTCATAAAAGAATAAGTTAAAACTCTTGCAAATTGCTATTAAAAAATAAAACCCCTATCTCAAATGTTTATATTGTGTACCCTACACAAATCTTTATATATATACGTGTTTTTACTAATATTCATGTGTTTACAATGCTTTTATAGTCAATATTTTTAGTGTTTTTAGATTTTGCCTAAATTTTTCAAATGAAGAACTTACATCAAAATTTGAAATGGAGTTTAATTTCTTATAGAATCATTTCAAAAGTGTCAAAATTTTTCTTAAAAGTTAAAAATGTATTGAACATTTATAAAGTACACTTAGAAACTTAGTAAAATTGCATTTTAATCTCTAACCATTCTTTTAGTTCGTAATATACATAACTTCTACTGATTACTGATTCAACTTTGTTGCACTACATGCCCTTCAACTAATTATGCTGTAGGTCTTATGATGTTCCTTGAAAAACTTTTTTTAATTATTGCTGAAATTAAAATTTTTTTTCATGTGTCTAGCTTGTTAATTTATTTATTTCCCCTTTATTAATCTGCTGTATGTTCATAAAATATGTACAATTTTTTGAATATTGCTTTTCTTTAGCTTTATACCGAAGAGGTCTCATATACCTTGATGTACCAATTGATGACAATGATTATGTTTGTGGTAAGTATTTTCATACATCTTTTCTTTATTTTTTTATTATTTAATAAATAAATTTAATATGTCTCTAGCCAGTATGGCAATGAAATATATGAATTTAACTTGGGCATCATAGTTGCCCAATTTTTGACAGGGGCAAAATTGAAATATACATAAAAATTTGCTCAATTTTCTTCTATATAATAAAAGATTTTTTTAAAATTTGTTAACTTGTTTTTAACTTAACTGAATTTAAATAAAAGATGATTCATAAATTTTTCTCTATTTGTCTGAAATATTGAGAGAGACTTTAAGAAATTTCAAATTATTGAGGGGACATATACCCACCATCCCTCACACCAACAGCGTCCTTGGCATTAAGGCATTTATTTAACACAAGGTATTTAAAAAAACTTAAACTTACATTGCAAAAATATTCAACTTACAGCTTCACCCATTTCACATGCTTAAGACCTGGCTCTGACTCTACCTGTAACTTTAATTTACAGTAATTGTCTGTAATTATGTTTGAAAAAATATGACTATCTCATGTTGATCATGAGCTCTGGAGAATAAAAAAACTACTATGTTAACTTTTCTTAGCTCCTCCATTTCTATTCTTATACTTCTAACCCCCCCCCCCTGTTATGATGTTTTCTAACAAAAGCCTTTATACATTTCTGTAGTTCCTCCTCTGGAAGGATTTGTGATGAACAGGGTGTTGGGAGACTATTTGGAAATACTTTTATATAAAATATTTGTTTCCATTGATGAACATACACCTATTGCTGAAGTTAGTACAATTTTAAATGTTTTCATGTTTATTTAATATAATGAAAAAAATACTTTAAGTATTATGGTATTTTTGAAACATTTGACCTGTTAATTATTTGATCTTATAAATTTATGAAACTTTTTAAAATTAGAAAGTATTATTAAAGTGTTTTTGTCTGTAGCATTTAAAAATTGTATGTATTTTTATTTGTGGAAAGCAATTAAATCAGAATTACAATGCTTAGCAATGCATTTAAAATTCTAAAACTCAATCTTGAAAGATATGAAGTTAAATTAAAATTTCAGAAATTGTGCCTAATTATTAATATGATAAGAAAATTGAACTATTTTACATACCATTTTTAAATCTTTTCCTATATTTTATTGCACAAAATATTTTTTGAATACATTCATAGTTTATAATGACAATTTATCATGGCTTGTTTTAGTGTGAAGTATTTTGTTTTTCAATGAATGTATAAATATTAATCCAATTTTTAAGTTATCTTCTAACAGTCTTGAGTAAATGTCTATTCCCCCACTTAATTTTCAAGGAAATGCAGGCCTAATATGAATTGATGCAATAAATAATATAATTTAAGTGTGCCTGTTGCAATTGGTTCAAATTATTTAAAAATTTTGTTTTCAAGTTTTAAATTTAGGGTAGTTTCTGGAGGGATGTTCTTTTTATATGCATGGGAGGTATGCTACCTACCCTCTAATATCCAAAATATTAAGAGGTACCATTGCTAAAAATTGGACATTTTTATTTTATTTTAACCATACTTTTTAAAATTATTTTTTCCTAATATCTGAAAAATATGACAATGATACTTAAATTATTTAATATCAAAATTGTAAATTGTTAAGATAAAAAATTATAAATCTAATTAAAATGGTTAAAATTATTAAATTATTACAAAATAATCATTGAATAAATAATGTGGTTAACTTAGAGAAACTTGACCTATGTAAGAAGGAAGGAATACCTTGCCATTGCAATCTTGGCGACATCAGACTAACCAAACAAGCTTTAAAATTTAGACTAAAAGAACATGGTAGATAAGTCCATCATCAAGAATGCGATAAATCATTTATTGCTGCATATTCTTGGAATCTTAGAAATAAATTCAATTTCAATAATACTAAAACTCATACAACACTCTCACATCAGCTCATTTTTTCTCGGAATTTTGTTCTTTTCCATATGAATGCTGATTTCCTTGTTAATGACATGAGTTCCTCACCATATCTCCACAGCATGTCTGCATTTTGCCCTGATTTGCCACTCTTGGCCATTGTGGTTTTCCTAGTTTTGTTTTTTATCTTTATTTAATTTTTTATTTCATTTCGGGTTTTTAGGCTTTTTCAATTTTATTTTTCACTTTCATTTTTCGTTGGCAACTTCACATTTCCTGTTTCAAATCACTTTTGCATTTTTTATTCATGTCTAGCGAGTCTTTAGAATGAGCATTTATTTTTGAGCGGTCAAAACACATTCACTTTCTTTACAATCCATATTTTTTTAAAGCCAATGAAGTTTTTACCACCAAGGGCGCCGTGCTACATTTCGGTCTTGATCATTATTTTGACAACAATCTGATGTTTGTAGAAGCAAGCATTTGCATATTATTATTTTAACAGGGTTCATGTAGACCTTAATTAAAATTTCAGAACTCAAGATTTTGTAACTAGATATTTGGAATTATTATTGAATGTTATGGTAAATATCAACATTTATAGAATGCATTTATCTTCTAACTTTTACTGCCATCATTATCCTTTTTTTAGACTATACCAAATATATAGAGCTTCCTATCTCCCCAATTTTTGATCTGTTTTTTTCAAAATTTTGTCTATTTTGAAGATCAGGAATCCAAATATGTAAAAAATATATATGTTTATTCATAGAAAGTATGTTTGTTGTATAATTTCATAATTTAATTAAAAGTTAGCACTAATTAGTTAGCATATTTGAAGTCACCCCCTGGAATCATTAAAAATAACACTTAGTTTGTGAAATTTGATCATTAGAATGAATGGTACTTGTGGTAATATCTTTTTTTTGCACTGTACAATGAAGAGTAAATTAAATAAAGCTTTAAAAATGATTTATTCTAAATTACTTTTGTCAGAGCAAATCATACTTAATTATTTAAAGACACAAATATATACAGTAAGTTTTAGAAGCCCTTGCATTTCAATAATCATAGAATCAAATGAATGTACTTAAAATATGTTTATTAAAGAGCAAATTATTTAAAAAATTTCATGCCATTCTTATCTGCAATATTAGTGTGTGTTCTATAATTTTATTTCTATAGTAAAAACTTTCATTGTCAATGAAATTAGACTTTAAAAAAATCTAAACTTAAGAATATTGTTATAAATTAGATTTTTATAAATATTTTCCAGTTTTAATCTATAATTAAAAAAAAAATCAAATGATTTAATATTTCACAGAACTATAGGGATGGGGTGTTGGAGATGTACGTTTTTATTTTTATGTGGAGTACTTGGGTACTTCTACTTTCATTTTAATGGAACAAGTCACAGCCTCATACAGTTCATCTGGTTTACCATTTTCTTGAAAGTGAAGGGATTTGCTAGATGGATTGATTAATAAGTTCTCCAGTCTTCCTCCCTCAAGAGCCTGTCTGCTACACTCTTGGGAAGGCAATTACAATTGACAAATCTCCTTCTGCAGCCATCTAAAACAGTGAATCTCCTCTGGAAAACTGCATTGCGGAATAAGTGAGACCATTTTTCAGAGAAGCACACTAACTGTCTTAATTTCTGCATGAAATCATGATGTGAAGTCTCTGTGTTGTTGAAAATAGACTAGAGAGGGACCATATAATTTCAACATATTTAGCTTAATAATTTGAATTTTTTTTGGAATTAATATTGGCATAGTCTTAGATAAAAGTGTAGCTTTTAGCACTAATATTAGTTGGTTTTTTTAAAATTATGAATATAAATTAAGTTGACTTTCTGTCTTATCTTATTTTTGTTTTCAGCTTGCCAATGTTCTTCAAGTAGAGCTAGAACTTGTTAAGGTATGTTTTTTTTCTTTTTTAACTTACATGTCATATGTAAGAGGATTATATTCCACTTTTTATGTAATTGTATCAAGTTTTCTTACTGTTTTATAATTCAGTTTTTGGTTTTAATTTCCATCTTATTTCGTATTTGGCATACTGGATTAACATATATTAATATCTCATAAACTGTTAAGTAACTTATATATTTGATGTTAAGTTGATCAAAAATCTAGTCACAAGTATTCTTTGTTTCTTTTGTTTGAAGTGGGCAGATGTTAGCAGTATTTTTTGAAATCTTTGCAAGTTTTTAATATCTTCTAAAAGTAGATAAACACATTAATTTAAACTAGGTAATGATTATTTCTTTAAAGTGGTATTAACAAAAACATTTAAGTGTCATAACTAAGTTTTAAGTTTAAAAAGTAAGATTTAAGTTTAATTTTTTGTGACCTTTTTTCCTTAAAAAATCAAAGGTATTATAAATATGTCTATCTTTCCTTCCATTATTTAAAATTGAATAGTTCTAAATATCTACTTAATCTTAATATTTATAATTGAATATGTTCGCAGAACTAAAGTTCTTTCAAAAGGTATATCATTATAAATGTAAGTTAAATGCTCAAGCATTATGGTGAAATTTATAACCTGAGTGATAGTCTCGACTTTCTCCAGCTTTTAAAAACAAACCGTGAAAAACATGCTTTTAAAAAGTAGAGCTTTTTAAAACAAACTCTGTTGTCAGAACTGTTTTCTTTAGTGATTGAAGAAATAGTGAATATATGCTAAATTGAGTTTTAATGCAAGCTATTATATAAAATATAAATAAAATTAATCTATAAAGTATAGGATATAATTAAATGTTAAACTTATTTTTTATTTTTTAAACGATTTTTTTTTGAGGTAGCAAGAATTGTAAATATGCTATAACAAAGCTATTTTTATTGATGTAGAAATGTAATTTTTTGTCAATTTAATATAATTTAAATGCTGATTCATTAAAGCAATATTTTTTTTTTCATTTTCAAAACTAGATTTTTTTTATATTAACTTCTTGTGTTTACTGAAGATCAAATTTTAATTTTAGTTATGAGAGTTTATTCTATTTTATTGATTGTTATTTCCTTTTTATTAGAATGCAGTTTCAATGTACTGCCGATTGGGGTTTGCTAAAAAGAAATGCCAAGAGGATGTAACATCTTTTCATTCTTCTTGGGAAATGCACTATTCTTCTAAGCCTCAGAAGTAAAGCAAATTTATTTGTTTGAGACAAAATTGAATCTGTTATTTATAAAAAGCTGTTTGTCTGGATATTGTGTGTTATTCTTAAAAGTATTAGTGTTTTAATATCAAATTATTTTGAAAAAAAAAAGCCTGAATTATAGTTGTAAGTAAAAAAGGAACAAAAACAGATATAATAGGAAAAAAAGATAGGAGAAATAGAAGAAAAAAAGTTTTTAATTTGTAACTTTAACTTAATTACTAGAACATTCTTTTAGTGTTAAATACTTGTTTAGATTTAAGGGAATTTGAAAGCCGACATTTATTCTACATAAGTGATTGTTCAGTATTTAATTGTAGGTTTTTAAATGCTATAATTGATTTTTAGTAATTTTTCTCCTTCTAAAGAAATTGCTTTGTTAACTTTCCTAACATTCTGTTTATTTGGAGGTCTCTTGTTAATTGAGTTTTTACTGTACTACTAAATCTTGAAAGTTAAAATGAAACATTACCATACCCAAATGTTTTTGTAGTTTTTTTCTTTTTTTATCTTTCGAAACTTCTTTTAAAATGACACATGGTAAGGAATTTTATTATTTTTAGTTTAAAATCGTGATTTTAGACTAATGAACTACTCTCCGTTTTGTTTTGTATTTTGTGGCATAGTGAACTTAAATATCCCTGGAACATGTTCTGTAATTTTCCTAAACAACTATACTATTGTAATAATTATGTGATGTTTTGTGAATCTAATGAAAAACATACTTTGCATTGCTTATTTTTTAATAGTTAGAATAACAAACACCATTTTGTAGATTTGAACTAAGAAGTTTTTGCGAAGAAAAAATTAACTGCTTACTTAAAATCTACACACACTTATGTATAAAACTTACAAAAATTTAAGTTTAAATAATGTGTAATCATGGCATTCTTTTCTTAAAAACAATTCTTAAATAATTAAGTTTAAATTGAACTATGAGGTTAGGATTTTTTTTTAAAGTATTCCAAATTTTTTTTTATTCAAGACAACTTTCATGCTATTTTTTAAATATCAGATGTTGTGTTGCTTTTAAGAGGAGACTAGATCAAAGAAAAAACTCTTTATGACAAATTCTTTTTCACCTATTTTAGTGATTTAAAATTTTAAGTCTGGAAAAAGTGAATTAAGGTAAACCAAGAGTAAATCATAGAGTTTCAAATGCCGAAAAAATTTACAATATCAAAATTGCAACAAATTATAGAAATATGACTCAGAATTAAGCATTGGGGAAGCAATATCCCTGCAATAACTTGTTTGCATTTTGATATTTTGAAATTTTTTTTTATCAGCATTTGAAATTTCATGATTTGTTCCAGGTTTACCTTAACTCACTTTTTTTTAAAATCTTTGAATTTTAAAATAACAATAGTAGTAAAAAAGTCATGTAAAGTTTCTCCCGTGGTTTATATAACATCTTTTAATGAATGTGGAAAACAAAATAGAAAGAGGGAAATTGACTTATCATGATGGATTTTTTCTTTCCTATAGAATGTTATTGTTAAAGTATACATCCCAGTTTTTGTTAAAAATTCAGAATAAATAAGTTAAATAATTATGTAATTAGCAAGGCTAACATGACAGCTGTGACTTTATGGCATTAGATATAACACAACAAAATAATAAGAATTTATTGAATTGCAAGAATATGATTACCTTGTGCAAAATATAGATATATGTTTAACAAATGTAACAGACAAAGAGTCTGAGAAATGAATAACTTCGATACATATAGATCATGATGAATTCAATATCAATAATGAAGTATGTTTAGTTGTTCTTGAAATAATAAGCAGTTTTAGAGTCTAGATTGGTATGTTCCTATATTATGCTGCTATGATACAACAAGCAAATATGTAGACTAGCTTTAGAAGTTTCAATGTTTAAGAGGCTATATATACTAGCTTGAAAGCTTGAACTGTTTTAGTAACAGACTGCTGTAGTTTAAATGGATAACATGATAAATTGTTAAAAAATATTTAAAAACCATATGAGAAACTGACAAAATGCATTAACCTTTTCATTATTTGTTTCTTTTCCATTTAGAGTTGTTCAAACGTTGCTAAAAGAAAGTTTTAATAAAACAAAAAGTAGAAAGAAAAAAAAAAGATCTCAACAATGCAACCAAAATACAACTTTCATCTTCTATTTTATTACAGATTTTTTGAAGCAACATATTTTTATTGTTGGTATGATTCTAAAGCAAATAAAAATAATTGTTATAGAAAATATGAACCATTTCAAGAATGCATATGAATCTTCAATTGAGATTGTGTCATAATTGGCCAATGCTCAATATGTTCAAAACATGCTTATAAGCAACCCTCTTTTGTCTTTATATTATTATTATTATCTCCAATTTGTTTCTTTTTACCTTTAATAAATAGAAATAAAATTATTCACAAGGGCAATTGATCATCTTTCAAATGTCTGAATAAATGTTTCATTTATATGAACAACTCAATGATAATATTTTTATTTTCTTTTTTTACTCCATCTGTGTTAAATATAGTCTTTAAATTGATAAGAAAATGAAAGAAATTTTCAGTGGGGAAGAAGCATTGAGAGCATTTAAGATGTCATTTCAAATTGAGGGGTCTCATAACATGTGTTGTCCAGATGAAAAGATCAAGAGATGCTGCTGTTCGAATTATTTCACAGGAGCAGTATAATTTTCTCTCCTTTCTTTGCAAAGATAAGGCAAGGTGATAGGAGAAAGATTGATTCTTTAGTAGTGGAATAGCTTAACATTATTTTTAGTTATGCATAAGGTAAAAAATTTACATGCTTTAAAAATGGTGAGTTTTTTTCTTGAAATTTAAAGCAGATTTTTTTTTTTAAATTTAGGAAAAGTAGTGTCTGGTTTGAAGAGATGGAAGGTAATGTTGCAGGGCTAAAATGACTGTCCGCGTCCGGCAATGGGAGTGTCAGCTTTGCGGAGAATGTACATAATGTTTTTATTCATAGAAGATTCATGGGGAATTTAAAATATGTCCATATTAAGAGACGTCCGTTTTGCAGGAGTTTTCACTGTATATGTATATATATGTGTGTGTATATATATATGTATATATATATGTTTATATATATATATGTATATTACATATATACATTTGTATGTATGTANTATATATATATATCTTTATCATAATTACAGAAAAAATATTTTACCAATATCTTAATTCGAGATTCTGTCCTAAGTTAGGTAAACATTTTCCTTTTCTTTAAAAGTGTTATGTGAATAAATCATAAAAATAGTGATAAATCTTATTATAATCAATTAACCACTCATCTTTGAAGACCATGCTGATCAATTTAAAAGGAATGTTGCTCTAAGGTTTTTAAAATTAAATTTGGTGAGAAAAAGTAAAATTTTGTCCTATTAGATTCATATTTCAAGTTACAGGATTTGACTTGACTTTTTATTGTTTAAAAAAATTGGTTGTTAAACCTTTTTTTTTTTTAAAAAAAAATTTAATTTTTCAGGTTAAGTTCTGATGACTCAGATGAAATGCTTTTAAAGTTTTCAGACTCAGACAGTTTTTATTCTGGCCTCATTCATGATGTGTGGGAGCGAGCTGACTCAGGTGTGAATTTTATCTTTAGTTTACTATATTTTACTATAGTTTTTTCGAAAGAAAAAAAAATTTAAACTCTAATATTATCTCATGTATTTTTCTCAAAATCACTTTTCATCATCAATTACTTATATTTATTTTTGCATGAAGAAAAATTAGAGAATTATAGCTTAGAATCAAACTTAAGACTCATGCAGGAAGCGATTAAAAATTGTTTGAAAGTTTAACCAGGACTGCAGCCAAAGTATAAAATAAATGATAATGGAGTGTGATCTTTAAATATATAATTGAATTTCAAAACCAGCTTAGTTTATTTCAAAAACTTACCCCGCATCAGTAAATAGTGTGGCAGGGGGCTAGGCTTGTGCATACTCCCCTGGTTACAAGCTATATTTATCCAGGCTTCCAAAGCAAGCCTACCTCTGCATTGACTCTGAAAAATAGCTGCAGAAGGTATCTAAGAAGCACCTGATAGGAACCAAGAAAAATTAATTTATTTTAGAAGCAAAAACATTGCTAAACTAAGTCAAATTCTAAAAAATATGATGAAATGCATTCTGCGATTTCAGGTAAATAAAACTGCCACATAACACAGTAAAAGAACAAAATGAGAGAAAATTACGCAGTTAGTGTAGATTAGATTTAGAGGTTGGGCAGCTCTAAAGAGCAGGGCACATCGACCAGAGGTCCATTGTACCCAAATCCTAGATCAGAATTAACTAGAAAGCCTTATGGCTGAAATGAAATTTAGCAAACACCTTACAGGAACATCTTGCAGTTCCCAGGCCAAAATGCAGTGTTTCCCTTAAATGCTCAAATCTTTGAGCAGAATAGACCTTACAATCACAAAGTATGAGATCACATCATCACATATGAATCACAAAGTACACAGTTTGTGTAACACTTAAACATATGTCAAACTATCTCTCAAGCATGCACACTCTCTCATCACAGGAATATATCAGCTTTATCCCTCAAGAATTCTGATACGAGTTGACTGCCATTCAAAGGAAACCAAGAATTAGCATTTCATCACTATGGTCATCTTTTGGAAGGATGAGATGTTACTAGGTTTTGTGAGCAATACGGTTCGAGTCACTACAATAGCTCCTATATTATTAAAATATACATATTTTAATCTTTGAACAAAATTACAAATTCTTCAAATTTTTTTCAAGCTTACTTCTTTGTCTCTTGTTTGATTAAAAATTTTGTCATAAATGATTAACATTCACTAAGTAAAAAATACATCACACATATTTCAATTAGAGATGTTTTTTTCCTGCATATTTAAACATGCAAATCAGCACCTGCATTGCAAATCAGCTTTATTAGGCTTTGGTTTTAGGAAGTTGTTTGGGCAGAAGTGATGATGTATTAATTTTGCTTGGAAGCTACTTACCTTTTTTCCAGGTATAAAAACTTTTTTTAATAAAAACCGTGAATAAAATTTAAATTAGATATCAATGTTTAATGAAAGCATAATTTCATTCTCACAGTTGTATAGTCTAACAACTGTATAGTGAAACAATTTTAAGACTCACAGCTGTGAAAATTTTATATAACTGAAAAATATGTTATATTTATGCTAAAAAAATGTTTTTTTTTTTTTTTTTTTTTTTTTTTTTTTTTTAAATTTATAACTTGTGAAGGTTTTAGTGTGACAATACCATTTATTCAAGCAGCTTTTTAATAATTAGAAGCAGTTTAAATAATTAGAACGACTGAATGTAATGATTTAATTTTATTGGATTCTTAATTACATGCATTTAACATTATTTTGTTCTTTATTAAATGTCTATCAATTCAAATATTATATAAGGTATACCAAAATGAAAACGAGATTGGAGCTGTCGGGGCACTTTATTAAATCTTAGTTAATATGTTGATAGATGGTTTAGCAGATTTCCCAGTTAACCATTTTGTATCAGTATTCTCATTTCTGGGGAGTTGTTTCCTATTTCATTGGATGATGGATTCTCCCAGGTCATCAAATTTTTTTTTTCAATATTGCTACAGCTAAAATCTCAATTTCATTTAGGCACAATCTTACATAGCACCTGTTATTAACAGTTTTCCTTGTACTAAGAATAACTATATCATGCTTTTTTTATTTTCAGTGCCTTTATTTTCTTCAACTGCATCAAAACGTATTGGATTTCTATTTGATTCTACTCTTACGGCATTCTTGATGATGGGAAATTTATCGCCTGTTAGAGAAATTTTTTCTTATTTCTTATTATAGTTTTTGTAGAAAGTAAAGAAAAAGTCTTACACTTTTGAATTTATTCATATAATTTCTAATTTCTTTAGGTGTGTTAAAATAATTTGATTACAGTCTGAACTAAAGATAAATTATAATTAAACTTTATAAAAACTAAACTTTTAATATGGTACTATAAAAATGTGTTAGAATGATTCCAAGAAACTGAGTTTCTTCATAATATTACATACTTTAGAGCCACTTTGAGAAACAAAAATCTGCTTGTGTTCTCTTCATTATTCAATAAAGAATTACAATTCTGTACAAATTTGCCCCAGTAGACAAGGTTAAAATGGATCAGATCAAAAAATTGGATTAATAATATTCACTAATTTAGGTATTGTGAAGGAACACAACTAAATCTTGGTAAAGAAAATTGAATTTAAATAATTTCTTATAATTTATTCTATATTAATTGTTTATTAATTAAAAACATTTTGAAAGATAGCAAAAAAATTATTAATTAAAACAAATACTTGAGGGGTAAAAGTGAAGGAAAACTAGAAATTACTTATACTGATCCATCACAAACGAGAATTAAGTAAATAGTATTTTTCTCTAGTATATGACCAGCTTCGATAACTACTAAATATAATTATATTTAACCTATTATCTTGTTAAAACCTACAGCTGACTAGTATAAACTGAATAATTTTCATCATAATTGCATGACTTATATGTACTAGTTTTATTCTTAGAAGTACACACTTATATGTTGTTTAATAAATGTTAGTTAAATTACAAAATCATGAACTAAAACATACTTAAATAGGAATCAGGAGTGAGAGTATTCTGTGTGTACCTGGAAATTCTCGGTTTTTAGTATCATCTTTCTGGGTCTTCAAACTAGGAGCAGGGAATGTGATTTGTATACAAATTTCGCAGAATTCTGCTTGTTGTTGTTGTACCTGATGATTTAGATTTTGTTTTTGAGGCTCCTAAGTAATTTTGCTAAATCTTGTTGATTAATTGTTAAATCAAGTTTAAAATTTTTTTTCCTTCACAGTTTGTAGATAATGCGAAAAGAAACTCTTAACAAAATATAAATTTTGAGCTTGTATTTTCAAAAAAGATTTTTTAAAATACTAAAAAAAATAAAATTGGTTGTAATGGAAATACATTAGAAAAATGAATTTTCATGTATTATATTGACTATGTGCACTTACTTTATGTAACTTCAATGTTTCAACTTCATGTTTCAAGTAGAAATAACACTTAAATACCAAAAAATTATTTTGCTATTTTTTTTAGTTGGTCTGCTCACCATAAGAATTGAACTTTGTTGAAAACCCACTTTTATGGGTTTTAACATTAATTGTAGAAATGATTTTGCTTCTTTTTAGAAAAAAAAACTTAAAAATGAATATTTTTTATTAAAGTTAAGGTCAGAGGGTGTAATTTACTAATAGAAACAGCTTCTTTTAGAACAATATACATCCTACTTGAGTATGGAAAAATGTTTTCTAAATCATTGTATTGTAAAAACTTTCTTTTAATTTTTCAACAATTTATGGTTTTGTGAATTTTTCAACAATAGAGAAACAATGTAGTCTTACTGAAAAATTCCCCTAAAATGTTCATTTAATGTAAAATTTTTTTAATGGTTAAAAATATGTTATGCTACTTTGTTTCTGAGAGGTTAATCAAATTTATAACTTGAATAAGTTTCCTTTTTTTAAGCTTATATTTAACCCTGAAGTTAATTGGTACATAAGGTAATTGTTAATGAATAGTGGACAAAAAGAAAGATTAAACATTTTTTTGTGATGTCATCAATAAAGTGTTTTGAAAGATTTATGATATATTTTATTGCAAATTTTTAGATTAAAATGTTGAAAATACAATTATTTTTTAACTAAGTGATATTTAATCGACAAGTTGGATTCTTTTCCTCTTCAAATTTTGAGCATAATTTATTTTTAAAATCTTGAATTTGATTTTCTGAAAAAGCATCTGAACTTCTTTTCTTGGATAATTTTTTTTGCATTACCTTGTCAAACATAAATCAAATTAAAAATTTAATTACTATGAAAAAGGAAATGAATTTAATGATTATATTAATAAGTTTAATGAAAAATTTGTTATTAGTAATAACTATGCAAATAAGTTTTGTGCAAAATGCTTTCCGACATTATTTATCCTAAGCCACAATTTATTTGGAAGTAAAAAGTAGTAATAGTACAAATAAGCTTTGGCCAAAATTTTTCCGATTATTTATCCCTGATTTCTGGTGGCTCAGGGGTTAGGGCACTTGCTTCGCAATGATGTGACCCAGGTTTGAATCCCAGCGGTGGCTGGTTGATACGAATTTTGCTCCCAGCTCGCATAGACCACAGTGCTGATGTAAAATATCTTGTGTGGTGGATGGATCATGGGTTAGAATCTTCTTGCTGTTGGACTAACCATGAGACGTTTTGTTGGTTTGCCTTCATGTAACACAAATGTGAGTTAGTTCCATGAAAAAGTTCTCCACAAAGACTAGTTTGTCTCAATGCTTGATCCAGGAGTTCATATGTCTTCTGGGTCGTGCTTAAAATTGCAAGGCTATGGAGTTGAACATTGATAGTCATAAACTCAGAATTGTGTTGGCTGTAGAATGCCAGTTATGAGATATCATTGATCCATTCTCAAAAAATGTTGGGTATCATGTTAAGAAATGTTTTTGATAAATGTATTTAAAGTTTTTCTGGTATTGTCACTGAGTTTTATTAGTTTATCTGAATATTTCGACTGCATTTTTTTAGTTGCTTTTAAAAAGTATTTTAAATATGTTTTTTTTTTACAACTTTCAACTGTGTATAACCTTTTAGTGAATTTTTCTTATATTTTTAGATTACCCAGTTTTTGCATATCAATAAGAAACTAACTCTCTCAATGTTTATTCAGACTTTCCCTGACTTTTGGACTACTTGTTTTCTTGTAATAAAATATAGTTTGTTCCCTTATTACGCAATGAAAAAATGATGTATACTAGAAAATTCTCTCATAAGCTTTTGTTGTGTTTGGTGTTAAATAAAAATAAATTGAACGCATGAGAAACTGTACATTATTTTCTTGTTAATTGTATTATTTCTCTGCTTACGCTTCAAAATTCTTTCCAGGGATTAAAAAGTCATGCTGTAACAATGTTTGAAGTTGGGAAACTATCTGATGAATCTATGGATAGCTTTCTGACTGAATTATCTAAGGTGAGAGATACTTTATTTCTGACAATATTATGAAGTGTACAATCTGCAAAGTAATAAAGCAATAACGTTTTATCTAGGTATTGGACTTTCAGAAATTAAAAAGAAATCTATATAGTTTAAAAAGTTAACCTGAATTTGCTTTTTTGTTTGTGCTTGCAATATTTTAAATTATGAAGAATGCAAAAATGAATTTCCTCAGAAATATCTTTATTTGATGAGATTTTGATTTTTGACCTTTGGAATATGAGAGGTAGATACAAACTGGAAAATATAGTCCTGATAAATTAATCAAAAGAGAGCCCAGTTTTTACCCCTTAATGATAATGTTACTTTTCATGTACTTTACTATATCTCTGGAACAGTTAAGAGTAATCAAACACATAATTTTAAAACACACTCATCTAAGCATAATTCTAAGTAAAAAATTATTTTTAATGATTATTTATTTAATTAAATAATAATCTCAAAAATTTTTTAATTATAAGTTTTATGTATTTTTACATCATTTTTGAACTCCATAATAATTTTAAAGTATGAACCGATATGCTAGCCTAGTCTGTCAAATCTGCTTTTGAGCATTGTAAATTTATAAAATATGACTTTTTTTTAAACTAAACATAAAAAGATAACTCAAAAATTATTTAGCCAACCTGTAGTTTTAAAAGTGAAAATAAAACTTTCTTCTTTAATACTTTTGAATGAAATTGCAAGGTGTGTTTAAAAATTCGATGAATAGCCACATAAAATAAAAGTTATTTTTAAAGATTGCATTTATCTCAGAAACATTTAAAATCAATCTAAAAACATATTTTTCTCTCATTATTTCCTATTGCGTTAAATTAATCGTAAAATTTTTTTGCTTAACTGTTGTTGAATTAGATGCTTGCGGAACACAATTTGTTATGTGTTGGAAATGTTGATAGTTATTCTAAATCAGTCAGATGTACACTCATATTACATTCACTTACATCACAATGTAAATATGAAGGTTTGAGGTTGTGATGTTTTCTGTAACAGACCTTCTCAAGAGTTAAGTTTTCTTCACAGAGAAAAGTAAAAGAGTCAAGAGTTTTCTGTTTCTACTAAAAGTTTTTCTGAAAGTTTCTATGTGCCTAATGACTGATTATCTGCAGAATGCTCAGTAAAATTAGGAATTGGTGAATGACACTGAATCAATATGTATAAAGGGTGAGACATTCTTAAAATCTCTTTCAGGTCTACTTCCCTTAAGAGTCATGTGCACGGCACATTTAGTTTTTGCATTAAATCTTGTTATTTATTTTAATCATTGTAAATAATAATCACAACCCATTTTGTCCTCATAAATGTATTAAATTTAATCAACTTTTTGATACAAAATAAACTAAAGTTAATTAAAAAGGTGCAGTAATCCCATTTCACAAGATTATAGACAGTTCAGTTTTTATCAAGAAAAAAAAAGTAAGCATAATTCTTTCATGTTCCAATTGATTTTTTTTCTTCAAAAAAATATTATTAAATATTAAAATTTGTGGTTATTTTAGATAACTGATTAATTGAATCCTAGATAGCTAGGCTATTATATGATACCATAGTTTAAACAAATTGTTTATTTTTCAGGTGGCCAATGTGGGAGAAGGTGAAGCAAGAAGATATTTTGATCATGCTTTTTCTTTACGGGATACAATAATATTTCTTCGACATAATAATGAACTTTTATATGATTCTAAAAATGATATAAGTGCCTCTAATCCTATTGGATTGGATTTACTCAGATGTGAGAGCTTGCAAAATTTAGATCCTGAAACCTGTTCACGACTTTTATTAAAAAATTATAGGTATATTTTTTTTAACCAATAGTATTAATTATTTGAATTTATATATGTACATACAATAATTGTTCATTTCAATGAGTAGGACATGTTATTTTATGTTTATTATGAGTTGAAAATTTCTTGTCTCTCGCTTTTGCATCAAGTTATTTTTGACGAAAACACGTTTGTCCTCTGTTTAAGTGAACAATATAAGATGGGTAAAATTGATATTTTATTACTGATATCAATAAAATGAAAAATGAACGTTTTACCATTCTAATACTTACAATCTTAACCCTTTCAATCAACAGTCTACAACCTATAGGCAAAAGCAGATAAGTATTTTAAAAGGGAAAGAGCTGAATGTGACTATTTTTTTAAGTATTTTAATTCTTTTGCTAATTCAACATTAAATATTTGCAATTGCTTATTAACACACATTATTATCTGTGATAAAACTTAGATATATGTCATTCAAAGTGAAATTGAATAAGGAAATCTCATCACATATTTTCAAGAAAATAATTTTCCTCATAATTAATAATAATTTTTTTCATAAATAATTTTAATCATCATAATTTTTTCAGAATTTTTAGGCCAAAACTATAATTAAAGGGTTATTTTGAAAATTGACTCGAATTAACAATAAGGCATAACTACAGGCAATGGCTTGTATATTAAAACTATCTATCTTTTTTTCTGAGCCAATTTTCTCAATTTTTGTGCCATTATAAAGAAAAAAAGGCAGCACTTATGTATTTAAGTTATTGAAATGCTAAAAATATTTATATAAGGTTTTAAAAAGTTTTATTGACATAATGTTTTCGGGAATTTGTTTCACAAATCTCAAGAATTTTTTACAGTAAAGTAACAATTTTTCCCATAATGTTAAATATCATACTTATTAACACTCGAAAAATCAAGAGGATGTTTTCTTTTTGTCATTAAAATTTCTTGACCTCAATTTTATCTTATAATGGTAAAAGTTATATTTTTCCATATTAAAAATCAAAAGGGTGTTTTATGTTTTTGGTCGGTAAAAAAATAAAAAGGGATTTTTAGCGAAAATGATTTTCTTATGGCACAAAAGTTTCTTGATCTTATTATTTTTTTTTACATAATGATAAATGTATAAACTTTTCAACATAGAAAACTTCATAAAGTTTTTTTATTGGTCATTTAAAAAATTAAGAGCAGTTTTTAGCTCAAATATTTAAAAAACATATTAAGGTGAACTAACAAAGTTCCCTGATATTAGTCAAATTAAGAAAACACCCTCTTGATTTTCTCATATTGAAATATATGACATTTATTTTTACAAAAAAAAAAGGAGTTGAAGAAACTTATTCGTTTTTGTCTCTATATCAAAAAACCGTAATAGTTATTACAAGTTGTTACCTAATGTTGTTGGCAAGTGAAATTACTTTATGATTAATTTTTAATTGATTATAATATTTAATATTGATTATTGATAAGTTTTTGTGTTGCACTTTCTCTATTTCTAAGTTAAAATATTTTTTTTTCAAGAACAGTTGATTTTTATACAAATCTAGGTATCACTTCATTTCCTTACAATCAACAAAATGTGCGTATAGGAAGATATAATAAATCGAGATTTTATGAACAATATGATTTTTTAAAAATTGACTTTTAAGGAACAAAATAATGATGATTGAGGGAGAAGCATAGAGGTTGGTGAGTGGAGCCTCCTAGCACCATAAAAAATTTTGATTTATTTTGGCAGAAAACCACTTTTTATTTTTTTACTGACCATAAAAAAACACTTTATTTTTTCTACATTGAAAAAATATGGCATTTAACATTATGAGGAAAGAAAATAGAGATGAGAAAGTTTATTCTTGAGCTGCAAAGAAATCATGAAATATTTTAACTACAAACCACTTTTATTTCTTACTGACCAAAAACAAAAAACACCCTCTTGATTTTTTTTTGTTGAAAAGAATGATATTTAACAGTATGAGAAAAAAATGGAGGTGATAAAAGTTGTTGCTTCTCAGTAAAAAATTCTTAAAATTTGTCAAAAAAATTCCCCCAAAATTATTTTAATAAAACCTTTGAAAAACTTATAAAATACATTTTTAGCATTTTAATAGCTTAAATACATAGCGCTGCCCTTTTCTTTCTAATGACACCAAAATTAAAAAAATTGGCTCATAAATAAAAAAAGGTGATATTTTTAACCTACCTAACCAGTCACCATCTGTATTTATACCATTTCCTTAAATTGAGTCAATTTTCAAAATTTTCAATTTATTATATTTTTGGGTCCAAAAAATCTTGTTGTTTTTCATCATTTGACATTTTCTATAAAATATGTACCATTTTGAAAATCTGTGACATGACAGCTATTGGTTGATTTTGCTTGGAATGAGAAATATGCTTTAGACACAAAGCAACTCAACAATCAAGGCTTACAAGGTCAAAATCACTAAAAAATCTAGCTAATATTATATGTTTTCTTTGATGGGGAGGCTGTGGTGCTTTATGAATTGCTAGTGATTGAGTAGACTGTCCTTGATCAATATTATTTGATTGTTTCGTGGGAGGTTTCTGTTAAGCAATTAATTGAAAACGAATTGGAATATTGCTAAAACTCATGAGTTTTGCATTAAGACAATGTACCATCTTTTTCTGAATTATTAATCAAATTTTACTAAAACATGCAACAAATACACTTCTACAAGCACTGCATTTTCCTGATATGTTAATCTGTTATTTTATCTGTATGGTTGAAATAGCCTTTTTGTGGTCATTGTTTTGAATCCATTAATTCGGCCAGGAAAATTTTTTCTATGAACTCCAAAGGGCATTCCCAAAAGTCATTGTAAGGCATGTTTAGGTAATTGCAAATAAGGTTGGCAGAAATGTTTGGAAGTTCAAAAGGAGTATTTTGAAAAGGAATTTTAATTAAAACTAAAGATAAATTAATATCTTTAGTTTTATGCAACCACTTGGATTGTTTTATCTTTTAGAGGATTAAAAAAGTCAGCAGGTCAATTGAACATCCAAAATCATCATAGTCAGATAATTAAAAATATTTAATAGCTCAGATGTTAATGCTTTTGACTATTTAAGATACATAATTAAATTCCCGCAGTGGACTGATCGTCAAGACACAGTTCCTAATAGAACACCAAAGTCAAGCATCACTGGCTGCGGCCAGTGTGTGGGTGGGTGACCACCCCTATGGCAGAATTTTTTTTGAGCTATCTGCGACAAAACTCTCTAGCACTGATATTTTTCTGCAAGATACTTTTAATAACAAACATATATGTTACTAATTTAAAACAACAAAAGCGCTGTGTTCGCAAAAAGAACTAAATAAATTTTTTATTGAACATATAAGAATTTTTATTCTAATATTATGGGTGATGTTCTCGCAATTTGTTGAGGGAGGGGGATGCAGGAACTATTTCCTTCGCATTTTGTAAATGATCATCATAATAAAAAAATATAATTAAAAATCATGAAATCTGTAGTAGTACTTGCCGAAGAAAAGATTGGAGACGAAACCACGCGAATCGGACTCCTCAAATGCATCTTTCGTTTTGAGATTAGGCCGTTGTATTAAATAATATCGTATAAAAATATCTGATTTAAAAACTATCGAGAAATCAGCAGCAGTAACTGCCAAAAATTGTTTAGAATTATTGCCTTAAAAAGTAAATACTTAAATGCACGATTTGAATTTTCCATATTGTTTGAAATATATCGGGATATTTTAAATCCCTGTGAAAATTAATATCAATAACTGACGAAAATACAATCGAAACATTACATCGATTTACGATACTATCGGTGTAAATTGAGTACTTCAAAAAGTAATTACTTAAATACATATGTCAAATATTACATATAAATTTCTGAAAAAAGGAAATTTTGTTTATTTATCAAAAAAGAAATCTTTCTACAAGAACTCTATAACATTCTGCGACAATATCGCCGTGTCGCGGCGATTCTGTTACGGGGTGACCACTTTGATCAGCCTGCAAAGGGACCGAGGATACACGATATCGGTCCTCGTTAAACTGTTCTACTGTGAAGTGCTCAACTTCGCACACAGGTCGTCGGGCTACAAAAGCAGGGATGCCTTCCCATCTGCAGACTATAAAATTGTGATTGCATGTCTTCGGATCATCCTCAGGGATGTTTCCCAGACTGCTGCCAATAGCCCATTGTGCAGCTCGAGTGCAACGTAAACCAACAGCAACATAAATAAATGTGCTATTTATTTCATTCACCTTAGTTTATTTTAACTTATTTTAAATTTTTTTCCTTTCAAGTATACAAATTTTGATTAATAATTTTTTTAAATTGACTATGTGCCTTATTTCTGACAGCTATATAATATTTTACTTTTGATAACATAGCTGCCAACCCTATTGAATTTTCCCAATTAACTACTAGGTATTTCCAGCTTTCTCCTTATCTAATAAATTATCTTGGTTTTTATATATTATCTTAAAGTGGGAAATGTTTTGAAAAAATCTTTACCCAAAAGATTATTTGCTTAGCTTATCCGTTTTTCTCTCTGTTTTGTGTTGTTGGATGCTAGTTTTCTGACAATTTAATTTTTGCATATTTAGTTTTTGAATTTTATGCTTTTATTTCATTGATCTAAAAAAATTTGTTTTTACTGTCAAATATTTTAATCCAATAGCCTTCTTTGTTGGGGTAAGGGGAACAAAAATTGCCAGTTTTCAATGCAAGAAATAGTTTCTCAAGTTTAAAATATCTTCATATCTTAGACAAACTTATGCCCATATTTTTTGTACTAAAATTCGTATAAACTAGATAGCTGAAAATTTGGCTTAATTTTGCACTATATGTTAATAAAATAGAAGAAAATGTTAAAAATATCAGAGTTTTCTCATTGAAACACTTTCTTATTTGCATCTCAACAATGACTGTATGATGTTACAGAAAAACTAAATTTATCCTCTTTTTTATTACTGTTGCGTGTTAATTATTTTCTACATTAATAAGTATGCTAAAAACTTTTATAATGAGTAATTAATATTTTTATTTTTAAGTTTACTGATTTCAATGTCTCCATTAACAAATGAAATAAGACCTGTTAGCAGCTGCTCTCCAGCTCACCTAGGACCACCAATATCAGAAGTGAGTAGAGATTATACTTAAATTATATATACTATCCTACAGCATCTTGTGGAATGTCTAAGATAGAGTTGGGTAAAATGCTATTGATTGCAACTGTGATTACAAATAGTCATAATTTATGATTACAATGAAATAAAATTTATGATTGCTAGTACTCATAATTTTCAGTGAAGTAACTATTTACCACTATTTGAAGTGCAATTTCAATTTAATATATTTCTGCTCAGATTTCTTTATGTATATAATATAATAATGATTGTAGTTTTATGTTAAAATTTTTTTCTCTAAAAGTCTTAGTAATATAAAAAAAAAAAAATTAAAGTACATGTAAAATAAGAAATATGTATGCTTAATATCAAATGAAAAAAAAATAGAGATATTTTTGTATTATTAAGTATGCTGAAAACTTTTATAATGAGTGATTAATATTTTTATTTTTAAGTTTATACATAAATAGTAAAATATCTTCATATCCTCGGCAAACTTATGCCCCATATTAAAAGTCAGACCTTGTCTGACATCGTCAGGCATTTGGAGGATAAGCCACAGTAACAGAAGAAAATCCTTTATCTGACAGTAAAATCAACTCTTTTCATTTCTTTTTGTTTGAAATAAAGAGAGAAAAAATTCAAACTTCAAAAAATTATATTAAAAAAATTTTAGTAGGCACAAGAGTGGGAAAGTTATATTGTAAGCAGTAGAAGGATATAAAATGTTAAACTCTAACAACATTAGGTACTAAAAGTATGAAAAAAAATCAGTATTGTTAACTAAATCTGGAACAATGAGGAGGACATAGAAAGGCCACTTAAGCATTCTCAGAGTTGTGGGTGTTGTATTTACCTAAAGACGAAAGATTTTCAAGAAAAATATGAATAATTAAATATTTGAATGAAAAGAACCTCCTGATATATATTAGTAAATTGAGTTTTTACAAAATTTGTGAAAATTTTGTACAATTCTATATTTAATAAAAATAGAAAAAATTATTGGGTGGAGTGCAGAAAGAAGTCTAATTAGACATGCGATTTCGATTACAAGATTTGTAAAAAACAAACAACTGCTGCCCAGCCTGTTGAAAAAATTGCTGTGCCAGAGCATCAAACGTAATTCTTATAACTGTTTACATAAGATTTGCATAAATCAGATTATAAAAAATGGTCGCATTTGAACCTTGTTTCTTTATTTAACTAGCATTAAACGTAGTTGCTAGGAATTGCTACAAACTACTGTTTTTTATATTGTACTTCTTATTAGACTACTTTTTTTTTCAAAAAAGTGGCACACTACACTACAGGGTGAGGTAAACTGTTAATCAGTGTCTTATTTATTTGTATTAGTGTAATTTTGTTTCTAATGTGCTTTAGTTATTAAATTATCTTAAGTATATTAAATTTTTGTGATGTCTTAGTGTTTATAACATTGCTTTAAACCTGAATATTTTATTTAGATTAGCTCTGTTTGGTTCAAACTTTTCATATATTTCATAACAAAATCTGGTCCTCCTTCATTACTCTTAACAAAAGGTACTCGTCTTCGAAAACTACCTGAAGTATTTAAGGTAAATATTTTATTTATAGAAAGTTCTGAGATAGTTCTCTTACATATAAAGGCTGCAAATATTTTATTGCCTTCAAGTTTCTATCATAACATATAAATCTTCCTAAATTGTGATTAATTTATTACTCATTACACTTATTTGAACTGAATTTTTATATCAAACGCTAACTGAAGCCCACTTAAAAAGGTTTTGACACAATTATGAAACCTTTGCCTTCATTGAATCTCAGTCTTCATTCTTAGATAATGAACTTCAATCTTTAAAAACAAACTTCAAGTATTGTAAAATGTATAATGTTTTTTCATAAAAAGCTCACAAATTCATTCTCTAAAAAGGAGTATTCCCAAAAATTACTGAATTTACGATATGACAGTTAGATATTGGTACTTAATTTAATTCTAAATTATAAAATATCTTATAATTTAAATAATAAAAAACATTGAAAGACGCAATTTTACTAATTCAACACTATTTTAACTTACATAAATGTGTCTAGAAGAAGTACTTTTTCGAATGAGAATTATTTTATGTACAGTGCATAAAAAGAATGTGAACAAATCATCCTGAATAACTTCTAAGCTGATGATTAAATTTACATGCTATAGAACTTAAACTTAAAGGTTCACATAGGTAACCTCGAATTTGCTAATTAATTTGTGCAGACGTTAAGTTACGAAATTAGACACAAAAACATACTTTCTCTGGTATAGCTAAAAAGGTATGCTAATGCATACCTTTTTTTTTGTTGACAGATTTATATCCCTGATTCATATAGTGGCATATATATAGGCTAGCCTAACATATAATGGCTAGCCGCAATATGGTCCAAATAGCTTGGTCAGGAGAGTGGTCCAAAGTTTGAACCTCTTAATGTAAATTTAATTTTTTTGCGTATTTTACCATATCTCGAGAACAATTGACAAATTTTTGCACACAATTAGGAAATTCATTTATCCAAAGATAATTCTATGCAAAAAATAATTTTTGACAATTATTATTTTTTATTAATTTATTTAATAATGATCGAAACAACTTTTAATTGTAAGCTCTAGAATTTGTTATATTTAAAGAATAATTTTAAATTGCAAAATTTAAAATATGAGCAAAATTGGTCAAATAATTTCTAAGAAATCAAATTTTGACCATACAACTTTTTAAAATTCGATTTCTCAGAAACTACTTGACTGATTTTGTTCAAATTTTGTATTTTGTCTCATAAAATGTATTCTTTGAACATGATGTGCAAATTTATAAACCTTATAATTCATAATTTTTTTCTACTATTAATGAATATAATAAAAAAATAATTATTAAAATTTTTTTTTTGCATGGAATTATCTTTGGATAAATAAATTGTATAATTGTGTGCAAAAATTTTTCAATTCACTTAAAAAGTTCTCAAGACATAGCAAAACAAGCTAACGTAAAATTTATATGAAGAGGTTCAAACTTTAAACCACTCTCATGAACAAACTATTGGGACTATATTTCCCAGATTGTGGTTACTCCAAATCCTTCAGTAATCCAAATGCATCAAAAAGTACATATTTATTCAGATAAAGTACATTTTTGTATCTAATTTCTAAACTTAAAATATAGTCTGCACAAATTGACTGGATTATTTGAGGTCACCCTCTCAAATCATTAAGATTTAGTCTTTGTACATGAAAATCCAATCATTAGATTAAAAGTAATGCTGAGTTATTCGTGCACTGTACAGTGATTATTTTAGGTATTTGTTTGTGGTAGTAAAAAAATACTACTTTTTTACTTCCGTACTTTCATGTATAATACTGTTCTTAGGTTCCTACTATTAAACATAATGTCATGCCAGACCAGGGGTCGTCAAACTTTTTTGATATGAGGAACTATAACAACTAAAATCGGTTAAAATTTGCTCAAATTTTTGTGCAGCTATTGAGTATTGACTACACAAACTGTTTGTCTTACCCAAACTTTGTATTTAGTTTTTTCTTATTACAGCATATTCTTACATTAAAAAATTAACACTTTGTAAAAAAAATTGCATTTATTGCTGTCATAAAGCATAGTTATCGCAAACTGTATCTGAATATATTTTTTTAATGTTATCAAATGTCTGGAGTTTAGACTTATTTAAGAAAAGGGACTGTTGTTTTATATCAATTTTCTTATTATTCCAAATATGATGTTTTAGAAAATAATTCTTTTTGATTTCTTTCTGCATTTTGGAAACACATGAGCTTTTCTGATAAAGATAAAAATATGTATGTAAAATGTTTCATTATTCTTTAATTGCACCAGTTTGTAAAAACACAAAAATTGGTGGAGTACTTTTAAACATAAGTCACAGAATGAGCAAAAAGTTCCTAAATAAAAGGCCTTTATTTTGACTATGGAGATAAAGTAAGAAAAAAATTACACGATATAATTATTTTACATGAATGTGCCCTTGTCCTTATCTTTGTCTTCTTCTTTTCTTAAACAAGGCAGAGTTCTGGTTGAGAGTTAAAAAGGCTAATAAAGATTGTGTAAAAGTGATGCAAGCATGTCGCAATATTAAGAACCAAAAGAAGTTTTAGCATTTTAACTATTGCAAATGTTGTAAAGCTTTTGATGTGATGATGTATGCATAATTCTTTTTGGTTTTTGTATTTGTTTTTTTCCCTTAAAAGAATATTTGCTACAGAAACTTATTTAAATGTGTTTGATAATTGTTCTCATGAAAAAATTATTATTTTTAATTCAGGGTCATGAAAAGCTGTTGGTGACTACCTGGGCTCATGATCCTAGTACAGTCCTTATGTCAAATGCTTTGCCAATACTTAATGATGCTTTAAATCATTCAGCAGTACTAGTGCAGGTAAAATTTGGGTATATTTTTGTATCAAGCTTATATTGAATAGGCAATCAGCTATCTAAAATAGTATAAATATTAAAGATATTTTAGGGTATACATTTTTAAAAGTGTGCACAGGATCCAAAATAATATTTCAATTTAATTCAAAAGTTGTACTTTTTTATTTTTAAATAAAATTTTGAGAAATTCTATTTTTTTAATGAATATAAATGCTGTGTGAAAGTGAAAAATGTCATCTGTATAACACATTTTTATGTTGATATTTAATAATTGTTATAAAAGTCTTCTTAAAATACAAAAATGGAACAATTGTGTATTTTTTTTCCTACTCAAAAAGGGCTCTCACTTGAAGACAGTTTTAAGGATTCTTATAGTGACCTTAATTTTCTTTAAAACCCTTTAAAAAGTCAAAATTTATTTATAAAGCCTTAAATTTCATTCTTACTTGACTTAGTTTACCTTTTTTTATCGTATACCAATTTTCATTGTTGCTTCTAATGGAATTTTGACATTCTTGAGTTCTGCTAGTATTAAATAGACTTAATAGTTGTGAAATTCTAATAATTTTATGTGACAAAATGTATGAGTAAAAAGTTACACTTTTCATTTATGAAACCCTTATAACTTTTAAATTTTTTGTTCTATCACCACAGTTTTGATCTCATTCAACTCAACATAAAATAAAATACATTACTTTCCTACATAGTAATGTCAGACATGAAAACAGTTATAAGTACAAAACTGTTTTTTTTTTTTTATACATAACCAAATTTATAATTCTTGAACTATTAGTCCAATTAATTTAGTTTCATATGATTCTTCACAAAAAATACACCAGAAATGATGTATCACTTCGAAATAGCAATGTTTAATTTTCTCCCCACTAGTAGTAGATAAATTTTTACCAGTACCTTAAAACTTCAAAGCATACTTGTCAGGCCTTCTATATATTAGGCCTTTCATGCACCATTCTATTTTGTAATTAAACATAATATTTCTGGTGAAAATTTGATAAGTTAATTTTTTCTATACTATTTATCCTGTTACGTAATATTTATCTGATCTTAAATATCCTATTTTTAGGAAATGAAGAGAAACACTCTTACATTTAAAGATTTTAATGTCCTTTTTTCATGTAACTCTTATATAGTTTCGTTATAAAATGCATGTTATAATATCTTAAATAATGCTAGATATTTTTTAAAAAAGAAACTGTCCCCCCCACCCTAACAGAAAAGAAATATTTTATGTTATGACAATGCTATGTAGCAAAAAATGTAATCCTGAATTAACTATAAAAGTTACTATCATAATACTTTATATCTCTATTAAATTGTTTTACCAATTCAAACAATAACTTGAACTAATTACTTACAGGAGTTTTTCCAGTCTTTAAAATCAATGTGCACTTGCATTTGAAACTTTCTATTAATTTCATTAATTCTTAAATTTTAGCTAAAATGTTAAATGTTATTGTTGATAGGAAATACATTAATATGAAATGTTAAAGTTTTAAAATGACTTACTTTACTGACAGTAAAGAAGGAGTTGTTCAAATTTCCTCCCCAATATCCAATAAATTAATTTTCTGGATTTCTTAAGACTACAGTAAACAGTTAAAATTTGTCTCCGGATTAGGTTTTTGCACTAAATAATAATACCTTGCAAAATAAAATAATAATAATTATAAGTATATTAGTTTCATTAAATTAAGTGATTCTAAAAGAATCAATGTAAGCATTTTTGTGTTTTGAACTATTAAAAGAATTCTATTCTATATCTGCTAGAATAATTGATAAAACTTGAAAGGTAAATGCATTGCTGTGTGGTATACATATATACCCCATGATTGCAGATAACTTGTATAAAGTATTAATATTAGTAGAAGAGGAGACTTACTATAATAGCTGTCAAGAGAATTAAGGACAACCAGAGCTTATTTTATACAATCTCAAAACATCTCTTGCAACTATTTGATGACACTTTCAGTCCTGTAATACTGTTTTGATAAATATTATAGAAAGATTTAAACACACTAGTATGTGATTTTATATTCTTCCCTGATTTTCGCCATATTTCACCAAATATCACTTGATTTGATTAAATAAGAAAATGAAGCTTCTTTACCAACCATAGTGTGTACCTTCCAACTAGTATGAAATATCTATAGTTTCAGAAAATATTTTTTGTATTGGTTGCACAGACATTGAATTTTAATAAATTTGCTACAAACCTTTGTGGCATAAATCTCCAAGTTAGAGTTTGCCTCCATCATAGGTGCTAAAATCTTTCTAACTTCATTGTGTATTACAATCTCTAACATGTGTGGTGCAAGGGAAGGAAAATATTGATTAATTTCTTCTTTTATAACTTGACTTATAATCATTAGTCGTTCTTGATGTTTTTCAAGTCATGCAACAACAGTACAGGGTATCTGTTACACCTGGGAAGTCATGAATTTCGGTATTGAACAAAATTTGTCATGAAATGTCATGATTTTAACTATTTAAAAAAAATAATCATGGAAGGTCATGGATTTAGGTCGCCGAAAAATCTAATTTTTAAAATGGAATTTACCCCACCCCCCAATTTTATGGTGTTCCCAATATCTGAATTTGTATCAAAATCCCCATTCACAGTCATATTTTATTAAAATATAAAATGTTTTTATCATGTTCTTTAAAAATTATGATGTTCTTTCAAAAAATGAAAGAAAAAACTTCATTTCTTGACCGAATTATCTTTTTTTAATCAATTTAAAATTCTAGCTGAAGCAAGCCAGTCATTGGGGAATTTTTTTTATTCTGAAATGAGAACAGAAAAATCAGTAGTTTTTCTTTCCTTTTCGATGAACAAGAAAAGTATCTTTAGAATATATTTCTGCAGAAAAAGAGAAAAAAATTATTTGCTTTTGTATTTTTTTCAGCTATTTTATTGCTTCAACTCTTTCTTTACTCTGTTTTTTAAATTTAAACTCTATAAATATGAGGATGCAAAGTATAACAGTTTTGGTTATACCTATCATTTCCATTAATGTTATTATAATGCTTTTTTAAATTTATTATTGTGTTTTTGGCGGAAAAGATAGTTACTTCGTTAAGCCATGAACAATTCTTGGAATTAGTCATGATAAGTCATGAATTTGAAAATCTGAAATGTAGCAGATACCCTGGCAGTAACACTTGGTAGCTATTCAAATCTTTTTCGAGGGATTTTCTGTTGTTGCTATTTCTCGACATGTTGGCACCATTTAATAATAATCTCAGAGAGTTAATGTTCTTTGTAAGTAACACTTAATAAATGTATTTTAAAACACCCTTCATAAGATAAGCCACTTTATCATCCTCTCTCATATTTTAATTTACTCTGTGACACAGAGTGAGGATAGCATGGATATAAAATGGGCTGGTTTTTTTCGGAAGGCGAGTGCAAGTTTTTTATTCTTTTTCAGTGTGGTGAGCAGGTTGTAAGCTATCTGTAAATGTGGTTTTGAGATAGGTTTTAAATACTTGTTAACAAAGCTTTATTAGTTTTGAACCACTATTTTGCTGTACCATTAAGAAAAAATATGGGCATTAGCTAAACACTTTTCCTCATGCCAGTTCCAACATTGTCATATATTTTTAAACTCTATTCTCGGGTCTTGACCTGATTCTCTGGAAAATTCAGAAGATTAATGTGCCTTCACTTTAGAGTTTTCACAATTGTTGACAATCGATCACCTTCTTTCTTATTTCTTGTCTCAGACATTGTGAATTCTTTAGGTTTTTATCCTTGAAATCAAGGGCTTCTTTGTAGAATGACTTCCAGAGTTACTTATCTATCCGGCACCTTCAAATAATGTCATGTAGAAATAATGGAAATTACGCTGACAAGTAGAACAGATTTATTAACAAATTTCAAGAATGCAAAGAACATGGTAACTGCCATTTCCACTTGAAATTCGTGAACTTTTTTACAGTATAATAAGGAAAGGGAAATGACGTAAGGGAATATTCTAGAACATTCTATAATTAATAACTGAAATCTTAAATTACATATTTGCATGTTAGTAATCAGGGTAATTTGGAGAATTGAACTCAGAACCTCCAACTTGCTAGATGAGTACTTTTTACAGCCGCTTGGCCATGCTGACACTTTGTGCCAATATGTTCTGTAATAGCTGCAAACAGATTTTAAGTTTTTAATATTTCTTGTTTGAAATAGAAATAAATTTTAGCCTTGTTCAGTTGTCTGATTAGACTTAATAGAAAACTAGAAAACATGAGAAGTAAATTTGTTTTATCATTAATTTTAGAATTATGTCAGCAAAAAAGCCAGCACCCTTTTTAACTTGATTTTTACTTTTATTGTAATACTATTGTTTTATACTATTTTTATTCTATTGTGATTTATTTTTATGCTTGTACAAATAGTTATTTTTTGATGTAAGGTTAATAGTAAACTCCACTGGATTGAACTTCTCTACATCTTAATGTATCATTCTTCTTATTTATCATTCTTCTTATTTATCTTCATTTTTATTTATTTTAGGGTCAAGGTAGTCAAACAGATTTCTTTTATATCCCTTTTCCTTTTTTAGACAGTGGTAAGTGTTTTAACATAAAAATTAAAACAACTATAGATTTATTGCTTAGAAAACAATGATAAAAATTCTAGTAAAATATTTTACTTCCATACCTTGAAATAAATTTTTGAATACAGAAAGAAAAAAAAGGAACGAAAATAATTTTAAATTTTATTAAAGTAAGTGTATATCAAATATATAAAGATAGATTTAAACTTGTTTATTTTTGACTTGCTTTCATGTCCCATCAAAACTACCTTATCCAGCATTCTACACTCTTGATTACTTAGCAAAGTTAAATACTACTGCATTAAATATTGTTCAATTTAATATAAAAAGAATAAGGTTTAATTTTATGAATTATTTGTTCTGTTGTCAAATATTTTTGATAAAATTGATGTTTTAATTTTAAGTGAAACATGGATAACAGAAAACAAATTGGATTTCTTCATTATTCTAGAGTTTGATACATTTCATTGTTACAGATCATATTTTAGATCAAATGAAATTAGTGTTTATATCAAAACCCAACATGATTTCAGAGAAATTACTTATTATTTTGATTTCTCTCAAATTGTTATTTTGCCTTGCCCAATGATTTACTCAAATTAATTATACCAAGCATATTCAGGTCCTATTCTATTAATAATGAACTGAAGAATTTTTTGCTTTAAAAATTTTAAAAATATAATATTAATTGGTAATATAAACATTAAAAAACTAAACTCTTCTAAGCACAGTTATGATTATATAAATATAGAAGCAGTTCCGATTATATAGTTATTATTTTAGAAACATAAAAAATTGGTTATTCTTTTTTAATTAATATTTTTTGAACCATTTCTCGAACTTGTATCAATCATACTTTATTCTTTTATACCAATTTGCTTGTTGAAAATGCTTTTCTTGTATGATTAATCCATGTTACCATAGATCATTACCCTATCTTGTGCAGTATGTAAAGTAATATTACATCCCTACAGATCAAGACTAACGAACTTCAATTCAGTAAACTACAAAAACTTAAAATTTTTTATTAAAAAGACAACTTTAGTTTTCATTTAAAAAAGAATAAAAATAATAATTAAAAAGATAATAAATTTCTAAGTCGGATTAAATCTAAGTAAAACCTCAACGGGTTTAATCTAAGTAAAACCTCCACAGAAATTTTATTTGATATCCAAATGATAATTTTTACAGCATCACCTACAAACAAACTGTTTAAGTACTTAAATCTGAAATTAGAAAAGCTAAAAACATTTATTATCTGCAATTTTAAATAGAGCACTATCAGTAAAAAGTGGAAAGTAATAAACCAAATAATTAATCAAAGTAGTAAAAATTCTTCTCGATAATCGATCTTGATGTCTAACAAGACAATCTGCTTAATGTTCATATTGCCTCATCAAACTCTATAGTTTCTTTTACGAACATCAACTACATGAAATACTTAACATGCAACCATAATTCATTTTTTTCTGTTCTGAAATTAAACCCATTGAAATTTTAAAATTAATAAAAAATTTAAATTATTAAAAAAAGTTGCTCCTGTAACAAAACAGATATAAAATCAATAAGAATTCTTGCAAGTAATTGTGGCAATTCTTTGATACATTTATTCAAAACTAACTAACAGATAGTATATTTTGTTTCCATAACTTATTAACAAAGTGATATAAACAATTTGTCAAACTATGTACCGATTTCTGTATTATCTATATTTAAGTCTTTAAAAAACTATGTAATTTCCCAGAGATACGCTGTCCTAGGATGTACGCCCCACCCTCAAAATTTGACAAAAAATAAGAGCACCATCAGATATGTAGATTATAAAGAGCACCATCAGAGATTCATACAAAAATTAATTGCATGAATGATCACTTATTAAAGTCATGTGTTACAAATAACAAATTATATACAAAATAAATGATTAAACGTTTAACTCATTAAAATGATTATTATTTATGCAATAAATTAATATATGTGATCTTACATTAAATCAGAAATAATGCATTTCAATAATTTTCTAATTGTACTGTGTGCGATTGCACAATTCAAATGGAAAACTATCACAGCTGCATTATGTTAATAAATTTTATTTAAAATACTCAATACAATATTATGTAAACAAAGTGAAAACCTTAAAAAAATTGAAATAAGTTATTAAAATATAATAAATTGATGAAAAGAATTTTAATCATCACTTAGTTGTAATTTGATTCGAAATGCTACAAAAAATATTAAATATTATTTAATTATTATTTATTATTAAAAATTTTATTATTATCATTAAAAATATTAATATTATTTAATTAGATTAAATAAATTAGATTCAATCTATTTTGCTTAATCAAATTAAATAAAACAGATTGAATCTTGTTTTACGCATAATTGTGCTACACAGAACAATTACGAATGCATCCCGTTTCTTATTACTAATTTTATATTTACCATTTTCTAATGATAAACAGCCAAAAACTTTTGAAATAATTTTTAAAAGATATAAGGAATAAATAGTTTCATTTTATGTTAAATTAAAGTATAAAATGATGGAGAGCATGTTATATCTCTTATAAAAAATTTATAATATCCAAGTTTTAAATAAATCAAATGAATAAACAGCTAAAAATTGTTAAAATAAATGCTAAATATAGAATAAATAAACAACAGCGATCTTTAAATCATCAAAGAGAGAAAAAAAAAGCTGGGAGGAAGCCGACGTGCTAAAATCTAAGGCCTGCATTCTCCTTTTATCCGCACTCTCATCATGTTGCATTATTTTTCGTAATTATGTCCAACTGTATGATTGTAAATTTTAGCTTGCGCATAACTTGACACTTTAATGTTTATATTTGCACATTGTTAAAGTTTTCTTTATTTTAAATTTCCTTTTACAATAAATATTAAATCCTGCACTCACTGAATCTTTGATGTAGAGCTCCAAAAATGGCCTGTTTACTTTATTTGTGTTGTATTGAAATGTTTTTTTTTCAAAATAATTTTATTATTATAAAACGAAGTTCTATTAGATATTTTGTTATTATGTTTTTGAAGAACGTCAAATAAATGAAAGTTTAGACAAAGAAACCAGGAAGACTAACAAAATTAATAATGTATAAATATTTTTAAAAAAATCAAGAAATCACCAAATGTACTTTCCTTGATAAAATTTATTTTTTCCTAAATATGTTGCTTTCAGAATGTGTTAACCAATTTCAAAGAAAAATTGTTAAGCTGAATACGAAACAAAAAAACAGGAAAAAAGAGTATGCATTAACCCATTTTAAGCCAAGCATATAAATGTTATAAAATGTGCTATTATTTTCATTAAAATATGCTTACATTACATTCACTAAGACGCAAAAAAAAATTCATATATAGAAAATTATATTTTATTTAAGAAATAAAATGGTGTGCCATTCACCAAATCAATGAACAAACCATTTAGTTGAAGGCTTGCTTTTTTATGACATTTGTTTTTTTAATTTCATTTACGGACTTGCAATTTTAATCGATCATAAAAATATAATGATAAATCTCAAAAGGAATAATTATATATTTTCAAAAAATTTCATTTGTCAATAACCATTTTAAGTTAAAAAACTTTAATAGTTGAAAAATTTCTCAACAGTAAGTGTTTACTCCAATTGAATTACTATTAATTTTGGTGTGTCTTAAGAACCCTTGACAATAGCAGAAAAACAAAATTAGTGAAAAATGTGTGCGAAGATGATTGTGCTCCGGAAAAAATCCCGATTTCCGGATTTTGCACTAACTGGAAGTTTCAGGAAAAAGCCATGATCCAGAAGTTTAAAGAAATCATCAATCACATTTATGTATAAAAATTCTTGTACATTTTATTTAAAAATATTAGAACTAGAATTTATACTTGGCATCTCTTTCATTTGTAAATATTTTCTCTGGTAGAATAATAAATGTGATTAGAGATAAAAGTAAACTTATACATAATTATTCATTTAAATTATGCTGCATATAATTTATTTCGAAATTCATATTTTGAAAATATCAATGATTTAAATTTGTAAAGACATTACTTTTTTGAAATGCGTCATTAATTATTTTACTCAAGAAATTTTCAAGATTTTCGAGTTGAGCTCACAATTACCCCTGATGTATGTCACAGTGTTAATAAAAAAATATTTATTAAAATGGTGCGTTTGAACACCTCTGGCCAAAAATGGGTTAAATTTTACATTTTATGCATTGCCAGGCAGCAGTACGATTAAAACAGCAACTCCTGATTCAACTGTCTTGAACTCTGTATTGTCGATTAAACATGTCTTAGAGATATTGAGCATTACCTTTGTATTTCAACAGCATTGGCCAGTACTATCACATTTTAAATCATTATTTTGTGTTTGACTTTATACTAGCAACTTAAGTACATGTTGCAGTGCATTAAGAGTAATAAAAGCCATTATATTGGGTTAACATTATGTCAATTTTTTGTGGTATATTGTCCATCCCTACACCAAACACTTTTGTGAAAGCAATTTTTTGTTAAATATTATTTATGTGTAATGCATCTCGACAATTTTAACAAATATTTTTTTCTCAACCAGATGATGGATCTAGTGAAACCTCATTGAATATGCACCCATCAATAAAGAAGCTCATGAAAGATGTAGATTTGTTACATAGCTGTGGGTACATAACGATGATTAATGTAAAAAAATCAAGTACAGTTTTAAAAAATCAAGATAATTTTAATTTTTCTTTGGAAAAACTTAATAGAAAATTAAATTCCATTGAAAACAATGGTGAGATTCAATGCAACACAGAACCTTACAAATCCAGAATGGATGATGACAGTATTCCTTTTACTCTCAGTGATTCTACACACCTTAAAAAGGAAGAAAATGTCTTAAAAAGGGATGAAAAAGATTGGATATTGTTAGACTGTTCATTTGGCATTCCATTGTTCAATGGCCTCTTGAATAAAGAGGTTTGCGAAAGAATAAACACTCAAAAACTTTGTCATGGTTTCAGGTAAATTTTCATGTTTTCTAAATATTTACTATTATTCAATGTTTTTAAACTTGATTATTTTGATCAGAAACTGCTTTTTTCAATTTTGTTTTACAAGGTGTCTTATTAGTCATGAATCTCAAAGGGGGTCATGGAAGTTACAATTTTTTAAAATAAGTTAAGAAACTTTTTCTTTTCAAGCTCTTTTATAAGTGATAACCTGAATTTGAAACTTGCGTGCGTAAGAACATCGTATTAATGATATTTAGATCTGAAAATGGCCAAAAAATGATAAATAACTACAGAAAAGTACAATTGGAAAACAATGTTGCTTACATTGCGAACTGAGTTGTTAAAAGTTATACCTCAAATTCCAAATTCATGTGTCATAATAACATTGTATTAAGAACACCTATATTTGAAAAGCTATTAGGAAATTCATAAATACACTACCCTACAATAATGGAAAAGACACTTTTAGTTTTTGATATTTTTTTGAATTTCTGAAGAAATACTTAGAGGACTATTTTGTAAATTTAGAAGTATTTAGTTCATGCGATTTTTAATACTTTGCAATAAAGTTTAAAGTTTTCAGAGGTTTGAGGCACCGACAATAAACTACGAAAGAAAACAAGTACAGTCATCCCCATTTAATTGCATATTGGATAATTGAACAACCCGCTTATATGAATAAAATTTAATGGAACCAAATCATTCTATATGAAGCTAATGTTAAACTTTCCCGTTCAAACGAATATTTGTTATTTTTTCTCCCCTGCTTAATTGCATAAAAAAGGGGTACTGAAATGAAATTTATTTTTTATTTTTGAGAAATGTTTCACCAGCTAAAAGGGAATAATGGAAATTTTTAGTTAAAATAAGGATACAATAGATGGTCATGTTAATAGGGACTTTCTGCTCATTAGTTGATCTAAACAGGTGTTAGGGGTAAAGTTGAAAAATTAATCTAATCTTGCTGCCTGTTATACAGTGAAGTAAACAAAGGGATTTTACCCCTCTTTGACTTATTTCACTCACATATCATTTAGAATTAGAAAGAGGTACAGAGTGATTTGTTTTGTGGTCAAGACCTGTGGTCCCCGCTGGTGTGCTATTAACTTCGATAAGAAAAAGTTTCAAAAACCTAACACACTAGTGTACAATGTGTCTTTCTCTTAAGTAGAATAATCACTGATTACGCCATTGAATAACTCTGATTTGGGTTGCAAGTTGAGTGCGAAAAAGTTTGGTTTTGAATTAATTGAGGGAAAAAAAACAAAAAAAAACAATAAATCGTGGAAACCATAAATTTCAAAAAATCCCAAACTAAAATAGAGAGTTAATTTGGAATTTCTCAAGTTTTGAGGATTAGAAAGAAAATTAAAAAGTAAATAAGTAAAAATCAAAAAAATCTTAATGTATTTGAAAGGAATACTCTAGTCATGAAAGTCTTAGTAGAAGCTAAAAGGGAAAATCTAATTTTGATAAATTGACGAATTAAATGGGTATAAAAACAGTCTTCAATTGTAGATTTTTTCGGAAGGGATCAAATAATATTTTAGTACCTATATTATACTTTTCCCTAACATCGATTTATTTTATGTAACTTTAAATGACATTTTTATTTTATGATACTAACACAGACAGTTTTAATTATAATTGTTTATTGATTATTTAGTCCAAACGCTTATATTATGCATTAAATACCATTAAGAAGCAAAATTTAGCAAAAGTTTAAAATTTTAAGATTGAATATTGTACTCCCCTTTTAATCAAATAACCCGCTTAATTGCATAGATTTGACTGAAACCGATTGTATTCCTTTCAGCTGGGTTTACTGTAGTTTTGAACGCCCTATGCCAGAAAACCAAGCAATAAGCCTGCAACTTGTATTTGTTGGCAATTAGTATGTTAATCTCATCCCCTTTATTAAGTAATTCCCTATTATTTAATACTAAGTAATTTTCCTATTAAAATATATTTTAAGTTCAAATCATTAGAATATTGAATGAAATTAAAAAACTTATGCTATGGATGTTTGTTTACGTTTCCACCGGCATGGGTGGGAATAACGTAACTCTTGACGTAGTCGTGACGCCAGATAGCAGTCATTCAACTTTTAGCCTATCAGCGATCGACACTTGTCCAGGGCTTCGCTTCTGAATATAGGTTCGCTACTGAATATAAAAGGAGGTGTTTCTGAAGCAATTTTCTCTTTGGTGTTTCCCTTTTTACGTTGGGTCTACTCTTCACAATAGGTTAACTAGTCGGATGCCGGAGGGCAAATATGTAGTTAATAGTATCAGCCAGTATATCACAAATAAGTCTTTTAATTAATTGTTTGAAAATTTTTGAGATGAATAAATTTTGAATTATATTTTAAACTTAGTCTTTAATCTTAGTTATGTTTTCTATCAGTCTACTCTTTTCTTGTTAATGGGAAACAGCTGTTATACTGTACAAACAGTACTTTGGTTGTTATTTGCAATGACTGCATAAAATTTCCTTAATCTACCTTAAATAATTGTGCAGATATAAATATTTTTTATAAAAAACCAATTTCTTTTGTCTTACGATTTTTTGCTATAACTTAAAAAAATATTCAGTGAAATTAAACAACATTTTTGGAGCAATTTAAAATTAATTGCAAAATTATTGTTTTAAAATTTGAAAAAAATTTAATAAAAAATGTGCAAGATGTGAGTATTTAAAGTAGCTCTTTTGCACAGCACATGTGCAATAAAATTTTTAACTATTTTTTCATAATTTTGTATTGAATCGTGTTTGGCAACTAATGGAAAAAATTTAATTTAAATATCTTAATGTAAAAAGTTTCAAGCAATTTATTAAGTAGTTTTTGGACTGTTTAAAATAAAACTCAAAATAAGCAGGGGTTTTTCACAAATTTTATTATGTAGTATTGAAATTGCACTACCTTATAATGACTGGACAGCAGGATCAAAATTAAATATGGGGGAAACCCATTACAGTTTTGAATTTCTTAGAAAATTGCTTGAAACTTTTTACGTTTTAAGATATTTAAATCAAATTTTTCCATTAGTTACCAAATATGAATCACTATAAATTTATAAAAAAAAATAATTTTAAAATTTTTCCGTGCATGCACAGTTCATACAGAACTACTTTAAATACTCATATCTTGCGCATTTTTTAAATTTTTTTTTAAAATTTAAAAAATAAAACATGACAAAAATTTAGATATTAAACATGACAAATAACCTATGAGAGTGTGGGAAAAATGTCTATTCTTATTGAGCAAGGGAGGAAATGACTATTCATATTGAGCAAAGGGAGAAATGACTATTTATTCTTCTATGCATCTCATAATAAATGCAATCAATTGCTTTAAAAAGTAAAGTGATAAAGAACGAAAAAAATAATTGGTAATTGCTTGTTTTTATTTCTTTATAACACATATTTTTCAAAAGTCTTCTACTTATCAATTGTAGCGAAAAAATGATTGAAATTTTCATTTCGCATTACTAAAGAACGGATAGTTTTAATCGCTTCGTAAGCATCCATCCGTAAGCAAAATAAACCAAAGTATTAGCTGGTAAAATTTAAATTTTTTTTTTATCTCCACCTGTAGAAATGCAATTCAGCAATATAAATTTTTTAGAACAACCTATGTGAGTGTGGGCGAAATGACTACCCATATTGAACAAAGGATCGATAATGAGTGGTCATTTCTAACTAAAACACATTTCTTTACATTCATACCCAAGAGGCACCCTCCTAAAGTAAAAAAAAAACTTTTTATATTAGAGAACAAACGGGCTTTTGTTGTTTCCTGTAATGGCCCCTTTCCGTTCTAGAGATTCAGTTCATACAGCTTTTTTATTGGACTGCAGTAATGTTGCAATTATCAACAAAATAACAAATTATTCATAAAACTTACTCTTATGGATATAGAACTGTAAATGATCAGTTTTCTTACTTGTCAGAAGAGAAATAAATTTTCTGTTCAAATTAAAAAAATTTTTTCTAAGGGTAATAGAATTCGAGTTTATCTTAAAAGATATTTCACGTTAAACGTGCTTGTGTTAAAAGTATTATATCCGTATTCAATCTAAAGTGGAATCGAAAATTAGTTCACGTTAAAAGAAATTCACGTTAAGTGTGTTCACCTTAACTAGGTTCGACTCTATATATAATTCAGTGAAAAGATCTCCATGCAGCTAGCCAAAGAGAAGTTGTAAAAAAAAATTCCATTTGTATGCAAGGTGACAATAGAACAGGAGGTTACAAACTGAAAAAAAGTTAAAAGAAGCACAAGAAAACATAAAAAGAAGTTAAAGCAGTCATTTTGTTAGCTAAATAATACAAAAGATGAAATATTGGAATAGAGTGACACATGGAGTGAACTCTGATATAAAGAACCGAGGTTATATAAGAAATGAAAGCAAAACCTTCATAACCTGATCACCTGCCTATCTTGTATGTTGGTAGACCACTGAAATAAATTATATTTGTCTAGGAGTCTTATTGAATGCTATTCTAAACCTGTTCCAAACCTTTCAGGAGTTGACCAATAAAAGAAAAAAAAAGTCTTAATTTTTTATACTGTTATACCTGTTATGTATTATAATTTCTCTGAATTGGAATAAAAGTAATAAAAGCCAACTTAAACCCTTTTGTGATTTGCTGGTATGGGAAAGCTATTAGGGGCTTTTGTACCAGATAGGTTTCTAAGTTAATATAAAAAATTCAAAATCTGTTCAATTTCAAAATCTAGAAATGAATATAATGTTAAGTTTTTTAATTGTTTATGTGTTCTTGTCTAATGATATTTCAAGAAATTGTGTAAAATTAATATTTGATAAACATCATTAACAAAGTATGATTTTTTTATGGTTAAATTTTTAATTTTATCACTGTTCATCAGAAATAATAATAAAATACCATATATAAATCTTTTTATTCCTTGTTTAAGTAAGTAATGGTTGGAATCAAATCAATAATGTCTGTACTTGCATTATTACAAAATTTTTTATTTTTATTTCATAGCATTTTTCTTTTCTTTATCTGTTAGACAAGCTTAAAATGAGTTCTAAACTAGCATGAATTTACTCTGTAGCATTTTTAATAATTATTCAATGTGCTACAGGATTTTTTGTTTCATTTTGGCTTTAAATTTTGTGTGGATTTTAGAAGAAAAAATTCACACTTTGCTTTTATATGTATGTGATTATATGACAGTGTTTCCCAAAGTGTGGTATGCCAGGGGTACGGGAACAGTTTAGCGGGGGTACGCTTTCATACGCGAAATATCTTGCAACAGACGAAAATTTCAAAAAATTTTATTTATAAGCAAAGCTAGCCATGAAAATTTACGTTTACGTATTTTTCTATTGGCTATTTTTTGTAGTTAACAGTTAATAATTAGTGGTGTCAGTTGTGATTTTTAACTTTTGATCAATTTTTTTATAGTAAAAAATACATTCATTTTTTTATTAGAGGTACACAGCGTTAAGAAAAATTTAGAAAGGGTACACAAAAGTCATAAGTTTGGGAATCACTGTTATATGAGGAAATATGCAATAAGTTTTTTTAAAATATCCCAAACTTTCTACAAATAGTCATTAAGATTTCTTTTTTAATAGCTTGAAGAATCTAATTGCATCTAATAGGAAATTGAGTCTTCTGGTTTTAAAATTCATTTCCAATTATCAGGTAAGATTATCATTGTGTCATTTATGTTCTTAATTAAAATATTATTAAGTGAGATGTCTTTCCATTAATGTTTCCATTTGTAGTTTAATCTAAGTTTAAAACAGTTTTTTTAATATATCAGCTTTAACAACAGTATGTAACAGTAATTGTTCAGTTAGATAAAAATACTTGTAATTACTTTGCAAAGCTTTAGGCTGAATGGTTCTAGATATATTTTAAATGTGCCAATCCAAAATAAAAACACCTATAAATTAAGTTACAAAAGCAATTGCAAAAGTACACTATCTCTAAATAAACTTAAATTTTTTTCGCAAATTCAAATATTTAAACTTCAAAATAAGAGGTAGCTGTAATCTATATAATGTGGTCACCCATCTAGATAAATGGTCCATCTAGAAGGATGGATAATTTTGGTCCTTGCATGTTAATTTTCCTTTTTTTTTATATTTTAACATGTCTTTGGTACTTATATTTTGCAACTATTGTAAAGCACCATTTATATGTTTCTCATTTACACTTTTTTTATTTTATTTATGAGTCTTTTTATTGCAGTCCGAAATAAAAATTTGTGCAATGTTAAAATAGTTAATTTATATGATGAAAAAAAAAACTTAAATTATCGGTTATTCTTCTTTCTTTTAAGTACTATATAAATATTTATCCTGATTTCGAGATTTAAAATGAGGTTCTAAGAAAGAGTTTTTCTCCCCAATTTGAGCTGAGTAATGGTCATAAAAAGGTTAGGTCATAAGAATATGAGGGGTAATTTCAAGGTCACTATATTGTTTGCTGAGAAGGAGTAACATATGCACAAATGCAATAAGAAGGGCAGTACAAATAGACACTTAGCAATTTTTTTCCTCAAATGAATTTTTTTTTGCATTCTTACAGCTCTGAGAAATGTTTAGTAATATTTTTTGAATAAAAAAAAATTTCTCGAAAATGCAAAATAATTTCATTGAAAGATAAATGTAACATGTTTTGCTTTCATTTTTAATTTCTATCTCTATTATTTTTTATATTGATAATATTAAAAGCGAAATTAATAACTCTATTACATTATCAAAATTATTGTTTTTGCTGTTAATTTCTGTTAGTTTGTTCATTTTCAGTTTTACATGTTTTTATTCACACAAGATTTACATCAATGTCCTGAAAGACATATAAATGAGGCTTTACTATATTAATAGTTTTTCTAATCCAAAGAAAATTTCATAATTTTTTATATTTTTTCATTTTTGTAGTGTATTACATAATTAAGTTTACGTAAAAAATTTCATAGCTTATAGTTAAGTAAATGGTTAATTAAATAATAAAAAATAATAAAATATATTGTCAATCATGAAATCATTTGTTCCAGAATTCATTCAAAAAATCATATTAATATGGTTTTTTCATATTATGAGATTTTCCTATGTTTGATGAAACAATATTAGTCTAGCTATTTTTGATCATTAAGAAATTTGTGACAAGTGTCTGCTGGCCATGAAATATGAAGTTGCATCAGTATATCAGAATTGAATTAGAAGTTTTATTTATTTAATTTTGCTTAATTAAATGATGTTTTTATAAAAGATATGATGAAACTGATGAATTAAAATGACCCTGGTTGTAAATTTTTTTGGTTAATAAGCAAGTAAGCACATGGTTTTTGTTTCTCTGTTAAATGGGTAAGTTAATTATTCTATATAAAATATTTTGCAATTTAAAAACTGTCATTAAGGTTGAAAAAAAAATTAAATTCTAATTTTGGTTTTGACTATTCATTCCATTTTTATCAAATTTGATTTGAATTACACATTTGGAACTACACAATTATGCACAAATGGAATTACACATTTGCATTAAAATTGCTTATGCAAGAATAGAATAGTTTAAATTATAATATTGGAATATTTATATTTAATAATGTAATTTACATTTTAGTTATAAATTTTAACTATTTATAAATGAAAGTTCTTTCTATAGAAAAAAAAAGCCACAAAACCTATAAAGGTGGTATACAAGACAGTTCCAATAATTTACTCTTTATCATCTCATCACAGTACTAATTTAGTTTACAATTTTAAATAAAAAAGGCGTTTATCAATTTTTGTTAGATATGTTCTAGAAAATTGCATTTCTGCTTTACAGTTATTATTAACAGTAAAAACAAGAAGGACAGCCCTTAATATTTTCATACTAAGAAATTTATGACTAAGGAAATAGAATATTTTAATTTTGTATACCATTCTTAAAAAACTTCTTGAGTATGCTACTAAGTCTGCTGGAGTTAGTTTTTATTGCTCTGTGTTACTAACCTAATTGAATACTTTTCTTCTTAATTCAAAGTGTACCTGTATCTACTATTTTTTTTAAAAACTTATTTGTAAATTTTTTCCACTTGAAATATTAAACTTCTGTAATTGATACTGATTTGATGTTTCAGCCAATAATTATGAATCCTGATAGTGGGCGTTATTCATCATTCCCTCCTAATCGCCCAGGATGTGATATGGAACTTCCATTACCTTCCATTAATTTATTTTTTTGTGATGGTCAGTTGTCAATATGGAATAAAAAGTAATTTTATTGTTTGGTTTTGTAGTTGAATATATACTCTTTTAATGAATATATTTTTACATGCACTCTATTTTGAAGTAAATACAAAGTTTGTTCAGTCTTATTACTTGTGAAATAAAATATTTATTTTAAATAGTTTTGTTTAATTTGCTTGCTGACATTAAAAGTTATAACTTATTTTAGCTGTACATAATTTTTATATTAAAAATTGTAAACTGTTAAATTTTTTAATTTTTTCAAATGCTATTTTATATGCTTTTTTCTTCTATAGCATATAAAGTCAGCTATAGTTTTGTATTAAAACTAAATCTTTCAGTTTAGCTTTATGTACACAAGGTTATGATTTCAAATCCTGTTTAGGGTACCAATTTCTGAGTATCTAACTAATTTATTTATATATATAATTTTTTTGTGATAGGCAGTTGTGGTGTATAATTAAATCATAGCTGAAAAAATATTTAATCAATTTTAGCCAAGTGATGCTTCACTTTAATACCAATTTGAGGGTACTTGTCTATTTTGGTTAATTATTTTTATCAAATGTAACTATTTATATATTTTTATTTTTTAGAAAAATAGCTTGCACATAAAGAAAATAAAGAATAGAACAAGGAATTGAATTTACTTACTTCCAGTGATTTTGTATTGGTGACTTTATCGACAGTGCCGTTAAAATGGCATATTTAGTAATTGACAGAACTAACTTCGATAACTAATTTAGTAATTAAAAGAAAAATTTGAAATAACGAGATTTTTTTCAAATTTATATTTACATATGCGTAAAAGTTTCATTTAAAATTACACTTTATAGGTGAAAAATCCAATGGAAATATGTTGGTTCAAGGCTGCCATTTCCGATAAATAAACATGCGTCAAGATAATTACCTAGACCAAACATTGTCAGATTGTCCATAGACCTGACAAAGCTATCACCCCTTGAGCCCCAGCTTAAGTATTGGACCTTCCTTAAAGGTGGGGCCGTCTGACCCTATGCCCTTTTGAACAACAAAAAAAAAAGCATTTTGAAATATTAATATAGTTTTAAAACATACTTTGTCATAATATGTCTTATTCTTAACATTATGAATAAAATATTTTAGAATTTTATTTAATGAATAAGTTTGAAGCTATGTAAGCGTGTCACAATTTAAATAACTATCGGGAACTGCATCTTTAGCCTAATACATGTCATCAAATTCTGAGTTTTGAGTGTACAAAACCAGGGCTCCACTTGCAGAAGTTTGAGACCAAGGGCATAATTGGTATTTCAGGTGTTATTAAAAAAGCCCCGACATTTACGTAATTAAGTGGTTTTGTAAGTAAAGTTAAAATTTTTTCCTTCTTTTAAAATTTGCATAGTGATTTAAGTATTATAATAAGTGTTATTTTTTATTTTTCGTCATCAGGCTTAATTTATAACATTGTCCGTTCAGCCTACATATCTTAGATAATATGGATTTGACGCATATAACAGGAAGCATGCATAGTCTTACGGTGGGTTACATATTTTTTAATAATTATGGAAAAATGTTATTTCTATTGTTTTTTGTTTTTCATGGAAGGTTGACTGAATGTAAACACTAACAAGCTTCCTAAAACTGGAAGAAATTTAGAGAACTTCCGGTGTATCTCTCTGCATATGTTATTCTTATGAGGCGATGTATGAACAGGAGGAAGTTTTATTATTGTGATTTGTGTTTAAAATTACTCGTAATTTTACCATTCATCGGAGTTTTCTGCAATTTATAAATTCTAACAGGTTGTGAGCCTGAAACAATTTTAACAAAATAAATAAACTAAACAAAAATCAGTGGCGCGACAGCCCAAAGAGGGCCAAGGCCTACTGTGCCCATCTCAGTTTTCTTGACCTAGGGCTCTGAGGTGCAGGAGCAGATGTTCTAATCAGGTGGTCAGCCGAACACGGAACCCCTAGTGTTTAGTTCCCAAGCATGCTTGGTACTCATTTATCGACCCACTGAAGGATGAAAGGCTGAGTCAACCTTGCCCGGCCCGAGGATCGAACCAGGGACCGGTGGCACGACAGCGTGAAGCGCTACTCCTCGGCCACCGGGCGTCGGCAATATTAATATCCAAGTACAAATAAAGTGTAAGGCTTGCAGTGTTTTGAGTGTTATCCCTTATTTGGCTGTGGAAAGTAGTGCTGTTTTCTATATTTTGGGTAGCATTACAGCAAGATAGTGGAGTCTTCCAAATTCATTTGTTGTTTTTTTTGTTGAAAGTTAAATTGAAAGAATGCGTTATATTAATAACACTACAAGTATAATAATTTGATGCAATTTTTCAAACTTAGTAAAAATCAGTTGAAAGTAATAACCCGGAAGTCTTACCATGAATTTTGACTCCCAGCGCCGTCTGTTCTTAGCTTTACATTGTCAACCATCCATAGTAATGAAAAAAATTCATTTTAGTTCTTTCCCCTCAAGGGATTTGCTTTATTTAGTATACACAGGCTTGTTTGTCTTCAAATGCGCTTAGTTTATAGGTCTGTCTTCAAAATTGACCAATTTTTAAATGTAATACATAAAAAGAAGAAGACAAAAACAGACATATAAGAGATATAAGTATATTTATTATTTAAATTTTAACTTTTTGATCCATATTTTGATCTTAATTGTACAGAAATTAAATTCTTCTTTTACGTGTTAGACTTAGTGAATAGCATTTTCTGATCAGTCATAATTTTACTTTAGAAAATGCATATTATAACTAAAGTAACTAAGCTGAGGAAGCAATATTACCAATGCTGGGTAAACCTGTTTTTTCGACAGAGCTGTGTACTAAATTATTTTGCTGACTCCGAGGAGTTAACAAATGAAAAGTATTGGGTGATGCCTAGGAACTTTTTTTTAAAACAAACCTTAAAATATGAATTTTCCATAATTTTGTAACAAATGAAAAGTATTGGGTGATGCCTAGGAACTTTTTTTTAAAACAAACCTTAAAATATGAATTTTCCATAATTTTGTAACATCGTTGCTTGTTACACAGCACAAAAATATATCATGGAGGGAGTAAATATATCATGGAGGATGTAATGATCTCATCTGGTAATGATGAGTCTGTAATGATGTTTTCATGTCATTAAAAAATTGAGAAGGAAAGGCCTTTTCAGACCTCAGAATTAAACCTGGGATCTTTTCTATAGCAATGAGCTATTCTGCCATCTCTAATCCACCTTCTGATTCAGAGAGAACACACACTCTTAGCATAATTTTATAAATAATGCGTTTAGCACTAACTATACTTATGTGTGTTTTGAAAATAAATATTTCTCTTAAGTACTAAATCTATATGTAGGCATCTTTGGAAAATATGATCCTTTATTCTATTATTCAAAATTAGTTTCAACAGAATCCCATCGTTCCAATAATTATATAAAGAAATATATAATAGAATGGTAATTATATGACATTTTTAACGATACACTAGATTTAGAGCAAATAAGAAAAACTTTTTTTTTTCCTCTCTTTTTTTTAAAAATGTTTAATCAGTATTTTCAGACGTATATTAGCTTTTTTGTAAAATTCGGCTTCCATCATTTCATGAAGCCACTTTCAAAAGAAGCCTGCTCTGAAAAATATAATAAAATTTCACTAAGTTTAGCAAACTTGGTCCAAGAGTGTGTAAAAGCAATGCCGGCCCATAACCCTGAAAAGTGCCTTTTTATTTTTGCTTGTGACAATAACAATTGAAGTAAAATTCTTTACTCACTCTTGAAACATATGCAATTCCTTGCTCCAATGATTTTGAATACTAAGTTTAATTTTTCCCCCTCCATCCACTAGATTTTTTATCCCCTGGCCTAAACTATATGAAATTAGTGAGAAACCAAGTGATAAGATTTTATTTTCTATATTCGTCTCGGGCGAAATTATAATGGTTGTTTTCTAGATATCACATTAAAAACAATGGAATGCATAGGAAATATATTTATTACACATTAAAACACAAAAGCAGACTAACTACACAGAGGGAATGAGCAATATAAAATATATATTTGTTATGCCAATGTGGTCTACTCCTTGTTGAAGGCTTCCCATTCTTCAGCAGAGGAGCTTTGTTGAAGACCTAGAAGAACAGTTGTTTCACTGCTGGAGTCATCACTAAGAAAAAAGAAGAAAGGGTAGAAGGGTAAGCTACAGAAGGGAAAGGAAATATAGTTAGGTATGGTAGGAATAACTATGGATGAACCTGAGGTCATCTTCCACAACTGCTTCTTGTCTTCGTAAGCATGGGTGCATTTCTTCTTGGGAATCAGTTCTGTAAAATATATACCATACCTTAGCATAAAAAAGTTTAATCTAACGATTTGTGAAAACATTTCAAATAACTGGTGATTCCAAGATTTTATTCTGCATGGACACATAAAATTAATTTGTGGACATTTTGATTAGAGTGGACCAGAGTTATTATTGGCTCCATCTAGCTGAAAAATTTTACATTCAGCAAATGTAGTTGATACCTGTATTAACGTGTACCATTCGCTGATCATTTCAGATTATATTGGCAAGTGCTAAAGATCTTTTTTTTAATTTTTAAATTAATGAGTAATTTTTTTAATCTATTTGATTGGAAAATAAAATCTTAAAATATTTATATTTGAAAACAGAACTAAGATTTGTAAGAATCAAAATGTCATTCTGATTTAAAAAAAAAAAAAAGAAAATTTGTAAAGCTTAAGAAACCAAAAAAGTGTTTGTGAATTGTAAATGGAACCAGTCTTTTCATTGTACTTATCACTAGCCTAAAACATATGTAACAGGTCCAGTTAATATAAATATATTTCCCTTTGGACTATGTCTCTTAAAATATATAATAATTTTTATGTTCTTAGTAAGCTATAAATTTTTATAATGTTCTTTGGTATAACGTTTATAATTAACTTTATTTGTTTATTCTTTTTTTTTGGGGGGGGGGGGTTGCATGAATATCCAAGTTCAATTTTCAACTAACAAGTTTAAAAGAAAAGAACTTAAAATGAGAGTTATCCTAGGAGTAATGTCCTATAGTCCAAGTTAAAACATATGATGGTTCAATGTCCTCTTTCAGATTAGCGAATTGTATAAATTTATTCATTCTAATTTTTACTTAATTTTTCCAAAATGAGTAAATAAAATAAAGGATAATTTGAAATAAAGAAGTAGAAATGTCGGTTATTTTTCTGTTCTGTTGCTTAAAAATATAATTTTTATTTAAGTTTTCCTAAATGAATAAATAAAAAGTAATAAAAATAAAGGATAATTTGAAATAAAAATTGAAATTTTTATAGTTTTATTTTATGGAATTTAAATTCCCTTAGATTTTTAAACATGTTGAAAAATAAGATCTTAAAACAACCATTCTAAATGAAAGTTTTATTATTTTAATATATTAAAATAATTTTGAATTTTAAGATATAAAATTAAAATAATTAGTAGTAAATTGTACCAAAATCTAAAGTTTGAAATAAATGAGCTAAATAGTTTTTGAGAATTAACAATTAAAATATGACTTATTATTAAAAGTAATAATTTGTTTAATTGGTATTTCTCACGAACAGTTTAAATGATATATTTTAAGTTTTGGTGCAAAAAATAAGTAATTAAACATGAAATGAGAATTCTTATATGTATTTTATTATTCAATATTTTTCCTATTTTGTACTAAAAAAACTGTTTACGTCGATTTATTGTCCTAAAATTATATTGAGTATATATAACTGTGCAAAAATCTTCAATTTGTAAAATTAATTGGGATGAGATTGATTCGAACTTCAAGATATGTTTGGAACTTCATATAGTCGAGGACCTAAGAATACACAATTGTTGCCACCTTATGTTATATTTAGAAAGTTTTATGAAGCTACGTAACTTGATTTTGTTAAAATGTACAACACTGCTTTATAAAGTAACTCATTGGGGTGAATTCGTTCTACAACGGAGAGAGCATTATAGTTATAAAAGTGCATGAGGTGATATATATATATATATATATANATCTATATATATATATATATATATGCATACAATGCTTGGCAATTGCTAAGGAACAACTGATTTATGTAAAGTAGCGTTCCCGACAGTCCACCAATCACCGTAAAATCAAGCACAGAGAGCGTGGTAGAGCAGGACCCTTTATCTGTATAAAGGATTGTGTACACAAGCTCTTCATTCATTTGTTAACTCATGCATGCTGTTAGGTGTTTAACCAATATAGAGCCGTAGGTTGTTGAACTTATTTCTGTGAAATTCAGTGTTTCAATAATTAAGTGGAAAATATCAGCAAGACATCATTTGAGTGTTTACAATCGTGGAAGAGCAGTTGGAGTACTGGAATCAGATTAAAGTGTCACCAATGTGGCAACAGAAATGGGAGTGTCAAAAAGTGCCATGCGATTAGAAAAGGCCACTGAAGCTGAAAATGCTATGTGAAAGCTTGCCGGTGGTCATGATACGATCACCACTCCTCAGGAGGATTGATATGTATCCCTAGTGTTGAAAAGGAACAGAAATGTCACTCGCAGCTGCAGACCTTGCAACCACTACCGGCACACAGGTTTCTGCCAGATCAAACTCACAGTGATTAAATCAAGTTGGTTTGTATGCATGGATGCATTTCGCTCAAACCTTGCCATCGTCGAGAAAGATTACTGTGGCGTATGAAACGTATCGCTTAGTGTTAGCAACAGTGGTCCAGAGTGATGCTCTATGGCGAATCCCGTTACACTGTCACAAATTTTTCTGGCCACCATACAGTATAGAGAAAGAGGGGGATCAACATAACAGTATATTCACGAACGGGATGGATGTGACCCCGGCGTGCTGGTGTGCAGGCATCATATCTTTGAGAGAGGTAGCGCTACATTCCAGCATCATCGCAGAGAGATTATTCTTAATCATGTTTGTCTTTTTAGAGGTGAGGTAGGTCCAGAATTTCTGTTTATAAACGACAATGCGCGGCCACACAAGAGCGCTGATGCATTAGGCACACTATAAAGTAAAGGTTTTGTCCTTATGCAATTGTCTGCGTACTCCCCGAACCTGAATCCTATAGAGCCTACCTGGGATGCCCTTGGCAGGCCTTTTTCACGAAGATGCTCTCTCCGAATTGAGAGAGGAGTGAGGCACTATCACACAAGGATACCCCGATAGTTCAATAGATAGCATGGTTAAAAGATGCAAAATATGCACCAGTTTCCGAGGTAATCATACTTCGTCCTGAGATACTCATACCTGTTTTATTCAGGCAAGAGGAACCATTTTTCTTGGTTGTATGGAAATCGTCTAAGTAGAATAATTTTTAGATTTAATTTTCATATTTTTCGATGTGGCAATATTTGTACCATTTTGCATTATGATAAATGCTCATTGTCTCCATTAAATATGTACTTAGTATCATTTCTTCAATCAATGTTTATTAATTATTATTCCGAAAAATGTAACTGTTCCTTAGCAATTTTCAAGCAGCGTATATATATATTATTTCGACATATTTATATAGACAGTATGCACAATTGAAATAGGCTTCAAACAAGATTATACAAGCACGCAGGTATACTTATATTTTGGAAAAAAAAAATAGGCTGAAAAAAATTGATTCATGGTAAAGTAGCTAGGCATTTAAATTTTTATAATAGACCCTCAATTATCTGCGAGTTCCGCAAAGAAATCGAAAATTATATTGCACGTGATTCATAATTGACCTCGATGGCCGAATCGAGCGGAGTGCAACTAAGTATTTTTAGGTATAAGCATTTTTATGAAGTATGTATGTACTATTTTTTCCCATTACTTGTTTGCGTAATTTAGACGTTGCACAAAGATTTCTGTTGTATGTTTAAAACATGTATAAATTCATTTTAAATTTATTTTTAGTGTTTCCACCTTATTTTTTGAGTTTTTTCGTATTGTCCGTGGTGCCTTTTGTCACCCAATTCAGCCGAAAATCAAAGTTTTACTGTACTTTAAAGGTTCTTATATGTAGCATTTCTCTCAACAATATATCATCACGGTGCTACCATGAATTGAAAAAACACATTGAGTAATTCTTAAAATTTGAGCATATTATAATAGTTTTCAGTAGGAGTATCATGCTTTATGTATTTTATATTTCTTCATAAGATGTATTGTTATTAAATAGAGATTAAAATACGAAACAGTGACTACTTAAACTTTAAACCAAATATGCTTTCTCAAAATGGCATATTGAGTCAAAAGCATACCATTTAAAACCAATTACTTAGTAAAAAGAACATTTACTTCATGGGCTTTTTCTTTAATTCTTTAGTTGACTCAGAACGCTCCATTTTGTGCCACTCCCTAAAAGTCTAAAAATAGAGTAAGAATCACTGAATAGAATAATAAAAGAATGATTACTTTTACATAAATTAGGGCAATTACTTTGGTTTTAACATTTTTTTAAAATTGAATTAGATGGTATTTCAACCTTCTACGAAGATGGATGAAGTGTAAATCAGATTTTTTTTAATAACTAAATATTGAAATATTACTTACAAAATATTAAAAAAAATTATTTTTCAACATAATTTCCTAGAATTTCTGCACATTTTTCCCAAAGTTATGTAAGTTTTTTTAAAGTTTTTTTTTTTATCCCGGTGGCTAGAAAGAAGTAGGCTGTGTAGTGAACCAATTGCGCAGAAAATCTTCTGCCTTTTTATTGGATTAAAATCTCTTTCCTTTCAATGCTTTTTAAGGGGTCCAAATAAATGGTAGTTTGTGGGTGCTAAGTCTGAGCTATGCTGAGGGTATTCAATTAGACTGGGCTCTTAAAAATAATGTTTCATCTGAAAATGAAGTCGTGTTTAGTCATGAAGTAATGGTTGTCTTAATATATATTTTTAGAATTATCTTGAAAAAAATTAGTAAAAGAGCGATGTTCATTATTTTTAATAATTTTAATATATTATACTATAAGTTTATGCGTTTGAATCGATTGCAATATTTCAAATATAGAAAATGTTTATATTCTCTAAGTATATTTTAGTTCAGGGCTCCCTTAAAATTTTATGAATTTATAGATCTTGGTGTAAAAAGTGTTGAAAACCCTGATCAAGGCCTAATTATCCCACAGGTCCACGGGTTCTCGGCACAGTGTTTAAAGAGGCCCTAAATGCCTGTTATTAATATTTACTTTAACAGTATAATCTTTGATGTGCTAACTTCTACGTGTTGTTAAAAACATCGTTATTGGATTTATTATTAATTACTTTAAAGAACATGTGGCGTTGCGGTCTGAAATGCAAAGTCCGAACTACGAATCTCTGACGTTGGACTACGTCGCTTGCAGCCGATAATTGACGTAAACCTCATATCTGAATGGAGATATGCGTGAAGGGCGAAATCAGCAAAATGCGCACAGTATGTTTTGGATATAACTTGGCCGCATCCCCACAGCTTGCTCTCTCTCCCCGTCGGTTCTAGCTAGCAGTCCCGCATGTTCTCGCCGGTTACCTTTTCGCAGTTTTTTTCTATGCTGCTTCAGTAGTAGGCGCCTCACTAGAGGGGACGGAAGTGACGTCACAGTCAACCGGTGCTTATTTCTGCCTCAACCGGAAGTTGCCTATTCCTGCCCGCCCATAAACCGGAATTGACTTATTTCTGCCCGCCTACAACCGGAAGTTGCTTATTTCTGCCCGCCTGAAAATCGAAACTTCGTCTGCAGCGTCATGGGGACCTTATTTCTTTTTTTCTTAAGCCTAATGTATTTTTAGTTTCGGTTTCTGTTTTTAATTTAGTTTCGTTTTTTTAAATATTATTTAATTTATTAGTTTTTTGAGGGTGGCAACACTTATTATTTTTATTCTTAGTTTTTAAGGATGGCAACACTTGTAAACTTTGTTATTTGGGGGAGATATTGAATATTATGATGTTATGACGTCATCTTTTATTACATTATAAATAAATGATACCATGCTTTTGATCTAGTGGCGCCATCTATGTGGGAATAAAATAACTTTAAATCTATTTTATTATTTAAATCTGTTTTTAATATTATTTAAATCTGTTTTTAATAATATTTATTAAATATAATTAAGGCTGAGGATCGAACTCACGCCATCAAAAAGCCTTCGTGGGTCAGTAGTTGGATATCATATCCACTGACCCACGAATGCTTGGTTAGATATGCGTTAATAAGTTAAACTTTTGTATTTTGAACACGTGTATAAATGAAAAAAGGATTTGATATCGATATCATCCTACAGTTTAATCGATATATTTAACACTTAACCTTTGACAGTTATTAAATAATTATTTCTGCCCCTCTTAATGTTATTATAACTTTCTCTGGATGGCAACGGTACTGACCATACACGTGTTAAGGTTAAGGACGTTTTTAAATCAATGGATATTATTTTTATAAGATTAGATATTTATCAATTAAATATACAATTGCAGATTTTATTTTATTACCGTCGTTCGGATATACGGCTATCAATATAGTCTTTGTCATTATTGAACCCAGAAGACAAGAGAACCCCTAGCTCTTGAGACAATACATGTCTTCGAAGTCTTTATGCGTGTCTATTTTTTCACATATCTACAAAATAAAATAAACGCTATTTGAATATCATACTACTTTAACATCAATGAATTATTAAAAAAAGTTAACTATAACTATATCCTATCCTATATCGATAACTATATCCTCATGTATATGGATAATTTCTGTCCGGGACGTATGGGTTTTATCTGTATTTCATTAGTTAATCACAATTGTTAGGATGTAGCTTATCTATATACATGAGGATACAGTTATCGCGGCCCTCTCACGGTCTGTCAATATCCGTTAATATATAGTGAGATAGTTTTAAATTCGACAAGTAAATTTTTATCATTATTATAATATCAAATAAGAAAATTAAAGTACTTATAGGCACAATGAATTAATTACGTAATAGTGTCCTTCATTAAAAGCAAATGACGAAAAAACTATACGAATTCTAAAACGAATAACAAAACTAGTGTTAGTTGTTTTCTATTATTTAAAACATTATTATTTTCTAATATTTACTTGAATCACACTTACACTACTCCGGATTTATAAAAATATTTTTGTGAAAAAATAGACACGCATAAAAAGAATATGGTTCAACATTTGAAAATTCACTCAAATGAAAAAGACATTAAATGTCATTTATGTGATATGGGGTTTAATCGAAAGTGTAACTTGAGTAGACATTTAAAAAATCATGAAAAATCGAGAAACTTTTGAATGTGAAGAATATAAAAAGACCTTTTTCGAAATGATAATTTAAAGAGACACTTACTGACTCATTTAGTTTCGCATAAGTTTAATTTGTGTAGTAAATTTTTTAAGTCAAAATCTGATTTACTCAATCATATCCGATCCATTCACACACCGTCTTGTTCAAGAAAAAAGAAAGATCATTCCACAAATAACAATAAAAAGATGAAAAAAAATTGTGAAAATGAAATTGGAAGTGTTTAAGAAAGAGACAACGAGAATTAGGAAACTATGAAGTTGTGTTCGAGTCCCACATATGTCAAGCTTTTTGGAAAGATTTTTCTGCTAATTCATAGAGATAGGAGTATGGATGAATTTTGTAAAAAGTAGTATTTGTCCTTGTCCCGCACTCTGAATAGTTCATTGAACCATCGAATTCTCCTGCCTTTATGATTTAAAATTAATGTTTAAATGATTTTATAGAAAATATTTATTGATCTAACTTAAAGTAATCATCTTAAAACCTGAACGAGCTAGGAAATAATGTAGCATTTTTTTTTTTTTTTAACAAAATTTTATATTTGTTTCAGAAAATATTACTATATGTTTTATGAATATATGTTTTTGCAAAAAATTTTCTCTTTTAAGAAAATATTTTAACTTCTTGTTAAAAATTTGCAAGTTTTATAAAAATATTTCAAACTTTTTAACAAAATTTTCTACCTTTTTAATAAAATATTTATGTTCCTTACAAAAAATTTTCTCTTTTAAGAAAATATTTTTACTTTTTGTTAAAAATTTGCCAATTTTATAAAAATATTTCAAACTTTTTGACAAAATTTTCTATCTTTTAATAAAATATATGTGTTTCTTACAACAAATCTTTTCTTTTAAGAAATTATTTTAACTTTTTGTTAAAAGTTTGCTAGTTTTATAAAAATATTTCTAACTTTTTAATAAAATTTTCTATCTTTTAAGAAAAATATTTATGTTTTTACAAAAAATTTTCTCTTTTAAGAAAATATTTCAAACGTTTTAACAAAATTTTCTATTTTATCAGAAAATATTCATGTTTTTACAAAAAATTTGTATTTTAAGAAAATATTTTAACTCTTTGTTAAACATTTTCTATCTTTTAAGAAAATATGTATGTTTTTACAAAAAAATTTCTCTTTTAAGAAAATATTTTTTACTTTTTGTTAAAAATTTGTCAGTTTTATAAAAATATTTATGTTTTTGCAAATAAAACTTCGAGTTTGTCAGAAAATTCCACATATTTTTCTGAAACTTTTTGTATGAATTATTAAAGAGTGCAATTTTTTCTTGATAATATAAACTTTTTCACATGTGAAAATGCTCAATAAAGACAAAATATATTTTAATAAAATAAATAACATTTTATTCAAAGTTTCATCCAACCACTTCTGCGAGCATACATCATATGTTTCTTAACAATTTTCTGAGAAATAGTTGTATTCCCACGTTCTATAACAATTATGAAGCACTATGTTATACTTTTTATTTTGCCTGATTGATAAAATGTGGATAAACCCCAACCGTCCCGGACAGACATTATCTTTGTAAAATTATGTGCGAAAATAGATAACATGGCTCTCCCAAGTTCTGTAATCAATATCCGTTAAAGGTTATATACTTTTGAATTTACTCGTATTTTCAAAATAAAGTAAGTTATTTGCATTATTAAAATATTAAATAATAATAAAATGAATATGTTTTGAATATAAGTGAGTTTAAAACGGCAAAAATTCGCATTACATGTTTCTTAGATTTAAAACAATTTATTTGAAATTTTAAGTAAATATAATATATAATTGATAATATAAATATGTCGTTACTCATTTTCTAATAGAAAATAAAATTAAAGTTATTAATGTATTTATTTTAATAAAAATATGATTGAATAAACACCGTAGATATATTGATATATATATATATATATATATTATTTTTTAATTAGATAATAATTTGTTTAATAAATGATTTATAGAAAACTAATAAAATTTATATTTCTTAAATATCTAAATTAATATGTGTTGGAGTTCTTGCAAAACTAAAAATTAAGTGAAATCAAAGGCATCTGTCCAGTTTTCAACTAACAACCATTCATTGCTAATATCATATTCATTTTTTCATCATTAGTGTGATTGCGTAATAGATTAATTAAATCATAGATTATAGTTTTGTAAAAATATTTCAAACTTTTTATTAACATTTTCCAGTTTTCAGAAAATATTTTTTATTTTTGTAAAAAATTTCTAACATTTCAGAAAATATTTCTTATTTTTATGAAATTTTTCTATCTTTTAGTAAAATATTTTTGCTTTTTGTAAAAATTTTCTATCTTTTAGTAAAATATTTTTGCTTTTTGTAAAAAATATCCTTGTTTTGTAAAAATAATTCAAACTTTTTATTAACATTTTCCAGTTTTCAGAAAATATTTTTATTTTCGTATAAAATTTCTAACATTTCAGAAAATATTTCTTATTTTTATGAAAATTTTCTCTCTTTTAGTAAAATATTTTTGCTTTTTGTAAAAATTTTCTAGTTTTTAAAAGAAAGTTATTTATATTTTCTAGTTTTTTTCAGAGAATTCTATATATTGTTCTGAAACTTTTTTTTGTATTAATTATTAAAGGGTGTACTTTCTTACTGAATAGGATAATAATAGGTAATATTGAATAGTTTAATAATAATTACAGTCATTTATATCAACTATACATATATCAAAAAATAACTAAACTTCTAACATTTTAAGTATAGATGACACCATTAGAATATATATAAATTGATAACATTTATTTTATTAAAACCTTAAGTTTTTCCTCTGATCTCTGTACATTCACAGGATACTGGTTAACAAAAACCAAGCCCACTACTTGTCGTCGGCCTAAGCGTATGAGGTTTTCGTGGTTTTCCTCTTCATATAACATGCGTACTCACAAAGTCCACTTCGAACACATGCATTGTCTCAAGATCTAGGAGTTCCCTTGTCTTCTGGGTTCAAAAATGACAAGACTATATTGATATCCGTAAATCCAAACGAAGATGATAAAATAAAATCTTATAAAATAATATTCATTGATTTAAAATTAATAAACCTTTAAGTCTAATACTTTTAATATTCACAGTACTAAATAAATAAAAATTTTATTTTTATATTGAATTAATTTATTTTAAAATGCATTCATTAGTATTGATTAGGTTAATAATAATTAAAGTCTTATCAACTATATTTATATTAAAAAATAACTAAAATTAAGAGTTATTAATATATTTTCTTTTTAATATTTAAGTATAGATGGAGCCATTAGAATAAAAAGCATGTGCATGATATCATTTATTTATTATGTAATAATTAACACGTGTATGGTCTGTACCGTTGCCATCCAGAGAAAGTTATAATAACATTAAGAGGGGCAGAAATAATTATTTAATAACTGTTAAAAGGTTAAGTGAAAAATATATCGATGAAACAGTAGGATGATATCGTTATCAAATCATTTTCATTTATACACGTGTTCAGAATACAAAAGTTAAACTTATTAACACATATCTAACCAAGCATTCGTGGGTCAGTGGTTATGATATCCAACTACTGACCCACGAAGGCTTTTTAATGGCGCGAGTTCGATCCTCAGCCTTAATTATATTTAATAAATAATATTAAAACAGATTTAAATATTAAAATAGATTTAAAGTTATTTTATTCCTAAAATTCCCACATAGATGGCGCCACTAGAGTAAAAGTATGATATCATTTATGTGTTATGTAATAAGAGATGACGTCATAACTTCATAATATACAATATCTCCCCAAATAACAAAGTTTCTAAGTGTTGCCATCCTTAAAAACTAATATTAAAAATAATAAGTGTTGCCACCCTCAAAAAACTAATAAATTAAATAATATTTAAAAAAACGAAACTAAATTAAAAACAGAAACCGAAACTAAAAATATATTAGGCTTAGGAAAAAAAGAAATAAGGTCCCCATGACGCTGCAGACGAAGTTTCGATTTTCAGGCGGGCAGAAATAAGCAAGCGGGCAGAAATAAGCAACTTCCGGTTGAGGCAGAAATAATCACCGGTTGACTGTGACGTCACTGCCGTCCCCTCTAGTGAGGCGCCTACTACTTGCTTCAATGTTAAAGTGGTTAAGTTTTATATATGTTAGAACGTTTTAGTTAAATTTACAAGTTTCCTAAATGTTAATAAATATAGTTATTTATTTAAACTTAGTGTTATTTATGAAGAAACCTATAATCCGTTCTCGGAAACATTTTCATGTGGAAGGCTTTTTCTAGAGTTAGATTTCTTTTTAGAGTTTAAGTGGGGACTCTAACAAAGATACTAAACAACCCACAAACAAAAACTATTCTGTTTCCGTGCTTATGCTATATTTATATGAATAATAAAATTAGAGTTCGATGTTCTTACTTATTTTCAAAAATATTATAAGTATTCTATATAAGATTCATAATCCAGAATTTTTTTATATCAGAAAGAGGTAAGCTTTGTAAATTTTTTTAGATATTTTTCTAATATTTTGGGCTTTTTTAAAAAAGAGTAAGGCTGCTTTTTTTTAATTGAGACTTTTTGCCTTTTAAAATGAATCGCGGCGCATTTCTAAATGGGGCACTAAAAGGAAATGGGCCAAAATTCACCCTGATATTAATTTATAGATCTTTTGCAGTTTTAGATGAATGGCTTTTGGGTAATGGTGTAAAAAAGTTTAACCCATAAGTATAAACTTGCCCTAAGTGACCATTTCCATTAACTTAAAAATTTTTTCGCATATGAATGAGAACTTGATTGGTGAAATGTATTCACCCACAAAAAATTTGCTAATCAAGTTCTCTTTTCGAGGCAGTTTTTTTTTTGTATGCGAAAAAATCGCAGGCTGTTAGAACGGTTCTTTAGTCGAAACTCAATTTTTTAAAAAAAATGTTTACCTTTTCTGGTATTCTTGAGGTATTTGTAGATTGCAGGGATTCAGAGGAAGAAGATACAGCAGATCTAGAATCGATTGTTGCAGAATCACCATTGCTTTCTGATAATGAACTTTTTGGACCGCTGCTGTCTTGAAAAGGCATGGGCGATATTTTATGTCCTCCCGAATCATGTCTCTTGACTCTTCGACTTTTTTGACGAGATTCGAAGGATTCATCACTTTCTGATGAACTCAGGCGAGACCTTGTTTCGTCTCTTATTGGAGTACCAGCTGGTGATATGACAGGCCGATGTTTTTTAGATTTTTCTCCTTTTCTCAAACTTGTCCTTGGACTTCCTTTTATGCAGTTATTTTGAGTATTATTTATTGAGCAAGTGAGTAGGTCTGGTTTTGAAGAATCAGTTATTATTGGTGAGTTTGGAGGGGAGTTTATATCTCTACTTCGGTTTTTACACTCAGAAGTCTCCATACTAATACCTTCATCATCAACAGAGTCATCTGTACTTGTTGTTTGATAAGAATTTCTTTTACAAAGCATTTTATGTTTGCTTGCAGTCCATACTGGCAATTTTTGTTCGAACATCACGTTATTTGTGTGATTTTGAGTATGGCAATGGCAAGCAATAGTAGGTGGAAATACAAATGTTTTATCACTTCCTGTAATATATGTCATTTGAACTTCATGAGGTTTTTTAGGTGAAGTAAGGTCCATTTTTCGGTTCGGATGAAGATTGTGCTCTAAGTCATCTGTTATAGGGCTACTCGAATTACAACGAGATAAGCCAGGACTAGATATAGAGGAATATCCAGATGTACTTAAATTAGATTCAGATATAGTCCTATCTGATGAAATTACTGCTAATGGACTTAAATACATCATTGATTTATTTGGATTCGGAGTCCTAGGAGGACTAGCTTCATCCGAGTCACAAGAACCCATATTAGAAGTTATTAAAATTTTTGGCAAATCAACTGAATACTTTCGAGGTTGCGTGAATGATGGGATTTCTCTGTTTTTTTCTTGTTCATCGGATTCCGCAGTAAAAATATGGATTGTGGGTACAGGCACTTCAAGGTAGGAACTTTTTCTCGGACTTTTATTATTGCTTTCACATTCGGAGTTTTGTTTTTCGTCTGAATCACAGGGGTCTATTGTGATACAAATTGCGGGTGGGTTTTCAGTCGGTTTAACAGTAACTGCATCAGTATCGGACGCCTTATCGGATTCTATCGCAATGGGAGAGACATCTGCTTGTATTTCACTTGTATTAGGTTCTCCATTAATACTTTCTGATGATGACATATACTCAAACGATTGCTCTTGAATTGATTGAATTTCAGAAAATGACTGTCGAAAGGTAGATATGAAACTTGTTTCCTTTTTAGCACCTGCAAAACAAAAGGTCAATCATAAAGTTTAATCGACACACACATTTCATTTTACAGTTCTGTGACAGAAAAAAGTGGTTTACTGCCATCTGACTCTTCTGCCGAGCTATGTGCACCAAAATTCATTTTGCCTTCTCTTAATCTGAAGAAATCATCCAAACTAACTCGGCGAGTGTCTTTGTTTGAATTTATCAGGGATGCTAAAATTCGAGATTTTTCTTCTTCTTTTTTCAGGGCTTCGTCTTTCGGTGGTTCATTTGAAGAAGTCGTTGCGCTAAGGGAAAAAAAAATTCTGTAACTAAGCTCCTTTGTTCATTTAGCTCTTTATAATTAGTTATTAGAATTTTAAAATATATTCTTAAATAAAAAGGGACACTGAAATTTTAGTTTTTGATGATGAAGGCCTTTTACAATTACTGTTAATGCAAAATATGTAATGCTGCATTCCAGTTACAAAATTCTTTTCTTGTCAATGTTATGATTTAAATGTAAAATATATCTTAATATAACAGGTTTTTTTTCTACAGCAAAGTTATTTTTACAACTTAGCTATTTAAATTTCAAAAGTTTCTCAAGACTAACTTCTGTTGTTTCTACTGTAAGTTCAAAAGATGATCACCTTGAATAACTTTTGATCTGATGATCATATTTTCATGTTCAAAGATGCAATTTTAATCGTTTAAGATATTGATTGACAAATTCTACTTGTTTGTATTGTGGTTGTATGTTACCTGTTTGATTGTATTATAAATCAGAGACAAGAAGAACTTTCTTCAAATAAACATATTTTCTCTTAACTGTAGGTTGAATTAATGTTTTATATAATAATTTTTTTTCCATAAAAAGCTCTATTTGCATACATTAAGCGACCCTGAACGAACCTTGAACAACTTGTCACGAAGTCTAGACATTGAAATATTAGCCTAATAAAATTTTATCTTGAGCCAAAAATTCCTTTTTTTTTTAAATTTTAGTTAACAGGTTTTGCATTTTAGAGGAAAAGAACTGTCATATAAAAAGATAAATACTTTATATTTCATTCTAAGTACTTTTTTTTTATAGTAACAAGGTTGTCACGGGATATTAGCGTTTTAACATAAATATTTCTGTATTATCAGCGTTCGTTTAAATGGTATCTTAAAAAAGAAATTCTTAATTACCTTGTTCCCGGTGTAGATGTTTTATTTCTTTTGGATGAAGCCCTTCGAAGAATGTTATCAAATAGAAATGATCGGGATTGGTCTGGTGTGGGACTAGGACTACAGGAAATGCTAAGAAGGCTGTTCTTCCGAATACGACTGATAAATGATTTTGGACATGTTTGCGGACTTTCAGTTCCTGGGGTATGTTGATTTGAACTGCTCAAACTGTAACGTCCTGCTGGTGGTGAAGGCTCTGCAACAACAGCATATTACTGAAATTAGATATATATAAAAAGAAAAGAGAGAAATACTAAGCAATAAAATGTTTAAAATATAGAGAAAACATAAAAAATAATAAAGATTAGGAAAAGAGAAAATGAAAACTAACTAAAATTAAATATTTTTAAAAAATATTTAAAAAAAGGAATTTGCTTAAAAAAATTATTAAGGAGTAGGAAAACAAAATAACGAAAAGATATAATCTCGGCATCAGCTCACACGATCATATCCGCAAAAAAGAGTGCTTTCTAATATGGTATTATTATAACCAAAGCAAAATATATCAATACAATAGTGTGAGGAGTACTCAAAAAAATTTAAACGAAAATAGAACACATTAGGTAAAAAAATACAAAATAAAACAAATCATGCAAAAAACAGAAAATAAAATGTTAGAAAAAAACAGAACGAAACAGAAAACGTAATCTATAAAGCGAGTAGATAATTCAAATGAACTTACACGTACCATAATCTTTCAAGAATGATTTGAAATATTTTCGTAATAAGACTGCCAGATTACAAAATATGAAAACAGAAGCGTAAATAGAGTTTGAAGCCTAAATAAAGGGATCTTTTATGGCGCGTTTTTACTGCAGTACTGAAGCAAGTTCGATTTGTTAGTTACCTTGGATTGGCCCGAAAATGGATGTGCGCAAGGTAATAATATTATAGGTTATAAGTTCAAAATGTAGAGAAAACATGGAAAAAAATTACAGAACAATGAAAAAAGGGAAAAAGAAAAATAATAAAAATCCGAAAAGAAATATGCGAAAAAGGGGTGAATTAATAAAAATCCGGAAAATAAAGGATGTAATCTTTTCATCAGCTCAAACGATTATATTCACAAAAGGGAGTGCTTTCTAAATCTGTATCAATATAGCCAAAGCGAAATACACTGGTTATCATAAATTAAGGAAAAATCACAAAAATAGCGATAACTCTTTCAAAAGTAAGCCAAACCGTGCAAAATTTGCATATGTTGTCCACTAAGAGTAGCTGAGTAAAATTGCAATATGCAAATTAGTGGCGCTGCACTCGGCTTACGTCATCTGCCTGGAGCATAAAAGTCCAAGTTTGAGAGAAAGCACACAAATTTTACTGTGATTGCGACATTGAAAATCTGAGATAGCCAATTCGTAATAATGACCTCTAGGCATCATTTGCCTGAAGAACTACGATGGAGAGCCATCGGGAGACTAGAGGCAGGGCAGAGTCAATCAGAAGTGGCCAGATGGCTAAATGTGAGTCCATCTGTGGTTCATAGACTTTGGAGGCAATTTCAAACCACAGATTCGGCATCTAGGAGGTTCAGTCAAGGACGGCCAACTGTTACGACCAGTGCCGATGACCGATATTTGACATTAAGTGCACGCAGGAATAGAACCGCTACTCCGACACATCTTAGATCCTCTCTTGCTGCAGCCACCGGAAGGTTGGTGTCAACGTCAACTGTGCGCAGAAGGCTCCACGAAGGTGGTCTGTATGCGAGACGACCAGCCATTTGCGTGCCGCTCACATCACGCCATAGGAGAGACCGTTTGCAGTGGGCCCGACAACATGTCCACTGGACGTCAGATCAATGGAGGCCTGTTCTCTTTACGGATGAGTCCAGGTTTAGTCTAGAAAGTGACAGTAGACGTTATTTGATATGGAGAGAACCTGGGACCCGTTATCATCCATCAAACATCCGTGAAAGAGATGCATACGGAAGAGGCAGTGTCTGTGTTTGGGGAGGCATATCCTTAGGAGGGCGCACATACCTCCATGTCTTTCCAAGGGGAACCGTGAATGCTCAGGTTTATCGAGACAACATCCTTGATGCTTATGTGCGCCCATATGCCGGGGCAATTGGTGATTGCTTCCTGTTACAGGACGATAATGCAAGACCACACAGAGCTCGCATTGTTGATGATTATCTTCAACAGGAAACAATTACTCGCATGGAGTGGCCAGCTCGATCCCCGGACTTGAATCCTATCGAGCACGTTTGGGATGCTCTAGGGAGGCGTGTATCTGCCATCAATCCGCCCCCTCAGACCCTTGCCACGCTTGCAACTGCTTTACAAGAGCAATGGCTCTCACTTCCTATTGAACTGATAGACCGCATAATTGAAAGCATCACACATCGCTGTTTGTGCTGTATTGCTTCTAGAGGCAATCATATTCCATATTAAAGGTACTTTTTCTATTGCAAACCGATACTTCCAATTTGTTTATTTTATACATGTGCTAATTTCTATACTACTATTAATGTCTGATAATTTCTTTTTATGTTGTTTAATACCTTACTATGTGTTGTATATTGTGGGTAAGTTTCATAAAATTCCATGTGTAATTTCTTGAGTTATCGCGATTTTTGTGAATTTTCCTTAATTTATGATAACCAGTGTATATCAATACAGTAGTGTGAGGAGCACTAAAAAAATTACATCAAATAAAATAGAACACGTTAAGTAAAAATATCACGTAAAAACAGAAAAGGAAATATACAGAAAAAACAGAATAAAATATAAAACGAAATCTATAAAGCGAGTAACGAATTCTAATGAACTTGCATGAACGGGAAATTTTTCAAGAATGATTTAAAATATTTTCGTAACAAAATTGCCAGATTACAAAATATGAAAACAGAAGCGCAAATTGAGGTAAAAGCGAAGAGGGGTTTTGTTTTATAGTGCGTTCTTACTGCAGTACTGAAGTGCGTTTGATTTGTTAGTTACCAAGGATAGGCCCGAAAATGGATGTGCGCAAGGTAATATTATACTGGAAAATTTAAAGAAGTTGACAATTAGTAATTTTAGAAAATTAACTTTTATTTAAGAAGAAAAATAGAAAGAAACATGAATCGCCTGTTTTGCACATAATTTTAGCTACGGATTTGCCCAAATGGCTTTGTACATGGTAAAAATTACATAAATTAACGAAGAAGTTTTTCAGTAAATTTATTTTCAATAATATACAATTAACTCAATGATTTTATATAGAATTTAGTTGGGTATCCATTGTTTTTCATCAAATTTTGAAAGAGTTCGTCTATTTGTTTTTTGGATAAATAAGCATTACTACATATTCTTTTAATTTTATTGATTTGATTAAAAATGGTATTTAAATAGTTGTTCTTAGAAACATTAGAATTCCAAGTAATTAGTTTATTTATTATATACATATAGTTTATTATGCATATTACTTCTCAATTTGTTGTCCACCAAATGAATAAAATGAGATTAAACAGCTATTTCTAAGTTTTATTGAATTCAATTTTTAAAAATGATTGCGATGAAAAGTAAATGTTTTTAACAATAATAATAGTAAATATTTTTAATATGAAATCAAGATATGAAATCAAGATTCCAATGTGCATGAACAACGGTTCATGCAATTCTAAATCCTTATAATGTTCCCTATCTTCCCATTATTTCTTCCTAATCGAAATACTTGCATTGAATAGTGATTCTACTCATCAAATAAAATACTTACGATATTTGCTTCTTTCAATTTCTTCAGCTAAGAACTTTTCAATTTTATCAGCGAATTTTCTTTTTATGCAATAAACACAAAGGATGATAAGCAAAACACTAAACACTGTTATAAGGCCTAACCAGAAAGGCTCTTCTAGCATACGCTGGCTGAGAGGTCGATATGGAATTCGCATCACAATTTTCTCACAATGAGAACCTGAAAATAAGAATTGAATTCTATATTCAATGGAAACGTCAAGTTCAATAGATATGTGATAATATGGTACCTTCAAAGTCTTGAATGCAGCGACAGAAAAAGCTTCCATTCCGAATACTACAAATACCATTTGATTGACATGGATTAGGTGAGCAAGGATTGATTGTCATTTGGCATTTCTTTCCCTCATATCCAGGTAAACAATCACACTTCCAGCCATTAGAGGTGAGATTACAAAAACCGTTTTCTCCACAGATATTCAAATCACACCAAGTTAGGTGGCAAAATAAGCCTGAAATCAAAATACTTTCTTCCTCAAATATCTTTAATAATTAGAAGATCAATATTAGATGACTAATGCGGAAATCTACATGTTTTAATCTATTACGAATATTTGCCTCACACCTAAAATGGCTGAAGAGAAATGGAACTTAAGCATTTTTATCTTATTTAGAAGAATTTTAATACGCATAAGCTCAATTATTTCACTAGCGCACACATATTTGCATAGATATTTTTTTACGCAACTGAAAACAAACACAATACAATAAGATTGATAGTTCATAGAAATGCAAGAGCTACATATAAGAAGAGTAAATTGATCGTCCTGCACACGTATTTACATGTACTTTAAGCTAAATGTAATAAGATCTAAAACAAGTTGATAAGGTTAATATTTTAGAAACTGTAAGGGCTATGTGTAAATAGAGTAATATTTTTGATTTTGGTATTTTTACTCAAAATTAAATAAGATAAATAAGTTAGAAATTATAAGAGTTACGCCTAAAAATGTAAACTGTTTGATTTGAGACATTTTTACGCACATATTAAAGTATTTTTTTTTTCGCTTTTCGAAAGATAATTAAAAAAAATTGACAAATTCCTTAGTTCAGAAGTTATATGGGGTTTGTTTAAAAAAAGTTAAATGCTTGGCTTCGATTTATTTAGGTGCAAAACCATCATAACTTAAAAACCTTTATCGACTTGATTTCATTCGATTAAGCAGAAAAAAGAAATACACAGAAAATCATAACTAATTTGTCTTGATATCAATGTCAGTGTAAGAGGAATAGCAAAAGGAGAAGAAAAAAAACTAAAATGTTCTTCAATTTCATAAAGCTATTATAACTTCTAAACTATCAATTTAACTTTGATCTCATTCGATTCAAAGGTAAAAATACACAGGAATTAATAGTTTTAATTACACCCCTATTTGATATCCCTAGTCAATTGAAAATGGTGGCTGACATCAGGTTAGGGGATATATTTCAGATATCCATATTGGGTATCATATATAGATATCCCAATATGGATATCTGAGATTTTCCTTTTACAATCAAACAACTTTTAATACAAGTTCTGGCTCTCCCCTAATTAATCCCGTATTCACCTATTTAAGAACTGGTCTAAATGAACTTTCAACTAACCAACTATGATCAGTCGAATTAATTTGACACTTTGCTTAAATACTGCATTGAAATTAAGTACCCCAACTATTCATATTAATAATTTTTTAATAAGGTAGCTCCTAAGTAGTTGAATAAAGAAATAATTAGCTTTAAAGTTGTGGCCCAATATGGATACCTGAAGTCTCAAGAGATGAGCTTAACCGCCATATAAGAAAAATCTGCATAATATACCTTTCCGAATAGAAGCCCAGTCGTGTGTAAGCTGAGAGTTTCCTTAAAGATTTACTCAAAATTAAAAAAAAGCATGTATGTTTGACGAAATCTAAACAAGTTTCCTAAAACCGGAAGAAATTCGTCCAAGGTATCCATCCGCGAATGTTATGCTTACAAGGCGAACATGGTTAATATTTTAGGAAATTTTATTAATGGGATTCATGCTTAAATTTGCTCGTAATTTTACCATTCATAAAAATTTCCCGATATTTATAAATTTTAACTAGTTATGAAACTAAAATAAATTTCAAAAAATTAATAGCACAGCATAAATAAAATGTAAGGTTTGTTATGTTTTGAGTGTTATCCCTTATTTGGCCATATTTGTGCAAAATTTAACCTTTATTTTTTTGGCAGCAACGCATAGCATGCTTACAAAGTTTTCAAAATCCTTATGTTGCTTGTTTCGTTGAAATTTAAATTTAAAAAACGAGTTATATTATAAACACTGCAAGTATAATAATATTTGATGGCACCTTTTTTCAAGTTTAGGCGTAAAAATCAATAGGAGGTAGTATGACGTCTTACGACGAATTTTAACCAGTAGCGCCATCTGTGCTTAGCTTTACACAGTTTACCATCCTAACATAAGCAGACATAAAATAAACAATAAATTTAACACGCTTGTGGGTAACTTGCAACTTCCCAGTCGTCTTAGTTAATTTTTTCAGAAATAAATACTCAGCGAATTCTGCCCTTTCTACTTCAGTTCCTGCCCTTTCTTTTTCTTAAGCTATTCAAATTACCAGTTCGGACTGACTTGGCAAAAAACCAAAGTAAATCAGATGCTAACACAGAAAACTTTCTGAATATTGAAGCTAGCACGTTTAATTTTTTCTTCTCGTTTGCTGTTTTATGAGGAAAAATGAGTGACAAAAAAATATTCCGCTCTTATTGTCTTTTTTATGTGCTTTTTTAATTGATATTTTAAGGTGTTTTACTTATAATTTACGTTATTATATGCTTTAGATGCGGCGTTTCGTTAATGCTCGACAAACAGAAAAAATAATTTCCGTTGACGATCTCCGCGAGAAACTTTCAAAAAGCTTTAACTGAAATTTTTTTTCCAAATTCCCTGCTATGCTGACAGAGAATTTTGCTACTCTATGACAATAACTGTCTCTACAGCTCAGATCCCCGCTTTATTGGACTCTTTTGGTTGGGAAGTTTTCGACCATCCCTCCCTACAGTCTAGATCTTACGCTGAGTGATCTTCATCTTTTCCGATATTTCAAACATAATTTTGGCGGTAATCACTACAAGTATGACGAATACGTGAAAAAGGCTGTGACCTCTTGGTTAGCGAAGTAGGTGTCAAGTTTGTATGAAGAAGGTATTCTAAATCTAGTTATAAGGTGGTATGATAAGTGTTTAAACAAACTTGGCAGCTATGCTGAAAAAAAAAGAGAAACGTATGTAGAATCTGAAAATAAATTTGCTTTCATTGGGTTTTTATTTTCATACTTAAAAAACAAACCTCATACAATCTATTGAATATTTCTTTTAAGTACTGTCATTTTCAATTTTTATCACATCAAACAAAAACTTCTCACCCGTGTAATATGCGAAGCAATGACATTTATAAGAAGTTCCATTTCTAATACATTGACCACCATGTTGACAAGGATTTGGATAGCAGGAATCGATTGAACTAGATACCAATCTTCTAGTTGTATTCAAATATTGATCGTCTGAAATTTTTTTAGAGTAATTAATGAGAAACTAGTTAGAAAATTACAAACAAAACAGTCTGACATATTTTAATTTAAATAAGCAATAACGAAGAAAATTTTTATTGCAGATACATCATAGAATGATAAATTAAATTAAATTATTAAGAAAAAGCAAATAGAATAGAAAATTGTTAATGATAATCAACAAAAAAAAATAATTACTGAGCAAACTCGATACAAATTGTTTTGTGTAAAAATTAGTTTTTTTTTCCTTGTCATTTTAATGGTTATAACTTAATAAATATTCCATTGATCATGCTTGTTTTGTTTTGCTGAAGAATTGTTACAAAAATAACATGATTTTTGTACGTTGTAATATAAACAAAATGAACTTCTTAAGTCAAGAATCATAATTATAAGAGCAATAGGCGAAAAAATTAGATTGAATGATGAAAAACAATTACAAGTGAAAAGATAATTACTATTTGTAAATAATTAAGTACTGAGAAATAGCTTTTTCAGGAAAAGTATGGTGAATGATCACCTTAATTAAAGACTAATGTGATTTTTAACTGGTTGTACCTCTGGTTAAGCATTAAATAGATCTTTAAATTATTACTTATGCAATATATATACATAAATGAAGTTAGGTGAATATGGAAATGCTCGGATTTACAATCACTTGGCAGATTTTGCAGAATGGAAAAGTTAATTTTGAGCTTAAAAATCGTAAAAACGCATTTTCAAAATTTGAGGAGACAACCGGTTTTGCAACTGAATGATACATTTATAATTATTCAAAATAAAAAAGAAATAACAAAATCAAAATAATGATTCTTAATTAATTGGATTTCCAAGTGCGTGGAAAGGCACTCTCTCAATACCTCTGGTGGGTGCCACGGTGACACACTTTGAAAATTATTTTCCTAAGTAGAGTTTAAGAAGTATTAAGGTACTACTTACATTACATTGGAGATATGATTTAGGTATTTACATTGCATTATGTAAAAGTATTTACACTACACTGGAGGTATTTACATCGTAGATATGATGGTATATTCTTATATCTAGTGCATATTTTCAATGCCCCATAAAGTTTCATCGAAAAAGAAAATTACACAAATATATCATTGCTGAGTAAACTCACCTTTCTCCACTGAATATTCAAAAAAATAAGAAGGCAAGCTATTGTCATGATTCCAAGATATAATTTTGAGCAAATGAAGCACTGACCAAATTCCATTGCCTAAATTAGAGGGACGACAAGGACTCCAGATCATGAGAGTCTTAATGACAGCATAATTATCTTGAATAAGAACACCACTTCCCTCGCATGTTGATGGTACTTGATGAGTGAAATTGAGTAATTTTAAATGAATTTTATAACCTATAGGTGCCAGTAACCTTTGACTATAGTTTAATTCAGTTGGCTGAGGAAAATTGAAATTCATACTGTAAATTCTGCCTCTTTTTCTTGGATTAAGATATAAATTGCTTTCCAGTGTTCTCTCAATCCCTGAAATAAAAGAGTGAACTGAGGCATAAAAAACACTTATTTTTAACAATTTAGCAAAAAAATAAAAATAAAATAGGGCATCTTTATAACTAAAGCTCTGATTTAGATGACATTCGCATTTATTTGTCTCTTCTGGACACTTTCACTCTTTCAGGACATTTTTTTAAAAATACTTTTTAAGGTATTTTTCAGATATTTAAATTTTTCTTTATTCTTTTAGATATTTTTGGAATCTTTCGGGTATTTTTGTTAAAATTTTGGGACATATTTTGAAACTTTTATAATTATTTGATCATTTTTACATCTTTTATATATTTTGACTGAGTTATACTACATAATGCTTTACACCTTCTAGGAGAAAGATGAACATCATCTCCATCACTGAAAGATTATATATATATATATATATAAAT